CGAAGGCCGAGAAGGAAGCCGCTGAGGCTGCTGCCGCCGCTGAAAAAGAGGCTGCCGAAAAAGCTGCTGCAGAAGCTGCTGCCGCTAAGGAGGCTGCTGAAGCCGCCGACAAGGAAGCTGCTGAGAAGGCTGCTGCTGAAGCTGCTGAAAAAGAGGCTGCCGAAGCCGCCGAGAAGGAAGCCGCTGAGGCTGCTGCCGCCGCTGAAAAAGAGGCTGCCGAAAAAGCTGCTGCAGAAGCTGCTGCCGCTAAGGAGGCTGCTGATGCTGCCGAGAAGCAAGCTGCGGAAGCTGCTGAGAAAGCTGCCGCTGAAGCCGCTGAGAACGAGGCCCGGGAATTGGCCGAGAAAGAAGCTGCTGAATCTGCTGCCAGGGAGACTGCTGCCAAAGAAGCTGCCGAGCAGGAAGCCAAGGCCGCAGGGGAGACTGCCAAAGATGAACCTGAGGAGCCTGTGGCAACCAGCAGCAAGAAAAGCAAAAAGAACGACAAGAAGAAGGCCAAGAAGCAGGCTAAGAAAGCTGCCGAACAGGCTGTTGAGGTTTCTGAAGAACCTGCGAAGGCAGATTCAGAGGCGGACGGGAAGGATCTCGCGACCGCCGCGACAGTAGCTGGTGCAGCTGGTGTCGCGGGTGCAGTTGCGGCCTCCGAGTTGCCCGAAGATGCTGAAGCTTCTGAATCAACCAAGGAGGCTACTACTTCTGATGGGCCCGTCAACACCGCCGCCACCCCTGACGACAAAGGCGCTGACGATTCGACGGTCGTGCCGGATGCTGGGGTTGCTGAAGAACGTCCGGATGAGGCAAAGGCGGCAACTGAGTCCGAACAGTCAGTGGACGAAGTTGCGAAGGACGATGATGCAGCGGTCAACTCCGAGCTCGAGAACGCCGTCGATGCCGACAAGAGCGCGGAAGAGGCGCAGCCAGAGTTGTCTGGGCAAACCTCTGACTACCTTGATACTCCAAATCAGGACCTGGCACCAGCTACAGAGGCGGATGTGGACGAGCCAGTCGCAACGGAGGGGCCTACTGCTGAAGACGCGGTGGCTGAGGCAGCCGACGAAGAGAAGGCCGCGCCTGTGGGCGTAGAGGAGGTAATCGACAACACTGAGTCTACGCCCACTGACGCCACGGCTACAGCTGCTGGCCAAGAACTTGAAGTCACCTTGGATTCGGCCTTGGAGGATCGCAATCCTAAAGAAGACGAGTCTGAGTTGAGTACCTCTGAAGTCAAGGCCGAACAAAGCCCAGATCAGCAGAAGCATGAGGAAATTGCCGCTGCAGAGGAGACGACTGTCGACGACCACGCTGTTGCTGACAAGCCTGAAGCCGCGGAGGACGCGACGGATACCGCAGTTGCAACGGCAGACTCTGGCAACAAACAAGACGTTGTCGCTCAGTCGACGGAAGAGCCTATTACAACAGACTCCGAGACTCTCCTCAAGGCTGATAGCATGGCAAAACCAGCAGCGGACACGCCAGACGTCGCGGAGTCTACTAAGGACAACATGGATGCGTCATCTGTGACAGACGGCGTTGCTGAAGACAAGGAGCAGGACGCTGTCAAGACTTCTGAGGCAGAGTCTGAAGCACCTGTAATGCCTACTGAGGATACCCCTGATTCTAAGGACGGCACCGCAGTGGCCGCCGAGGACGACACCGCAGTGGCCGCCGAGGACGACACAGGAGCCACCAAGGCCGAGGCTGGAGAAGTTGCCGATGAGGCTGCAGTTGCGGTAGCTGCAGTACAAGATGACGCCGCCGCCGAAGCGTCACCTGCTGCTGAAATTTCCGACTCAGCCAAGGCTAGTGAGGCTGTCGACATGTCTCCTGAGCTATCTTCTGAACGGACCCCTGCACCAGAGCCAGGACAAGACGAAGATGTGGACGATGATGTCAAACCCTCAGACCTGGAGACACACGTGTCCGAGCCAAAGCACGTCGAGACTGATATAGAGAAGGATGCTCTCGACACTGAGGAGCCCCAGGCTGTCGAGCCGGTTGAGCCCATCGTTGACCAAGAGACGCCCATGGAAGCAGTTGAGTCGAGCGCCAAAGCTATGCCGGATATTGATGCACAGCCCGAAGTCGAGCCCCGTGAAGCCGAAGTGGAGGCGGTTGAACATGCGCAAGCGCCGGCGGAACCAGCAGCACCAGTCGAACCCGTTGAACCAGATGACATTGCCGCCACCGACGCTGTCGCTGCAGTTGAGCCCCAACCCGAGGCGGAAGAGCGAGAAGCGCCCGCACCCAAGCCCGCACCCGAACGCGAGGCCTTCAGGGGGCCCGAGAAGGTCGAAAAGCACGACCTGGTTGGGAAATTGAAGCCGGTGACGGACAAGCCCGTTGAGAGGACCAGGAAAGGTGAGGAAGAAGACCTTTCATTACGTGATGATACCCATTTGGAATTCTTGCAGGAGGATGTGGCGGTGGACAATGTAGCTGACGCCCAGGAAAGGAGTGGCGATGGCATTCTGTCTCTGCGTTCTGGTGATCTCTCTGCAATTCGCGACGAGCAGGATACGCCTGGTCTGGTCGTGAAGACTTCTCGAGGGGATACGGAGCGGGAGGCAGTGGGTGCATTCGGTTTCGGGCTCGCCACTACGGACGACTCGAGCCAGACCGTGCAAGGCGACGTTGACGACGGCAATGCGCGCGATGGGGGAATCGAGCACGACACATCCGACCCAGTCCATCTGAGCACTGGACCTACGATGGCTACGACAATGGACAGGTCTATCAATTTTGGTCAAGCAGGTGAAAGGTCATTACCTGCAGCAGCAAGCCAAGCTTCACGTGGCATATCTGAGCGAGCGCATCAAGACGGAGTCTCAGAAGCACCTGTGGCAGAACAGCGACCCAGACTGGCACATTCGAGCACTCAAACTGATGAGGAGTTTTTCAACCGCCACAGCAGACTCCCGCCTGCTGCGACTGACCCTCGTGCGCCTACTCCTGGAGTGGTCTTGCCCGATTCAGACATGGTCAATTTGCATCGTGCGCAGACCCTTCGTCATAAAAAGAAGCTGTCTGTCCGCGCAGCCGAGGATACGCTAGCTGCTGCCGTGGTGATCTTTGCCACTGCCGAAGTCCTCAGTCCACCCTCCAGCCCACAACTCTTGAGCAGCCCCTTGAGTGATGGGGGCTTGCCGAACTTTGGACACGCCTTGCAGCATGGCTCATCGCCCAACTGCAGAGACACCGCCGCTCCTCAGTGGACCATAGGATCGGAGGATGGGGAGGAGGCTGTTTACACTGAAGATGAAGGTCTTCCAAAGTCAGCTGCTGACTTGTATACAGACGATAGGCACAGAGACTCAAGCGACAGAGACCGTGAGAAGCGTCGTAGTCGCCGCCACTCTCACCAATCGGCGCACTCTGGCAGAAGTCGCGGGGAAGAGGAGCCCAAGGAAAGCCGAAAGCGGTCGTCACACACCTCGCATGGCACGGCTCACCCTTCACTGAGCTCGCAACGCAGCCAGCGCCGGCGTGCAGAGGATCCTGAATCTGGCACGCGCACGCCCCCACGGCGACGCGACAGTGGTTACTCTGGTGACAGCCCCGGCAGTACTGGTCGCCGGCATCGAGAGCGCGCCGAGACGTTGCCCGACGAGCAGGACGCGCGCGAAAGGCGCAGGGCTGAGCGCAGAGCTAGGGAGAAGGAAGCTGAGCGACGTGAGGTGCTCCGGTCGAGAGAGGCACAGCGACGCGAGCAAGACGACACGGAGCGTCGTCGACACCGATCCTCCCGACGACAGAGCCATTCTAGCTACCAAGCCAGACCCGAGCCGCCCAGGGACGTCCCCATTGCCGATGACGATCAACTCCCCGAGAAAAAGTTCTTTGATATCAAGAACGCCGAAGGCGTCTATGGCGACGGCAACATCCGCCCGGGGTCACTGCGAAGTGTGTCGACGACTCGAGAAGAGGTGTACGCACCAACCACCGAGCCATACACTCGCCCACCACCAACCCGGGCGGAGTCGTCAAAGAGGAACACAACGTCTCGGTCCAAGGCTAGCTCCAGCCGGCGCTCGACTGACGAGACGCGACCAAAGTCAAGCAAGTCACGGGAGGATTCCTACGCCGGCTCGTCGCACAAGTCGCGGGCCCCACCGGAGGACGCTGCTCGCAAAGCAAGGCACCAGGAGCGCAGGAGGGCCAAGGAGGAGGAGAAGAAACCAACCGGCATCAAGGCCGCCTTCAAGCGGATCTTTGCGTCGTGATTGGTTTGTTCTGGTGTCCTTAAGGTTTATGACCTTGATGTATAATGTCTGTTACGATTTTCACGAATGTGTCCACGGCGGATCACGACAGCTACGCCTCGGGAGAGTTATCAGAATGAATTTGCAATGAATTTGACCACACTATGGAAACCAATAAGAAGAAGAAATGCAACACTGTGATTGATCTGGCGTCTGCAGTACATTCATTCCAGGGTCCACAACAAAGGGGTTTCAAAACAAACTTCCGCAAGTGGCATTCAGAGCTGCACCGCCTTGAGTCTATACTTGTATCGGGCAAAGAATAAGCACTCGTCCCCCGCGACGAAGGAATCAATGTAGAAAGTTTATGTTCAACGTGTAATTTGAAGCTTTGTGGCTCTTTCAATTTTTTTGGGCGACTGTGTCTTCCCTGAAAGCAGAAAAAGGTGCTCGCTCCGCTGTTCTTACACTGCTAATGTTTAGATCCTTGGTCACCTCAACATCGCAACCACCGTCCACCGACCAACTCACGAGTTCGACGTGCTCAGCATAGTCGCGGTATCAAGCAAAATGAAGGCCGGTATTGTTGTACTTGTCGCTGCGGCGGCGGCGTATGTCATCCCTCGCGACGCCTCCCACAGCACTTCCCCCACCCTGGCTCTGGAGCGTCGTACGCCCAAGACCGCACGTGCACTCACCGAAAGTCATCACGAGTATCTCGCCGCCATCGCGGACGCCGAGGGCACCTCCCGTCTGACCAAACTCCACGAACGCAGAAAGAAGAGATCCCCTGAGGAGCCTCTGCATCTCGACATGCGCCCTGCTCACAGATATTACGGTTTCGAAACCCCTGAGCAAAAGCAGGCGAGACTCGAGGCGCAACTGGTGGACGTCGCCCAGCACTTGTTGGACAGGCCTATAGAGGGCGATGATCCTGCTGATTACATGCACCCCGAACTGAAGGAGAAATGGCTCAAGTATGTGAAGGACGACGCTGAGAAGAAGAATCCGCCAAAGACACCAAATGTAAAAGAGACTCCTGCACAAGCACCGAAGGTAGAGCCTCCTGCAAAGCCTGACCCCATGGAACTCAATGTCGCTGCGGAGCCAGAACAGCCTCTGAAGCCCACGGATGCATCCACTTCTGAATCGTCTCCTGACGAGCAGTATGAGGAGCTTGAACCTACTGCCGAGGATGGAGTATCTGACGAGGTGGAACCTCAGGAGCCCGAGATTCAGCCTGAGCAGCAGGAAACGCTAGAAGAGGACGCTAAAGAGCTTCAGGAGCCTCAGAAGCCTGAGGAGCCTGAAGTACAAAGTGAAGAACAAGTCATCGCTGAGGATGAGACCTCTGATGAGGTAGACCCTCCAGCGCCCGAAGAGCCGAGCGACGAACAAGTCCAACCTGCCGAGACCAACGCACCTGAGGAGGTAAAGCCTAACAAGAAGGAAGAGGTACCCAAGGAAGTCAAGAAAGCACATAAGACTGCCAAGCCTCCAAAAGGGTCAAAGGGGTCAAAAGGGTCAAAAGACTCAAAAAGCTCAAAAGGGTCAAAAGGGCCTAAATATAGCGGGAAGAAAAGCGGGGATATTGGCATTGACAAGCTACTCAGTGGTGCAGTGGACAATATCCGCAAAGGCATGGGTAAAGGACTTAAAGCAGGGTCTGCCATAGCAGGCACGGGCGTCCCAGCAGCTGCGGTTCTCGGGGCCGCAAGCGTCGGACCTGAAGGCCTTACCGCAGCCACTGGCCCTGGCACTGCCGCTGTGGGAGGTGAGGAGCTTGCAAAGGCCAAAGTTCCTGGAACGGAGAGCCTTGCAGAGGCTCTGAACCTTGGAGGCGTTGGGAAACCTGCGGATGCAGTCATTGAAGCGGAAGCCCTCGGGAACACGGATTATCTTGCTACTTCTGAAGCGCTTTCAGGCGCAGATGGTCCCGGAAAGGGGCACGACAATCTCCCAAGTATTGATCTCGACCTCGTCACTCCCGGTGCCGAAGCTGTAGGAGCTGAGACTGACCCAGCAACCAAGGGTCACTCTGTGATAGGTACTGGTAGTAAGATCCTGGGAGCGACCGCTTTTGCGGGAGGCGTGGCGAGCAAGATTGCCGAAGGCGTGACGAAGCTGAGCAACCCACTGCCCAACCCACCAGCCAACGCGACCAGGAAGCAAGACGAGGTGCAAGCGGAGATGGAGCTCGGTCCGAGCACTCTCTACGAAGGAGATCAGGAGGAGGACCAGGACGAGGAAGACCGAGAGCCAGACGACCGCGACGATTTCGACATGGACCTGATCGAGGCCGACCAGGATGGAGACAACCAGGACGTGGGCAATGCCGGGGGCGCGAAAGAGGAGAAAGCCAACAAAGTGTTGGATTTCTTCGGCAAAGCAGCCAAGAGGCTGCTTGACATTCTCAAAAAACTACGAGCTCTGCAGGTGGAAAGCAAGTCTGCAAGGAAGAAGGACAAGGCGAATGCCAAAAAGCAAAAGGCCATAGACGACGCCGAAAAGCAGAAGGACCAGGAAACCCCCCAGAAGAAGCAGGACAAGGATGTCACGCAAAAGCAGAAAGTCAAGGAAAACGCGCAGAAGAAGAAGGGCAAGGTGAACGCTCAAAAGCAAAAGGACAAGGCGAGCGCTCACAAGCACAAGGACAAGGAAACGCCCGAACAGCCCAAGGTCAAGGAAACACCCCCAAAACAGAAGGGCGTGGAGAATATCCTAAAGCAAAAGGGCCCGGAGAACCCCCTTAGCCAGAAGAACAAGGAGAATGCTCAACGGCTGGCCGAACTGCGGCAGGGCGCGGGAGAACGCTTGAAGGCGACGGCTTTTGGTGACAAGGAGCTCGGGCGTATGGGGTTTGCCGCCACAGGGAACGAAGTGGCGGGCGGCGAGTCTGAGACGAAGGGCAAAACGGCCGGCCATCGCTAGACGCAGGTCACGATGCCTCCGATGTCCTTCTGAAGGTGACCCCTGGCAGCTCAGTCGCCTTACACATGTTCGTTCCTCTTTGAGACACCCTGAGAGCCAGTTGCGATTGCGGATATTTCATTTAGATTCGGCCAAAATCTACATCATGGTAGCCAATATAGTCCATGTATCACGAAGACATGCCAATTGCGTGAAGTGATTATGAAAATCGCGCCAGAATGATCGGATCTCAACTTGTCGTGCTGGTTTCTGTGATCAATTGAAGTCAAAGCCCATCACGTGACCGCCAGCCGAGCCCCACTGCCGCCGGCGAATCGTCGGCGCGCACACGATCCAATGCAGCCCTAGAATTTCGCCCATTTTGCGCACCCCCACCCGAATTTCGAGCGAAATTTCCGGGACCGCGATTTGCTAGCAAGCCCGTCCGTTCGTCCACGCTCTACCAAACCACCACGACAACCCATCTCCGGCGCAGGATTCGACTTCTTTGCGACCCTCACCCGACCACTCAACCCATTCCCACCCTCAATACCGCAGCAATGGCTCCCCAGACCGTACGTACAACATGATCACCGCTTTGCTGTTGCCCAGGCCACCAACCCCCCTTCCCCTTCCCCCCCCCCCAATCCTCCTGGGGGCGCGTTGGCTGGGCGGACGGCACAGGCAAGATGCAGTAGGCTAAAATCATATCTCTCTTGATGCAGAAGAAGGTGCAGAAGCAGACGAAGAAGTTCGTCATCAACGCTTCGCAGCCCGCCAACGACAAGATCTTTGACGTCTCGGCCTTTGAGAAGTTCCTCCAGGACCGCATCAAGGTCGAGGGCCGCACCAACAACCTGGGCGACAACGTCCAGATCTCCCAGAAGGGTGACGGCAAGATCGAGATCATTGCCCACAATGACCTCTCCGGCCGCTACCTCAAGTACCTGTAGGTTTTTTTTTCCCCTTCCCACGAGATCCTGTCTCTATCGAACCCTAGGACTAACTGGCATCGCAGGACCAAGAAGTTCCTCAAGAAGCAGCAGCTCCGTGACTGGCTCCGCGTCGTCTCCACCTCGCGCGGTGTCTACGAGCTCAAGTTCTACAACGTCGTCAACGACGCCGACGAGGAGGACGACGAGTAAACGTGCCGCTTCCCACCTTTTTTTTTTCACGAATTTCATGATTCCAAAATTGGGGCACGGACGGCGGTGGTCAGGCGCTTGGATGGCTTGGACATTTGGGGATATAGGAAGCTACCACCTCCTCTCGCGGGGGGGTTGGCCAGCTTTTTTTGCCAATACAACCCGTTTGAGTGGCTCAAAATATCGTGCCTGTGCTCGTGACTGTGTGGTGGTATAATTCGCCTTATATGATGCAATCCATGCCCGTGCCCTCTTGTTCGTACATTCCTGGCTCTCCCTTTTCGGCCCTGGCCGTATCGTGCTTCACCCAGGCAAACTCCTAAAGACACCCTCCCACACCAGCAACGCCATGGCGTTCGCAGGGAACGCCCTGAGGAAGCACGGCAGGAAGCCTCTCCAGTACCCCTTGATGCCCTGCTCCTGGTAGATGGTCCTCGCGGCGTCCTTCCAGCGCGGGAACCGCCTCTGCCCATCGCCCAGCCCACCGCCCAGCGGATCCGTCATGATCCTCTGCTTGACCACGTCGCTCGGGTAGCACGTCAGCCAGTAGACCTGGGCGCTCAAGCCGCCGGCCCAAAAGTTGATGGCCGGCGTGCTCAGGTCCGTGTGCCGCCGCATGGCGTTGGAGATGACATTGTACGAGCTCCACCAGAAGAAGAAGAAGGCGCGGAAGACGAGCGTCGCCGACAGCCCGTGAAAGACGCCCTGCACGCCGTGATGCTTGTAGATGCGGCCCAGGCAGTCCAGCGGGCCCGAGTAGCGCCTGTCGGCCTTTTTGGCCGCGTACTGGATCTGCAGGCGGGCCTTGATGTGCTCCACGGGGGCGGCGATGAAGCTGACCGTCGCGCCGGCCATCATGCCCGCGACGCCGTGCCCGACGGAGGGCAGGGCGGCCTTGTCGACGCCGTAGACGCGGTCGGAGAGGAGTCGTCGGTACACGTTCAGGCTGCCCATCATGATGGAGTCCATAAACATCCAGCCCAGCAGCGGCGGCGTGGCGCCCTTGTACAGGCCCCGGACGCCCTCGTTCCGCAGCGTCTGCATCGCGCACTCGAGCGGGCCCCGGAACCGGCTCGCGTCTGTCGTCTGCATGCGCACCTTGACCGTGTCAAAGGGGTGGCCGACGGTGAGCTTGGCGACGCCGCTGAAGACACCGGCGACGAAGCCCTTGTAGTCATGGCCGGCCGAGGATGTCGATGTCCGGGCGGGCTCGGCAGCTTGGGCGACGGGGACGTTGGCGGAGGGCTTGATCACTGGCGGCGGTTCTGCGACGGCTAGTGAGGGCGCCATGGTGCGCGGCGGTGATCTTATTGTTTCGTCAGGCTTTCTCCTCCGTGCCAATGGAGTGGTCTGCTCCTGTAGTGAGGTCCGGCCCTCGACGCGGATTATTTACATTGGGGTCCCTCGAGAGCGATGTCGGAGTCGTCGTGGAGATTGGGTCGGTCGCCAGGTCGAGAAAGGTGGACGAAGTAGCTCCGTACTGAATCCGAATCTCTGCTGCTATAAGCTACTCGAGCAAAGATCTGCCTCAGCCCAGACGCGCCCCTCACTGTGGCAGGATTACATCGCATGAGGCTGCCGTGGGATTCCATTGGGGTGAGTAATATCCGACCCTCGAGGGAGCAAATTATAATAGCGTCATCGTTTCTAGTAGTAAGCCAGCCAGTCAGCCACCCAGCCAAGGGCACGCACGCACGCAGCCCCCCTCATACTCGTATCGTGAAGAGGAATGCTAATTAAGCGTCGCTCTTAGAATTGTGCCTGATTATTGCTTAGATATTGTTTGTACGTATTTCATCAGCGCGTGGCCTCGGGCGTTGCCGACTTGGCAGGTACAGCAAGCAAGCAAGCAAACTCACTCAACACCAGCGACGCTCAGGAACAATGTCTGGAATCGCAGGGCTCAATTACGTTCGTCCTCACCATCCGCCAACCCTCAAACTATGCTATGCTATGATATGGTATGATATGATCCCATGTCGCCAGATCCCTCCTCTACCAGTCGTGTACCTCGTCCTCCAAAATCAAAGTAGATCAGCAGACCTATGCTGCGCTGTACAACCAGAATAGCCAAGTCATGTCGTCGTAATGTAAAGTGCAGAGAAGAAGAAACAAAACAAAAGGAGAAAACCATCCACGTCTATGCCGACCGTGCCCCGATTGCGCTGCGGGTTTGCACCATCCTTCTTTGTCCAGGTCCAGAAGGGAACGTCTGATCCAATAGTATATCCTCTGGAAAATGGGAACGGAAACAGTCCATATCATCATCTGCCTCTAGTTCCCTTGAACAGCCAGCCGTACTGTTCGCCTTGACCGGCCTCTGCCTAAAAGGTATCCGTGTCTTGGCTAGCGACGGTGCCGAATGTGTCTGTGTCTGGTCAGCGTCTGGTTTATATCGCGAAGAGGACATCGGCTAATTATGACTTACCTCTCTTGCGTCGCCTCTCTTCTCTGGCTGCCTCATCCTCCGGGCTCATGGGTGTCATGGCACGGGGTCCGCTGGGACGGCGCGTGGGAGCACCCAGAGCGGCGCTCAGGTTGCGATTCTCTGGCTTCGGGCTGCCTGGGCCCGGGCTCACAGGACCAGAGACATAGCCGTCCTCGTATGTCTGGTTCTGCAGAGGGCTACCCTTGGCTAGCCTGGAGATACGGGCTCGTGGTGGTGTCCGCCCCGTCGCGCCTTCGAGTGGCTCCTTTGGGGGCCGGGGAGGAGCTCCAGTCTGTCCAGCTGTAGGGGACGTAGGCCAATAGTCTCCCTCGCGAGGTGCATTGGACGAGCCGTGGCTATATCGCTGCGCGTTGTGGGGCAGCCTGTTCAGGCTCGTCGCAGAGCCAGCCCAGTCGGCTGATCGGGGTGTTGCAGGGTCGTCGAATTCTTGCGCCGATGTCTCCAGCGCTGTGCGGAAGCGCTCTGTCTGTCCTGGTCGGGGTTGCGGGTGTTGCAAGTTCAGCGAGTTGCGGTGTGCCCGGTACTTGGGGTCCTCTGGACTCGTCAATGCACCCTGGTACTGCGTCTGGGCATCGGCCTCCTCAATGGTAGTGCCCAGGTTCGGGTCCGAGAACCCTGTCCGTAGTTTGTCCTCGCCATACGGGTCGTGCTCGTACTGATCGTACGAGGCCAAGCTCGAGCCGGAGCGCGAGGGCGGGAGCTGATCGTCGTACTTTTGCTCCTTCTTGGTAAAGTTGCCGCTGCTCCTGAAAGCCCGGCCAACGCTGGACGCAGTCGTTTCAGACCAGCGCGAGATCTTGGGGATCCAACCCGACGAGCTGCTGGACTTGTGCTTCTTCGCCTTCTCCGTCTTGGGGGTGTTGTCGGCACTAAGACCGTGCTGCTGGTTGGAAGACGAAGCTTGCTGTGAGGGGCTGTCGGGAGGCAACGAGCCGCCACGTCGAGCATCGTCGTAGTCGGCGGCGCCAGTCATCATAGGCGGCTGGGTGCGCTCGTCGACCGGGCTGGGGTGGTCATACTGGTACTCGTCCTCGTGCTCCGGTACAGTGCTCACTCGGTTGCCGGCGAAATCCCGCTCTGCTGCGTGACGTCCCTCGGGACCGCGTGACAGTGGCGGGTTTGAAAACTGTCCAGATTGGCTTGCGTGACTCGCGGTCGAGACACCTTCTGGCTCGTAGCCACGGTCCTGCTCATACTGGCCCTCAGGCTGCAGGTTCTCGAGGGAGTGGCCTGGTTGCCCTGCCGAGCCCGGGCCAGCCGTTTGTGTCTTCAGGACGTCGACCTCGCCGAGTAGCTGGTTCAGCATATCTTCGATACGGGTCAGGTCATTAGTGCCTTTGGCGCTGAGTCCAGCCAGGGCTCTCTTCCACAGGTTCTTCTTCTTGGCTGCGGCGTCGTCAATGGTTGTCGGCGGCTGTGAGCTTTGGATAGACCGGGATCCCGCGCTGGGGAATGGGCGGGGGCCGTTGATGGCTTTCTGCAGCTTCTCGGTGTTCTCGGCACTGGAGAAGATCACATCGTCGCCCGTGTCTTGGATCAGATCCTTCATCTCCTTGAACGAGTTGCGCATCTCCAGCGCAGCGTTCATCAGCAGCGCGACAATCTCCGTGTCGCGGGCGCTCCTCTGGGCGTCCCGGACCATCAGGTGCTGCATCAACGCCACGATATCCTTATTCTCGATTCTGTCAATGCCTGCACCAGTAGCCGCGTCATAGAATGGCGAGCCCATGCCCTGTGACATGCCGCTCAACTGCCGAGCACCACCATTACCCTTGGGTGTGGTGGTTCGGAACGGATCCTCCTCACCGAAAACTTGTGATGGGTCGGTGAACGACAAAGCTTTTCCCTTGGGCTGGACGACTGGTGACCGTGGATTCGGGCCGTTCGACATGTACCCCTCGTCGTACTTCTGTCCGTAGTTCGGACTGCCCGTGTGGTACGGCGCATTGTAGGAACCGTCTAGAGCACGTGCCGCGAGAATTTTGTCATTGAGAGCCGGGTTGGCGACCGGGCTGGCATCTTCGTAGGGATTCGTGAGAAGGGTGTCGCGCTTGCGCTCATCCGATGTGCGGTGCCATTCATCTTGGTCTTGACTAGGCGCACGGCTGTGAGCAGCTGCCATGCCGGCGGCGGCCCCCAAAGCAGCTGCGCCCGCTGCTTCGGTGAGCCCAATGCCACCTCGGCCAGGACTCGCCACGCTCCCTTTGGTGGGCGTCTGGAATCCGGCCCCGTTAATGCTTCGCTGAGTGGGCGTTGCTCGCCCTGAGCAAGCATGGCCATGCTGTCCGTTGCGGTGCTCAAGATCGAGTGAAGGGTTTGTCAAGGCATCATCGTCAACGTACCCAATCTCCGGCATGGGATCATGCATGTCTGGCAGGCCGGTGGCGCCGAGCCTCGGGGGCTCGTCATATGAGAAGCGGTCGATGCTATGGGCAGGTGTGTTTCTTGGCTCATAGCCCTCCATGGTGCGCTCCTTGAAGGACTTGTTCCGCCCGACACCAGCGCCAACCCACTCCTCCGAGGCGTCTTCCACTGTAGCCTGCTTGCGCTCTTGCGCAGCTTTGAGAGCAGCAACAGCAGCGCCAACTGCACCGCCGGTAATAGCAGCCTCGGATGCAGTAGGTGACTGCCGGTACCTTGAGCGTGGCACCTTGCGACCCTGATCGTCGAGCTCATACTCGGAATAGTCGTGGGGTTGATCCTGGGAGCGAGCGCCGGGCGTGGAATGGCGGTCTTCAACCAGGCCACGCTGGGCTTCGACTGTACGCTTCTCGGGGCTCTGACCCCGGCTACTCTGCGTCCTTTGGTCGTAAGATAGTTGCGAATCCCTGATTCCGGCAGGATCGTAGCCTGAGCCACTGGTCAGAACTGACTGCTCGAGCATCGAACCGTCAACAAGAGACGCGACGGCCGATTCAACACCCATTGGGGGGTGAACAAAATTGGGGTTGGCGCCGACACCGCGAAGGGCTTGTCCGGAGGATGGGGCAGGTCCAACCTCGCTGTCCTCGGTGTACATGGTATTGCGATTATCGATGCCGGAGAGAGGGCCGTCAATGGACATTTGGTCAAACTCTCGACTGCGCATGTTGCTAGGCACCGACCCCAGCGACTGATTTGAGCCTCCATAGCCGGAATGACCCATCGACTTCTCCGGAGACGGGAACGTTTCGGACAGGGTCTGGGAGTTGCGTGGTAGGGGTGCCTCGCTCTCTGTGTACCCAGATACACTGGGGATAGGACTCAGGCCACGAGCACCAGCTTGATAGGGGACGTATTTGAGTGGCGGCGGCACGTCTTGGGTGCTGTAATACTCGTCCTCGTAACGGTCTGGATAGTCGCCTGGATCAGAGGGCTCACGATCTCGGTCATCGAAATAGTCATCCTGCCTATCCATCGGAATTTTGCGACCGAACTCATCTGGCATATACTCTTCCTCAAATTCTTGATTGCCGCCTCTGGGCAAGGCCGTGAGGTCGCCATGTGAGACGTTGGCATGGCTGGTGCCGAGTGTACGTTGAGGTGCAGGCGCGGCGTTCTGTGGGACTTCATAGGCCTGCTCGCTTGCTGACTGTGGTCGATCGCTATCTGCCGACAAGATGGACGTCCTAGTCATCTCAGAGGGGTTGATATCGCTCATCAAGGGCATAGGCGGTGCCGGGGCTGGTTCGTAATCGTCGTACTCTTCAGCATACTTTTCACGGCCAAGACTTCGGCTCCTTGCACCCTCTGCTCGCCGTTTGCGCCGTTCCTTCCGACTTCTGTCTTCAGAGTGCTCATCGTATGCGGAAAGTCCTTTGCTGAGAGCAGCGCCGGCGGCTGCGGCCTTGAGGAGATCTCCGCGGTCGCTGCGCCTGGGTGTTGTGGGTTCGGCGTCATCGGCCTGATAGTCATCGCGCATGGACTCCCGGCTGAGGCTGACGCTCCGCGGTGAGCTGTCACCATAGTCATGGCGTGCTTCGCGATTCCGTCGCTTGCCATCTCTGGCAGACTCGCTGCGCTGTCCTGAGGACCGCCTGCGGTCCGGAGTTGTTGTAAGATCTTCCCTCGATACGGAGGTGCCCGTAGATGTGAGAGAGTCCCTGCGAGTCTCACGCTTGCTTTGTTCCCTTTTGAGAGCGCTCAATTCGGGTAGTATCAGCCGGCGGATAGCGTCCTCCACAGTCGCCAACAGTTTTGGGTTATTAATCGAATCAGAATTCCTCGACGCGCCCGTGCGTACAGATTGAGCATCCATGCAGCGCTGGCTCGGTGTGAGATTGGATGATAAGACAGACGCCTCTGCGCCTGAGACAGCGGATTCCACCGGGGCATGACTGCGACTGGAACGATGGCGTGTTGACCTGTCGTCGCTAGGATATTCGCTCATGCTGCTCGTCCTGCTTTTAGTCCGTCGTTTCCTCTCAGACTTTTCCTTGGGCTTGTCGGTCGACGAGGCCGTCTTCACTCTTTCGCGACGCTTCCCACTTGACAACGCACTTCCAGCCAAGGCGCCGGCGCCCGCTGCAGCTGCCAGTTCTCCGACCCTAGAGGGACTCGACGACCGCTTGAAGTCGGTGTTTGGGCCCGACCCATCCAGGAAGCTATCTGCTGGGATAGCAGAGATCTCCGATGCATCCATGGGTTGGTAGCTATCGTGCGAAGGGATCAATGGGCTGGCGGGACGGCGGCGACGATGGCTGCGGTGGTCAATCTCAATGTCGATGGGGTTTCTGGAGACATTGGACTCCTCGGTCGCAGAAGCATAGGAGGACATGCTGTTTGCGTCCTCGCCGGCGGCGTCAGGATACTCCAGGTGTCGCTGCTCGAGTCCCTGGTCTAGGGGTATGCGCCGCGTCAAGGACGTCTTGCGTGTATTCTCGGTGACTCGGAGATGGTCGCCTCTGCCCTTGCGCGAAGGTGTTAAGCGCACTCGGACACTTGGTCTTCGGCCACTCCTCGACCCCGTCTCCTCGCTCGGTGATCGGCTACCCTCAAAATACTCTATGAGGAGGGAGGTCTGTGAGCGATTGGGTTTGTGGCCGCGCGTGCGGATTGTGACTGGCGTCCCGTCGTCTGGGATGGAATAGTGCGATCTTTCGTCGCCTGGCTTGGACAGTTCGGTGGAGCTGAGTTCGGTGGGAGTGTTGGTGTCGGTCTCGGTCGGGGCGGGAAGAGGGAGAGATCGTTTGGAGTCGACGCCCATGATTGATGCGATAACCAGAGCAACGACTCAACAGCAGCAGCAGCAGCACGAGCTCGCTGCGGGACTCCAATTATCTTTCAGTGTTCGCGGTTGCCGCGCAGTTATTGCATATGTCGCTGTCAAGACATGTGGGCAAAGAAAAAGGCTCAGATCGAAAAGGGGACGAAATCTGCGCGGCGAAAGGGTCAGTTAAGGTGCCGCTGGGTGTTGACCAGGAAGTCGGTCTGAGATTCAAGGCAATCGCCACATGGAGACTTACACAACAGATGCTGGTAGGAAGGAAACGAGAAACAAATGCAGCACAATCTATCCAAGACGAGTCGGCGAGACTCTTCTACGGGCTATGATTGAGCGAGCCGTACAATCGAGCCAGAGGTGAAGACTGGACTCCAACGAAGCCGAGATGAGTGCAAGACAGACAGACACTCGAGAGAAGTAAGTGGTGGTGGTGGTGTTGGTGGTGTGGATCAGCGGCGAGCTGGGCTGCCAAACTCCAACTGGCAACAACTGGGGTGGCTGGGAGGAGGCACTCTTTCCTCCAGCAGCGGGAAAGAAAAAAAAAGAGGACTAAGAGACCGCAACCGCAGCAACGGGCTGGAGTGACAGGGGTATGCCTCGCCGAGGATCACCACTCTATCACTCTTGGCGGCGTCCAATCAGTCATCAGCGGACGGTGGCTAGCTGGTTGGGGGGAAGAAAGATGATTTGATTGTCGGTTTTGTTCGTGATTGTATGCCTTGGGCAAGAATCGTTGGTTGATGACGAGAAGACTGGAGAAGCACAAAGCGGGAGACGTTGGGCAGCTGCTCGTGGGCGATGCGGCACTCTTGTTAGTTCGCAGGTGATGCCCAACACGCCGGCATGCGCACGCATGGCCTTATGGGGTTGGTGAATGGAGCGGGCAATTGAGCGATTGTTTATGGCGCTCAGAGCGGCCGGTCACGTTGTGCGCATTGGTGCTGGTGATGGTGCTTGTGCTTGATGAGTTGGCGCTGCTGATGGGCTTGACCAATGAAGCCTCGGAGCAGGGGAGGTTGGGGGTCGTAGAAGGCAGGGGTTTTTAACATCGCTTCAGATCCGGGGCAGGTCGTTGGCTATCAGCTTGACTTGGGCGCCTTTCTTCACCTTCAGATGCACCTCACCAGCCTCCGGTCACAAAGACGAAATAGAACCGCCTCGTTGGATCTGCCCTCTCCGACTCCATGTCTCGCTCGCTCACGGTTGTGGATACGGCAATGAGCGGGCTCTACTGCGAATTGGCGGTTCGGACAGCGCCGTTGCGGGAAGGCTACCGCTAAACAGCTTCCAGTAGGGTCGACAATCGTCATTGTCCGTCGGAAAGTGGCCTCTCAGCAATTGCACACCCAACTTGTCGAGACATTGGGGATATCACCGCCTGGGATCAATATTAAGGTATGGACAAGGTGCGCCAAAGCCTGACGTGATCTTGCACAGGGCGGAATTATTCATTGAAACTCAATGGCCCATTGACTTTGAGAAGGCCTAAGTTAGAGGCGAATGATGTTGCCTTCGAGTTCTGACGACCTGCTGCACACTTGTCGAGCCCTTGTCTTACAACCCCTCTCGCTAAGGTAAGGTAGGGTTAGTCCTGGGTGTTCGTTTGCTCCCAAGCTTGAAGCTGACTCAACTGTATCTGTCTAATGACATACCTAGACAGTCAACCCCACTGCAAAGCCAACTCATTGCGACAACATACATCAACTGATGCCGAAACATCGAGCTACCACCCTTCTCGCCGCCGTTCGACCACTGCTGCGCATGCTACTTAGCACAAGACCGGAGACTCGAGCACGCTTCGGCGTTGCGTTTGCTCAACGTGTCATCTATGGTGCTTTTTCGGAACACCGATGCCACAGCAACGCGATACAGCATGCAACGAGCCGGCCGTGGTCGAAGAATACCGTGGTACAGAGTTTCAGGCAAGGCAACGGCTTGTTGATCATCCTCGGCTCACGAGTAGACCAGACACACAGCCGAAGTCTGCGCGTGCTCTTCATTCTGGAAACTTGGCAACGCGCCGTTGCGATACGTATTCCTCATCCTTTCCTCCTTCGGGTGCCTTGAGCACGACCAATGGGTATCAGAACAACACGCTGAAATACAGACAAACATTTGCGACGAGTCCCTCAACCTCAGCCTGAAGCTAGTCCCTGTCATCTCACAACAGCCGGTCCAGGTTCGGCAGGATAGCCTGGCGGGCGATCACTCGTCAATCCAGCAGGATTTGCCGGTCCATGCCCTGCCTCCAAGTCCCTCAACTCGACCTCCCTCGAATCTCCCATATCTCTCTTTCCATCGTACGGCGGCGGCGCCTCGCCTAGCTCATTGAGGCCTTCTTGACTCCTCGTGCCCCAAGGGCCCCATCGTCGTCCAGCACCCCCACCATTTCTGGCGGCATTGTTTCTGTATGGGTGTACTCGAGCCGAATATGGTGTAGCTGGGTTGGCGTGCGTCCAATGTGGATGAAGTGGCGCGAGCTTCGCCCTCTGGCGTCGGCGATACAGCATCGCGACGAACATGGCGCAGATGAAGACAGCCACAAGCGGGAAGATGACAAACACCAAGGGTCGTTTGGAGAGTCCAGAGTCGGAGACATCACTGCCAGCCATTGCTGTTCAGGCGACGACTGGTCGTGAGCGGAGCAGGCTAGTAGCGAGATCGTTTGGCAAAGGGTGATTGATTCAAGATTCTCGCAATCGGTCGGGCTTTCTGGACGAAAGGCTTTGGTCTGCCCCGTGATGAACAGCAGTCCGGAAAGGTCGGAGTGTGCCTTTATCTCGTGCTGTGACCAGGCTATTGTCAGGTATGTTGGTGTACTAGCGTAGGCGAACAGGTTACGTTCAGGTGAATGGAATGAACGCAGAAGTCTAAATTATTCACGACTCTGACGGGAAAACGTATCAAAAGTCAATCATTCGCGATTCAAGTGTGGAAGCGCGAGGATGGCCTTAATAATAATTAAGACAAACTGGGCAGATTGTCCACAGCCCCCCGAGGTCTACGTCGTGTGATCATAGACGAGCGGCAACTGCGCCCGAGTTGCACGCTGCCTTAGGAAACCGTCGCCACCATTTCGATGTGGTGTGTGGCAATGCCACGCTTGCTTGGCTGCGGAAGGGGCATGGATAAGCAGATTCCGGGTTTCGAATTCCTTAAAGCAGTCAACAGTGTCGCGACGCCAAGCTCTATGCCAAACGTGATGACAGATACACTCGGGAGTTACGATTCTGGGAGGAGTGCTTCGCCTCAAAGAGTGGCGTCCAACTTTTTACGCGTGATAGCGGGATCTTTGAGCAAATCGATACAAGGCGATCAGGCGCACGCAATTGGTAATTAAAGCTGTAAATCGCTTTGGCTGGTATAGACAATATAATTGCATGAACTGAGGACGCACCCCTTGCGACTTCGCAGAGGAGATGAGCGGTTCGCGAACTTGGATGTAGCGGGTGTCACGGTGGAAGGCAATCCGGTCCTGACCAACCCGTCGCGCACTACCCTATAGCCGCACTGTGAGTATCGCGTACGAACCTCGCCTCAGGATTCATAAGTCGAAATATAGAGGCTTCATTGCCTCCTAAAAGGGCAATCATTTACGCAAGTATATGATTGTTGTTCTCGCAGCATTCTATGGCGGTGTGGTCATATGTCAATGCGGTGCAGAGTCCTGACGCTCCGTGGTCGGGATCTTTGTCAGCCACATGGTGCCCTTTGGGCTTTGGCGCATAACAGCATCGTCACCTGCCTGCCCACATTTCTTCTGCAATCGTGACGACTAAACAGGCCACATTCTACCACCACCCCATTCTTATAATCACCGTTGAATTCTCTGTCACCATCACCATGCCCCGCGCAATTCGAGGTTCGTTCATCACCGTCACGGTTGCCAGTGCTGGGAGCTAATCGAAAACAAGGCGTCCTCGTCGAATGCGATCCGGCCATCAAGTCGATCATTGTCAACATTGACAGTGACAACCATGACTACATCATCGAGGAACTGGACGAGGAGCGCGTCGTGATTAAGGAGAACATGGTCGCCGCCCTCAAGGCGAAGCTCGAGGAGGTTTGTTTCCGTCCAATGTTGCTTTTTGTCCCTCGTGACGCAACAAGCCATGTCTGTCTAGTCTAGCATGCTAATTACATACACCATCACAGCGCCTAGCAGAGAACCACCCCGACGACGAATCCGGATCCGAATAGATATATTTCTCTTTTGATCCGACCGAAACGAAACACAACGCGCGTCTTCATCTGCCTACAAGCTACAATTTGGCAAAGGTCGGCTTCGTCTTCTTCAGCCCGCTCACGATTCCCTTCTTGAAATCCTCGCTCTGCACCGCCACCGAATTCCACACCGCCGTATACCGCAGACTCTCCACCGTCGCGTGATCGCGCCCGTGGTTCAGCAGCTCCTTGGTGCCCTGCACCGCAACGGGGCTTTTGCTCGCCAGTAGACCAGCCATGTCGAGCGCGGCCTGGAGAGCCGCCGCCTTGGACTCCCGCACGGAACCGACGAAGCCGACCTCTTTGGCCTCGGCGGCTGAGAAATCGCGGGCGGTGAGGCATACCTCCTTGACCCACGAGTGGTTGCCGACGATCTTGGGAAGACGGGTCAGGGTACCAATGTCCGCAGGGATGCCAATGTCCACCTCCTTGACGGCGAAGCGCGTGTTGGACGCGGCGATGCGAATGTCGGCGCAGCAGGCAATGTCAATCGCCAGACCCAGCGCGATGCCATGGAGCACGACAATCACAGCTGTGGTGACCTCACTGTCAACATGGCGCCCATCCATAGAAGCTAGAACGAGGAAGGGAATAGAAAACCAAATAAAACTTACGCTTCTCGCACTTTTCCACCGCACCAATGCAGCCTTGAAACTCCTCAATGTGACTTCTCAAACCCTTGGCCTTCCTCGCAGCGTCCGGCCCCTCGGTGAACAGCTGGCTTCCCTCACTGCTGGCCTGCACGTCCAGTCCCGCCGTGAAGGCCCGGTCGCCACTCCCGCTGAGCACCACGGCCCGGACGTTCTCATCTTCGCTGAGTCTTGTGAAGATGCGCCCAAACTCTAGCCAGACGGGTTCCGAAAAGGCGTTTAGCTTCTTGGGGCGGTTGATCTCGACATGCGCCACGCCGTCGGTCGGGTTGTAGACATTGAAGTAGGTGTAGGTGTACCCCGACAGTGGTGCTTGCGCGGACATGCTGGGCGTTGCGTTGGCGTGACGCTGCTTGACTTGCTCAATACAAGGGCCGAATTCCAGGAACGAATTGGAGTGACTATCAATATTTGTATTGAATCGAAAGAACAAGCCGTCGTTTGCTGCCTGTGTCCAGCTTCTGGAATGGGCCCTGGGGTAAGATGGTCAGCTTGACGGTGTGTGGGGAAGCCGAGGCCCGGCATTCAACGTCGCCGAAGCGTCAACTCAAATCACATGGGTGAAACTCTTCTTGCACCACGAGTCTACATATAATGAACCTTCACATACAATGACTACCGACAAGAAGCGATTGTATGTTTGCAATTCTCCGAGATGTCTTCTAACCTTCTTAGTGTAGCTATTGTGGGCTTATTCAAGTCTCACCTCCATAGGCGCGCGGGATCATGGACTTTGTAAAGATACGAGTTTATTTACGGCGGTGCTTAGCCTCGTCCGTAGAAGACGGCGGTCCAGTGCAATAACCCGCTTGAAGAAAAATGTCAAAGCTAAGGAAGATTGAGCCCCCGGCCTCATGCGAAGTTCGCACAGCGAGGCGCCCCTTGCGCCGTATGAAGATGAATGATGAAACAACAGTACATGCTCTAATTAGTGTCTATGCGTACCATGCAAACCAAGATCAACATCTCCCAGCTCTGTCTTACAACAACAGCGCGCCAAGCATAGCAAAGGTCGTCATGGCGATGGCGCCGCCAGCTGCGCGTAGCGACATGGCCCCATCGTCCTGGTTGTCACTTGAACCGGAGCCACTGCCATCGGTAGAGGAACCCGTTGGGGAAGCCTGACCTTGACTGACACTAGCAGTAGCCGTGCCGCTGTCGCCAGCCGTCTGCGAACCGGAGCCGTCCAGACCAGGACCATCGCCAGCACCGTTCTTCATGTACTTCTGAGCCTCCTCAGGCATTTCGGGGATCATGTTCGAGTCGACTTGCCAGTTGGATGACTTGGACGGGCAGTCGGAAGAGTGCGACTTCTTGGAGGCACCACCGTCGCCAGTGGGCATGGAGTACTTCTTGAGAGCAGCCTTGAAAAGGTCAAACTCCTTTTGTTCCTCCGCTTTGCCATTCTTGATCTTGACAATGCCGTAGTCGTTGTCCTCGAGAGAGTACTCGTACATCAAACCACCAGAGTAGACGCTAGTCATCTCGTCGGTCATCAAGGCGCTAAGCTCTTCGAACTCGCGGGGGCGGTTCTTGATGCAGCCGTACTCGGAGAGGCTGTGAGAGTTAGCGGATTGGCATAACGTATGCTCTGAGAATGACTTACAAGATGGGCAGACCGTAGTCGGTGAAGTTCTTGACCTTCTGGTCCCAGCCCGAGGTCTTGAAGTCCGAGTTGCACCAAGAGTAGTCGTTGAAAGCGAAGAAGTCAGAGCGCATGTCATCAGAGCCGCAGTTGAAGTACTCTGCGGTCTCCATGCGGTTCTGGGCGACATCGGCCGCCGAGTAGCCGACAGGGACCTGGCGCAGACCACGCGAGGAAAGATAGTTCTTCATGTCACGGGTGGTGGCCTTGACGTAAGGAGCAGCCTTGTCGGTGCCTGGCTCATCGTTGATGACCTCGTTGCCGGAGAAGAAAGCAGCGACGTTGTCGTACCTGGCGAACATATCGATGGTGGCAAAGACACTCTGGAGGTACTTGGCATTGTACGAGATGTGAGGGTCTGCACGGTTGATGGAATACTGGGGGTTGTTGACGTCCAGGACGAGGTAGATGCCGGCATCGTCCAGGGCCTTCATGCACTCATCGTGGTCCTTGCTGTTGTCGACAGCGTAGACACGGATAGTGTTGACGCCGAGCTTCTCGAACTCCTTGATGTCACGAAGGCAAGTATCGGGATCAGCCAGAGGGTCGATGTTCGCCGAGGCACCGCCGGGCTGGTAGTCTATGCCTCGCATGTACCAGCGGTCCTTACCAGTCCAGAAAGCTAGGATAGTTTTAGAAGAGTGTCGGTGGCACGGCACAATAGTGAATCTTACCGTTGCCGGAAGCCGTGACAGTGGGCAGGCTACCGGAGCGCTTGGTAGGGGGCTCCTTCTCAGTGGGAGTAGGAGAGGCAGAAACGGCGCCCAGAGCCGCGAGGGCTGAGATGATTGTGAAGCCCTTCATGGTGTGTATCGGTGGTCTATTCGAAATGCTCGAAGCGAGTGCGTGGGCGTGCTTTAATGGTGGGCTTGAGAGTGAAGAGCGGGACTAAGATTCTCAAGAGAGTGAGAGAACCAAGCAGTAAGAGAATTCGGCGAGAAAGGTATAAGAAGAAGAAAGATCCAACGTTAGCGAGGGAGTTGGACCGCGGGTAGGAGCAGAGATGGCTGGAAGGAAAGAGTGAGTGAGACCTGGACAAGGTGAGGGAAAGCCAGGCGAGTACAATGGGGGAAGGAGAGACAATCGGGAAGTCGAGAGGAATGGATGCTGAAGTGGGAGTGGCGGTTAATAAGGGTCCACCAGTCCGCTCTGCCCACAGGTACTATCCATAGATTCCATACCAAGGTATCCATCGAATCATCGTTACAGCGTGGCACTAGCACACAGGTAACTTATTGGCACAGCAGTGCGGGTATGAAGGCGGGACTTTTAGTGAGGCACATCGCAATCAACAGTGGACATGGAGGTGGGCGCGACTGCGCCAGGGGAGTCGGGGACTGGACTGGACTGGACTCGGATATGGCACACGTATTGGAAAGGTCCCACCGATCACCACCTATAGAGATTTCTCAACCGTATGTATTTTGCAGTCCCAAGAGGGCCAAGACACCTAACGGGAGGCAAATGGTAACGCCAATGGTTCAAGGTGTGGGGTGCATGCCCGGCGTGGGCGCATCCGTATTTACAGCCAGGCGTTGACTGGAGTTGAGTCGTTGACGGGACTGGAGGGAGGACATGAGGTGCCGTTACGAGGTTAGCAGCACCATCACCCACCCCCCTCCTGGAATGCACTCGACGCTTCATTGACACGTACTTCCTGTACACATCCTCAGCCTCGCTTTTCACCTTGACACGGCGACACATGGAGTACGAGGCCCAACATCAGTTTGATCAAGTACTGCACACTGCTGCTCTCAATCGGGACTTAGACGACCGACCTGGTCCTGCTTGGCGCTTCGGCTCACGGCAGCCTTGCCAGGATGATGCGTCGCTCCCCTGCAGTGTCGCAAACTCGCAATCCCACCCTGTGAACTGAAGTCTGACGCGTGTTAATACGGGCATTGTCTGCTCACACATGCCCGACGGTTGTCCTCACCAGCTGCATTGCAATGAACGTGTGACTCTTGCCGCCAGACTAATAATTAGAGACTTCCCCTATTCACCACCACCGTCGCCAGAAATTGAGAGATCGTGGCGAAGCATCTGGGCTGCGTCCACAAGACCCAAAAAATCACACTGCAAGTGCCGTGTCCCGGTTTGATGGTGCCGTGAGATCCGACTGCACTACTCATCAGAGCGGTCTTGCTCGTATAATCACCTGGAGCGCTTGTCGGACCAAGCCATTTGGAGGCCTCAGCCTCGACCTATTTGTACCAGTGCAGCACCAAGCACGGAAGGACAGCGGCTGAGCAGACACACTCCGCGACACAGAATTGCAAAGACGCCAGCACTCTTCGTGCCTCAAATCGCCCAATCGATTCCCCGCAGAGTCTTTCTTTCGGTAGTGCGAATGTTTGCCTGCAAGCACTGACATGACGATTCTGTCCAGACTAGTCACTGTAACGTATCTGATTGCAGGTGTCGTGTCGTGGCTCGTGCTCCCGTACCTACAGCAGCCGATCCGGATCGTCAGGGGATGATAATTTACGTATGGCCCACGCGCGCGGCGCCACTTTGTCAGCGGCCGGGCCACTGGCCAGCCCCTGCCCCTGAACGCCCAGGGGGGGTTATGATGATTTATTCAGCGTTGGCAGTTACTCAATCTAGACCTACTCAATCAGTCTTCCACTCAATCCAATCCGGCCTTTTTTGCCTTACTCAAGTGCCTAAGAGCCTAATAACTTTAATCTAGTAAGAAGCCTCTGCTGAGTTAGATAATAACTTAATCTAGTCAATCTAGTCAATCCAATCCAATCTGGCCTCTTTTCTACTCAATCGTAAGGGCCCTCTTCCTCAATCCACCCGAAACAGGCCGCAGATTGAGTAACTGCCAACGCTGGATTCATTTCATTATGCCAGACCAGTGGACGATGGAGCTGGTCAAGTGTTCATGCCGTCATCTGAGCCGCTCCGACACGTTCGATCAACGCTGTAGCTCCAATTTAAATATGTGAAACGCCCTTGATCGTCGGCGGTTTGAATTTGACAGGCCTGGTAGGCCTGAAGCCGCCTTGCTGCCGTGTTTGAGGCCTCACGCGTCGTTACACCATTGCAGACGTAATAGAAATTAGTGCCGCTGTCTGGTGAAATATGGCACCCCGGTCGCCAAGGGCGGGAGAGCCAGGTTTCTAGCTGTCTGACATTACCGAGATTCGAGATCGCCAAGGCTCCAACGGTCAACATGATCCACGTCAAGTCCAAGCTTCTGAATGTACGAACAAAGTATCATGTGTACTACTCGTCAAACAGGCCCGGTTGGTCCCTTCGCTAAGTGGTCGCTCGCTTGGCTGATGGCTCGCTTGTCTACTTTACGCTACACATTGAAAAGATCCTGCACGCCGGTCCAGCTTCCCCGGGCTCGCTCCTCCCAGTACGAGTCCTTGCCGCTCTTGATCTTCCACACTTCCTCGCCGTCGGGCGCGTTATCTGCCCTCACAAACCATCTCGGCTGGTGCTCTTCGCCTCTGACTTCCATTTCCTTGCGTCGCGTGCGCTGTGCCTCCTCGAGCTGTAGCTTGAGGGACTCTGCCTCGTCCAGATCGCCCTCCTCTGCGCGACGCTGATCCGGCCGCAGCCTGCAGTCCGTCGGTGCCATGTGATCCTTTTCGATACTGGTAATCTCATTCAAGCCGGCCGCGAATTCGGTCAAACCGTACGTCTGCGGCGCGTTCTGCACGAGGGGGCCGACCTGCCAGATCTCGTCGCTCGCCGCCTTGCCGGGACCTTGGGTTCGGAGACCTGAAGTCCATGTGCCGACCAACCCACTGCCGGTGTTGCTGCCGTCAGGGCTAAACGTCGTCACATTGACGTCCTCAATGCGGCCCCCAAACATACCCTTGCCCTTGAACTCCACGGTGGCCTTGTGCCCGGTAGAGTCGTTCACGACGTGCATCGTGCCCACGGGCTCCACGTACTTCTCGCCCATGACCACGTTACGCAGGAACATTGTACCAACATTCCACGAGTACAGCTCGTCGTTGCCGTCGGGCAAACGTAAGGCGACGCGCACCCGTCCCTCCATGGTGATCTCCGCGCTCTTGCCCCAGAACTTGTTGCCCGGTGCTGGAGACTGGGCAAAGGACCAGTTGGCAGAGTCGGCGTGCATGGCGAGTCGCAGTGGACGATGGGACACCTTCTCCACAAGCAACCTGAAACCACCAGGGACCTCGTGTTCGGTGCGCAGGAGTTCAAAGGTCTCACCGAGCAGCGGCGTAAAGGGCTTGCGGATAGCACGCTCCTTGACGCGACTGCTACTGAACTGCGAGACGGCAAAGGCGGTAACGTAGAGCAGACGTTCCGTGGGCGTCTTTTGCTTCACGGCTTGATCCAGCAGTTCTGCATACTCGAGCTGCTCAGCAACTTTTTGAAGCACCGAAATAGGCTCATTCGCAGACACAGGCATGGTAATGGTGCTCAAATCCTTGCCCACATTTTTGCGCACAAAGGCTATCAGGCTTGGTGGCATCACCGTGGCCTGAGGTATCGACGTTCGGCGTTGCATGCGCTTCTCGATAGGCAGAGGGATAAGGCTCTTGGGCTTCGCAGGGAAGAGGCCTGCGTCGCCCATGGCAGTCATCTCATCACCCTCCCCGGACGACACAGACGAATTGTCATTCTCATCCTCGGCATCCGAACCTTCGTCGTCCTCGCTATCTCGAACTTTGACGACACCGGACTTGGCATCTTCGGCGTCGAAGAATTCGTCGGCAGTGGACACCGTCTCGATACTCTTGCGCGAGGCACCGCCCGCAGACAAGGGGGCCTGCATACGGCGGCGCTTACTGTTATTGATGAGGGTCGTGAATTCCAGGACGACAGAGTCCAGGTCCGTCAGCAGAGCCTGGCAGTGGTCTTCCACGGACCTTTCCTCTTGCCCCTGTCCCTTTGATCCCTTGGGCTTGCCCTTGGTCACGCGCGCGCCGTTCATGGACGCATTGGCGCTGCCCGGGGAGGGCATCGCCATCGCGGGGCCTACAGCCTGCTGCGCCAGAGCCGACGTTGTCGTAGCAGCACTCGATTTTCGCCTCCAAAAGGGCCTCTTCTCCGGTGGGGTGAAGTAGCCATCACTTCGCTCATCTACGGCGCCCGAAGCGCTTGGCGACAAGAATTGGCCGGACGGTGGACACGCTGGGGCGGTGATATCTTTGGTCAGTCGGCGCAAGGCGTCGCGGGTGCCAACAACCCGACTGACCAAGGTCTCGACCTGATGCCATTCGTTCTCCTCGTCCTGGCTTGTAGATGCAGGCCCCCGAGGCACGCGCGTATCGAGCTTCATCATGCTGGCTCTGTTGTGGCGCTGCGGCATGGCCTCGATGCCCCGAGCGAGCCTGCTCGCCCTCTCCAGTGCCTTTGCCCACTCTTCAAACTCCTTGCTGTTGGGTGCCCGCAGATGCCAGACTTCTGCCCCCGAGTCGATGCTGATCTCCCGCCTGCGCTCGTCCGCTGCGACCGCCGCGAGGCTCAGGGGGATGGCGCCACGCAAAGCAGAGGAATTCCGATTGTAGTAGTATGATAGCGTGCATGTCGAGTAATCGAGCGAGAAGAAGCGGCGGGCGTAGCCCTGGCCCTTCTTGCGGCGTCTCTTGGACAGGGTGCCGACGTGGTAATTCGTCGGTGCCGAACCCCCTTCACTTCGGCCAGACACGGACTTTGGTCTACCTCCATGACTGTGAAGACTATCCGAGGACTGGGAGGCGCCGCCTTCGAGGTTGGGGACATATTTCGCGAGGCTCGTCTGGCTCTGCGTCGAGTTCGGTAGCTGTAAATTCGGTAGATGGTTCACGGTCTGCGGTGGAGCGTCCGTTGGGTAGGTGAGGACGACAAAGGTAGCCGTCTTTGAGGTCTGCTTCGAGAATGTGTTGTCGAAAACCAGCCCGTACATGCCGCCGTCCCCTACGCCGACATCGTGCGTCCCCATGGACACCTTGTCCGCCTCGCACTTGCCCAGCCACTTGACTGATATGAATCCTTTCTTGGCCAGCAAGTCTTGCGCGGTCGAGTCGCGTTTCGGTATGCGGCTCGTCTTGCCTTCGGATTCGCCGTGGGTTCGAGACGCGCCATCTGGGACATCGCCGACGCTGGAAGCCGAGTGCAAAGCAGTGGCACCGTTGCCAGGATGCTTGACAATGCCAAAATTGCTAGCGCCTTGGTCAGTTATGTACGCGTTTCTGCGGGGCAGAATGAGCCTACATTGACTTCTTATGAGGTTGGACACTCCATGACACCGTGTTGCCTTCGTCGACCTGCACCCAACGTACGATATAGGACTAGTCCAGCAATTAGCGACTCAACATGGCACGAGGCCGTCAACTGCGCCCGACGTACCCTGCTGTGGACCTCGAGATGCTCGATGCCCGCCATCGTATGAGGTCAGGGTGGGTTGCGTGCGCGTAAAGGGCGGAATGGCAGCTGGAAAACTTGAGGGTACTCGGGTGTCGAAGCTGCGGCCAGTGGGCTTTTTATTAGGGCGTTTCCATGTCGACCCTGCTGGTCTGGTGTATCTTGGCGTGCAGATCGTAGGAGGAGGATGCAACAGCCTATACGTATGCGAACGAGATGGGGTTGCAAGGCAGCCTGGCAGAGAGCCTCTGGATTTACCAAGAGGCTGGGCGCTGTCTGCTTTACGAACCCGAGCAAGCTACGTACGTCGTTGCTGGCATGGAGGGGGATGGACCATGTTCCAGTTGTTCTCGCACTGTGTGTGTGGCCCACGTCAGCGCCGTGGCTGGGGCCAGAAGCTGGGCCAAATACAAGGTTCGTACAGTGCGCATTAGGCTGTCAGCATGCTCGCAAAGCTCGGCTGACAACAAGCTTCCAGCCCCCCCTCTCTCCGCGCGGCATCAGGGATGCGCAATGCGCCACTTATTATATTTAGACTCGTCCGCCTTTGCTTCGGTTTCACTTTTTCCACGCGTCACTCAAACTTACTCAAGGCACGAAATGCCCGATTGGGAGCTCGTTGGCCTCCGTACTTACGCAAGTAGCGAAGCTGGCCTGTTCTCTTGTGCTCGGCAGCAACTTCAGGTCCCAACATTGACTTGACATGACGGGTGTCCTTCGAAATTCCTGCACGTCGCAAAAGATTACTTAATGAGGTGGTGGCGCCTCAGTTTCGACGCTACGGCCGAACTCACTGTGGACAGGTAACCTCGGGATGTCGAGCATTAGGTATGATAGACAAGATCACATGGTTTATGTCGACAAGTCGCGACTCATTGCCTTACCACTATTCTGACCCTGATTCCAGAATATGGGCGTTGACCGGGATAGAATTGAATATGTTGAATGCCATATCTTCCTACAAAAGTATGACACTTGCAATTCAGCCTCATTATTGCCCAGCATAGGTATCGAGTTATTTTCGCACAATTATCCCAGATTCGATGGTAATAGCCGCGCTGATTCGGTCAGAATCAGGGAGAACAATGCCGGCACCGTGGCCGATGGCCCTATGGACCCAATTCTTTCAAACGCATTCCGGGCTGTTCCTTCGAGCTGCATTTCGGCCTTTGATTGCTCGGTGAGTATCAAGCTCGAATCGGGAAGCTGATCCAACATGCCTGCGGCACACTGGATGTCGCGCTTGTCCAGCTTCTCGGTCACCTCTTGTAGGCACCCCTCCCCAGGTCTATTCTTCTCAAAACTGGCCTTCCATGCCGATATGACTGCCGATGTCGTCAGGTCACGGGTGCTCGCGTAGGTGACGGATGGTTTCCGCAGGCCATCGGGCCCTCTCGTGTTGTCCAGGTGCAAGTAGCTGCCCCATCTCTTCCCGCCGTTCCACAGCGTCACGCTTTTGAGTTTCGGCATGAGATACAACGCGTCGGAGGCATCCACGAGGGTATCCGATAGGGCACTCGAGTCCTTCAAGCAGAACAAGCCGCAGGTCATGGACAACGACTCCAGATTTGGAAAGCACTCTGCTTTGTTCTTCGCGGAAGACCATATCCGCCGTGCTGCCCAGAAAAAGTCTTCCGGCTCTATTACAAAAGAGAGGCATACGCGACGAAGACGGCATATTGTGAAGACAATGTGCATAGGCATTCCATAGCCCGATTGGGAAGACAGATGAACACCATTGTCGAGTCGAGCTTCTTGATTGATCGGCTCACCGTGATCACAGAAGACACTAAAGTTCTCCAGACCGCGGTTTACCATGATGTCCAGATTCCTCATGGCACGTGGTGTCGGGTAAGGGTCGACTGGGTGATGCCATCTCTCGTACCGTACTGTCCTGAGGTTGGGCATATTTCCACTAGCGAGCTCTCGGAGGAAGGCAAATGCTATGCGGCGATAACCATGTCTCCGCACCTGCAGAGTAGAAATCACCTCTACACGTGGGAATCGATACCACTTCTGAGGTACGTTGTTATCTGATCCGAAGAAGATAGGGTAGTTGCCCGCCGCTGGACTCAGCAAGGTAGAGAGGACCCTACGTTTGGCGCCATAAGGGGCGTGTGCGCCTCGGCGCACCAGGTTCCAGGAAGGGCAAGCATCAGAAGCATCCCGGACCTTTTGCAAATGCTTCTTGTACAACTGCTTGGACTGAGGGCCTTGCATCTGGCTCGACTTTTCGAAGCGATACTCTCGAAACCCATGCTGGGCGTCGCTTGGTGACCTGGCACCGATCTCGAGACAAATTCCTCCTCGTCCCTCGACAGACCAGCTCGACAGCACAGCAAACAGATCACGCATCCCTCTGAAGAGAATTTGGCTGTTGGTGAATGCAGTGTCCTCGTCCTCTTCCTCCATGCACTCGCTGCAGTCGTATGTCGACAGCTTAGCGACGAAACTGATCTTCTGGACGTACAGCTGGCGGTGGTTGCGGTCGCCAATCACGCTTTCTAGGTGAGGTAACTTGTGCTGATCGAGGTGAATAGTGTGAAAGCTCTCTGGTTCGAACCATCTTTGCCATTGCTTGCAAGTGGTCACGTAGTTGGTGATGTGTGTCCGCTCGGATTCGCGTAAGATGGAGAAAATCATGATTCGAAGCTCGTTAGGGAGGTTTTGCCAGCCGGTTCTCGTTCCATGGGGAGTCGATCCATGGCCACGATGGAAGCCTTGTTGGACATTCTTCTCCATTCCACGAGGCATCCTGGTAAGACGACAGCGCTGGGCACATGTTGGACGCAGTTCCAGCTCTGGTTGGAGCAACAAAAGGGAAAGTAAAAGTTCGTAGGAAATTCCACGAGGAGCTGTCGTCGTGCGAACCAAATGACCCTGTTGGCCACGCCATCTTGAACCCTAAACTGTCCATCGCGAAGTTCGGGCATGTTACCTAGTGAGGGTAGCGGTGCAGATGACAAACTCAAGAAATTCCTTTCCAGATGTAGCACGGCAATCTGCTGTCTTTCATTCGTGAGGTATATCACCGAGAAACCTGAGATTACTTGGGCTCTTGCGATACCGCCCATCAAACAGGAGTCCGTAACGGTCGACTGGAGCCATCTTACCCGCGACAGCTGGCAATCCTTTTAAGCTCGCACAGAGGTACGTATTCACAGTGTCGACCTTTTCTCCGGTTGACGATGCGTAACCGGAGTCAAGTACGTACGTAGACGTGCCATGTCAGTGAAGTTGACGGTGGGCCGGCCAGCAGTCCGCAGTCCAGTCGCTCGAACGTGGGGTACGTGTATTCATCCATGTACTCCGTACCCACCTGTTAGCGCACCTGGCGGCCGTGACGCGGGCGTGCTAACACGAGGTACTAATTTAGCACGTCGTCCCATTTTCGATAGCGGACGGCGTCTGCGTCAAGGAAATGATTTCTGTCGATAGTCGGAGCCCAGTGCGTCCTGCACTTCCATTTCCATCTAATTAGGTCTACTAAAATAATGGGCAGAATCAATTCATTGAGAGCTGATTGCTTGGCCATTGCAATTGGCTCACTTCTCCACTGAACCTGCTCGTAGGCTGGGCCAGACAGACGCATGCACCCGCATTCTTCCAGAACATCCAACCCAACCCCGGTCCCCTTTTCCAACAACTGCCAAGAGCCAACATTGGCCGCCCACGATTCGCTCATCCGCCGTCTTCGTTGGCGACCTCTTTTCCTTGCTCTTTACGTCTTTCGCTCAATATAGCATTGCGACTGTATCTGTGACGAAAGCATAAGCGAGTCTGTTTGTATTGCATAATCCGAGAGCCTGACGTCGGCTCTCGCTCGTACACCTTTTCGTTCCTCCTGATTTCCCAGGGCCTTGAAAACCCGCGCAGTAGGGGCAACAAATCACACGATCCCGTTCACAAAGTTGTCACACCCATATCGATCCGCAGCTCAGGTCCGCGTGCTTCCGGTCGCGGCAGATAACCGACGTCCTTTGCTCGCCGTGTAACGATACTGATCCGACCCGATCGAGCGCGGTTCGCCAGCGCATCGCAATACGACATGTCTACAGCTCTGAGCAAGCGTCAGCAGGCGCGCAACGAGAAGACGCTGAAGGAGCTCGTGCAGAATGTAGCTGGAAACAATATTTGCGCTGACTGTCACGCCCGCAACCCTGGTACGGAGAGTTCCAGGATCCTACACGTGGTAATGACTTGAGAGGCTGACTTGCTGCCTACTGCAGCTTGGGCATCTTGGAGTTTAGGAGTCTTCCTCTGCATGCGATGTGCGGCTATCCATCGCAAGCTGGGGACGCACATTTCAAAAGTCAAGTCATTGAGCATGGACAGCTGGTCGAACGAGCAGGTCGACGTAAGCACGACGCGCGAGGATCATGCGTGCGGTCACTGACTTGGGACACAGAACATGCGCAAGGTTGGCAACGTGGTGTCGAACCAGATCTATAACCCCGAACGAAAGAAGCCACCTGTATCAGTCGACGTGGACGAGGCCGACTCGGCAATGGAGCGCTTCATCCGAGCAAAGTACATGAACAACAATGCCGGTACAAGCCAGGGTGGAAAACACACGAGGCCGCTCTCCGATGAAGGCGTACCGCCCCCTCTGCCGCCAAAGAACTCTTCCAAGTTCAGCCTCCGCTCGGCTGCGTCAATTTTCCCCTCGCGACTGCGAAAGGACCCTACGCCCTCTCCCACCATCGACAACAGACCATCCTCGCATGGCTCGGCAGGCAAGGTGACGCGTGTATTTGGCGCTTCCGTCAACTACGATGACGGCGACGACATGGAGAGGAAGTTGGCAAAGATGCGCGACATGGGGTTCAACGACGCGCAGCGCAACGCCATTGTGCTCAAGGGGGTGAACGGCAACCTGGAGCGCGCAATCGAGTCCATGGTGCGACTTGGCGAAAGCGGTCGTAAGTCGCCTGCCCCGGCGCCACCTCCGCACGATGGGACTTTGCGCACATCCAAGTCGATGACACCTTTGGGCGGAGGCGTTGGTCTATCTCTCAATGGTCGGAGTGGCAGCACCTCACCAAGGGTCCAGTCGAACAACCCCTTTGATGCCATGTCGCTGCCAGCACCGCTTCAAACGGCCCAATCTACCGGCAATCTCCAAACCAACAACCCGTACCAGCAGTCTTACCATCAGTCTTCAAACCCTTTTCAGGCGCCACAGCAGCAGACGGATCATTTCGCGCAAGCCTTTCAACAGCTTGACATCTCGTCCGCCCACCAGCCGCAGCCTCTGTTTCCCAATAGGACAGGTGGGCTGACACCCCAGGCCGTGAACCCTCCTCAGTTCCCACCACATATGGCTCCCTCAGCCCCGGCAAGCCCTCACTTATATCAACAGATGGGCTTCCAGGCTGTGTCCTACCCACAAGCCGCGCCCTTGCAGCAACAAGCGACAGGGTACAATCCATTCCTTCCCAACACTCCGAACAGTGCCCAGTCACCCCAGACTCAGTACCAGTATCCTCCGCCGCATAACCAATATGTCAATACTGGAAGTGTGCCACAGCAGTACCAGCAACAGCAACAACTATTACAAGAGCAACATACCCCCACAAGCAATCCTTTCGGGCCCCGTTCGCCTACAAGAGTGGCCTCCCCAACTGGTCTGGGCCAGATCCCTGAACAAACACAAACGTCCTACCAGAGCGCAGTTTACCAGAGTCCAGCGGCCATGCCACCTCAAGCGGGGGCAAACAACCCATTCTTCACGAGCCCTGCAGAGACGTCAACCCAGATGTACGGCCAGCAAGGGTACTATCAGCCGCCCAGGCAAGATAAAGCGTCCATTATGGCGCTATACGGACTTGGTGGGCCCCAACAGTCCATGTCCACTGATACCACGCACTCGCCACCCATCCAGTCGCAATCGATTCCGGAGGATCATCCTGTGCCACCACAGCAACACCAAGAACCACCTCCTCAGGCAGCGCCACAGAGGAACGCGACCCAGCCTCTGCCGCAGACAACCAGCAACAACCCATTCATGCCCAAGCCGGCGGCAGCTGCTGTTGCGCCCAGCGACCCATTTTCGTCGAAACGGAGTCGCGAAAGCGTGAATCTAGGTATGGACATGGCTTGGACTAATGGGCGGCACAGTCCAGACGCATTCGCAAGCTTGAGCGCGCGCCACGGTTGAGAGACATGACAATGATATGGACATTTGCATCACGTATATAATGCCATGTATATGTACACTGAGTCAAACTTGACGCCTTTTATGGAAGTCTTTGAACATGGTCAAAGAAGATATCCCCAGGCTCCTCACATGAAGTCGGGGAGTACAAACATCGCCTGTCAAAGTGAATCTCATCGTGCGACCTTTGTTTCTAATAGTACCTGTGGTGCCATGCTGCTTTCGTCCAACGCAAGCGGGGCACTACGTAATTGGCCTGTTCAGCCTTGCTAGGTAGGAAGCGAATTCCCAGTGCGAGGCAACTCTTCGCTCAGTCCAACAGAGAGGAGCGCGACGTGTTACGAGGTTTGCGGCGCTCTCAGTACCAGTAGGCAAGGTACTGAATATCGGAAAGCCAGGCTGTCTCTCGTCCAGAGTGCTATTTCAGTAGCACGGATGACTGGAGGCCAGACGTAGTAGAGGCTATTCTTCCCCGCATGGGTAACGCAAGCCAACCCGTCCGACTATCACTGGCAATTCATCATGGACGTAGTATCGCATTGTGATAATAAAGATTACCCTGAGATATGCCATAAACGAGTTGCTTAAAGCACACGCGAGGCGTACGAGGCAGAGTGGATGGGCAGAGCGCTCAAATGCAGTGATGATATGGCATTGTGGTAATGTACCATGCTAGCCGCTCTGCATAATCCGTCCTACCCATCAATTCCGGACCTGGATTTCACCTTATCATCACCATTTCCGTCAACACGTTCGCCATAGGCATTCTGCCCTTTACGACGCCAATGACGTTCTCAGAGCCACAGCAGCCGTCTGTGAGCTTCCATGATATCTCAATATTGCCATAGCCCAGGTCAATCTTCCCAAGCGCCAACGCGACTCTCAACGACGAGGGCCCACGCTGGGTCCCCGAACTCGAGTATCTTATCTTCCGGGTTCACATCGCCAACTTTACCTTACGATTTGAATCTATCAGCATGGATGCCGCGATGGACGAGGGAAGCGCGAGTCCGTCACCCCTGACCAAACCGAAGACTCGTTCCCTATCCGACAGCAACAGCACACCGAGCAAACTATCCCCATCGCCCTTTATCATCGAAGCAACCCATCGCGCCTCGAGGGACGATAGCAGCATTCCCCCGGCCAGCAATGCTCAGCCCGTGACGCCGCGCCGGCCTCAGGCGACTGCAAGTAGCGCCTTTGCCCTTCACATGCCATTGTCGCATCACGCAACGCCTCCGGTCGCATCGGCAAGCCAACGACAACAAGAACAACAAGAGCAGGCGCCGCCTGCATTCACCGGGCTGGGATCAGCCAAACCTGTGCCCCTGTCGCCAAAGCTTGACCAGGGGCATACGTTTGCTTCGCCGACAAATATTCTACCCAGAAGATCCAGGGGCCTAGACTTCTCCCGCGCCGCGACAAGCTTACACCACTCCACATTGGCGGAACAGTCATCTCCGGATTCTTCCCCTACGATGGGGGGCAAGTCGATGGCAATCCCAGGCCGACGGGACAACTTCTCCAGAGGACCGGAACAGACGTCTACATCCCTCTGGTCGATGATGGGGAACCAAGAAAAGACCAACCTCAGCCATTCCCTGGGCAGCACACGGGCCATGTGCTCAGATCTGTCGAGCTCGTCCGACGACGACGATATCATGGATGAGGACACAGACGAGGCATACGTGACAACGCCCCAGGTATCCAGGACAGCGGAACCGACCGGCAATTTTGGATCGCCGGCGATGGGGAGCCTGATGAGCTTCCAGCAGCGGCAACGGGGCAGGAAACCAATCAAGAAGAAGGGCAGAGGTACAGCAGGACTGGGGTTCAGCCATCAGGGTGGGGGATCTTCACCGCCTCACGCGTCCGCCGCCAGAAGGGAGAGCATTAGCTGGCAGGCGAAACAGCTTCATATCTCGGGGATGGACGCCGACGAGCACGGTAAACCTATTGATGCGGATGGCTCGGGCGATGGGCAAAGGAGTGTTGTACGCCGACCCGTCACCCGACGAGGCAACCTGCTGCCCAAGACGAAGACCTTTGCCCGCATCAGAGCAGCCCTTTTCGAAGAGAATGCGCCCGCGGAAACAGAGACACGGCGTGAAGCCGAGGTCGTCAAGCAAGTGCGCGAGAGCGATGTGCCAGACCTCGAGCCTCGGCGACCCCCCATACAACAGCAGCCACTGCCCGAAGTGCCGCCCCCAGGTGGCCATGCCCCGGTATCAGCTCTCTCGTCGCCCGCTCAAGAAACTCTGGATGATATACCCGAGGGCGACCTGATGGGCGATCTCGCGGCGGGGCTGTCCAGCAGCTTCAAGCAGCATGCCATGCGCAACTCGAAAGGCAAACACTTCTGGGACACTTTTTCGGAGACAAGCAGCGTCGCGGGCCAAAAAACGCCGCCACCACCCAACAACGGCCTACCTCGCGGCTCATCGTCCGGCATCAGTGAGGATGTGCCCATGGACTCGCCTTCGGGCGGGGGCCCTCTACAGTGGCTTGCCGCGCAGCGGCGCTCCGACTCGGAACGATCCGACAGTGCACAAACCCCATATCCGGGTCAGCCGCCTACTGCGACTGAGATCACACGTCGCATCAATAGCAAGCGTCGCCGCGATGACGACTTTGATCCCGTGAGCCTCAAGCGCCGTGCTGTTAGCCCTGGCCTGAGCGTACATAACTCACCGCTACCTCAGAGCCCGATGCAACGCGATGTTGCACCTTGGGGCTCACGGCCAGGCAGTAACGGCGGTGAAAAGGCAGGGAGTCAGAGCGCGCCCAGCGACTCGGGAAGCACACCCGGTGCTCAGCAGCAGAACACGACGGGAACCAATAGTGCCGGGAGTCGTGTCAATGGGAAGGGCAGGATCGGGTTTCAGGGCATGACGGATACGCATGATGGTCTCATGCGGATGAGCATAGAATAGGCGTTTCTGGACTTTTGTTGCGAGCATTGCAAGGGCGTTCTGCTGCGGACTTGGGACTGATTTTTACTATTGCTACGAGATGGATGAGCAATGGACGGAGCAACACTAGCATCATGGACCCAAATGAGCGAGGAATCATTACTCGCCGAATATAATGTGTTTATATATACACCTGAAGGAACGCTCAGCCCCGTGATGCATCTTGGTATCAATCCCAACGCCGTGAAAACATAATCGACCTTCTCTCATACGAAGACTTGTTGGTCTATTCGCCGCCAACGCCCTCATCCGGTACTGTCAACGTGCCCAGCTTGTCATCCAGCCACTTCGCCAACTCGATTGCGTGTCTCCTTATGACGGCATCGGCAACAGAGGCACTCGTACCAACGGTGCTGCTCAGGTGACTCCCCGCATCGCTGGGGCTCGTCGAGACGGTCGGTGGTGGGACTGTCAGGGAAGTCGATGCCTCGCCGGGGTCGAGTTGGGCTTGCACGGTCGCATCCTCGGCGGACGACGAGGAGGACGACGACTCGGTCGGTATCCCGATGCAGACGAACAGCAGCCCACAGTTGAGCCTCCGTATCAGGACGACGCCCGTGTCGGTCTGGACTGTGACGGTCTGTGGCTTGGTGACCTCCTTGGCCGACACCTCCTCTGCATCCTCCTCATCCTCCTCTTCTGAGCTCTCCTCTAGCGAGAGATTTGATGCGTGGATCGAAAGCAGCGACGCCGCGACGGTAGCGTGCGTGCGCAGAACGGAGACGGGGTGGGGCGACGCGTGGGCGAGGAGCTTGCCGGTCGGTGAGGTGATGAGCAGGCTGGGGAGGGAGGGGGATGTGTTGGCGGAGAGGAAGGCGGTTAGGCGCTTTGTGAGGAGAAGGGGCGGCGTCGAGGAGGCCATTGCGGAAGAAAAACACGTGGCGGTCTCTCTGAAGTGGTGTCGCTGGCCCAGTGGAGAGCGAATTGGTGGTAATGAGGGAATCGCCTTGGCTGTCGCGAAACCAACGAGAAGGAAGGTCTTGGTGATGGATGTGAGCTTGGTCCGCCAGCGTCATGGCGCGGGGTGCGATAAGATAAGGCAGACCACATCCCGCTTCCAACCACGCGTGAACCCGCAGCACAAGAACAGTATTAATTATACCTTACCTTTTTCAATCTATTGACTTTCAATGGCCAATTGTACATATAAACCATCACGATGGCATACGGATATGAGTCGATGCAACACCCTCACATCGACCAGAACCGTCGAGGCGCCATCTGATTGTCAGCATTGGCCTGATCCATCATCTTCACACTCAATGCCTCTGTTATTGCCACGGTGCCAAACTGCCAATGCATTTCTTAACTCACATGCTTGGTTCTCCTGAAGTTTCGGCTCCGTACAGGACCTGCCTTGTATGGCTATTTGCCTTGCGCCAGATGTGCAAGGGTTGTTTCCAACAGTGGCTCTGGATCAATGCGAGGCCATGTCAGCCTGCCAGAGCCCAGTACGTAGTAGCACAACATACATGGCGCGAAAGCACACTGCAACGAGATGAGGCTTGCGTTGATGTCAGCGAGCTATTGAACGCCGCTCGTTGGTCACTTTAGGTGTTTCACGTCATTGCGGCTGCATCTAGGGTTCACGTCGAGTATTGTACAGCATCCAGGTCCAATGGCGGCTGAGGGTGTCCTCGATTGCCTGACCAAGCGCTAATTTGGGGTGCCACAAGGCCAAGAGAACAGTCCTCAATGCGATACGCGCGACGGGCTTGGCAAATCATTCACACTTTTGATAAAGTGCATCCCGTGCGCATGTTGAGCCCATACGTATTAATAGACTCGGAATCCTGAGACCGGTGAAGGGAACTGCGCGAGACTTGTTGCAACGCGCAAGATTCTGGGTGACGTTTGCTCTGCTTCGCAAGGTGCTCACTAGGGCGTTACAAGATGCCGTGCACCAATCAGCAGGCTGAGACAATCAGAAGATCAGCGCGCACTAGCCGCAACGAGCCTCCACGGCCAGTCATGTCGTTCCTGCATTTGGAAGGCACCACCACAGTCCTTGGACAAGTGCCTGGCTTCTTCTACATGGGCTCTACGCCGTGGGTTGAGCGGTCCGTCAGCAAAGATACGACGTGAACAAAATGTCGAAGCATGAACCGAAGACATTCTGAATGAGCCACAGCCCGTGAAAGCACACTACAAGAACGTACCTTCAGGCAGACTGGACTTGGGAGGTGGACCCGGATCACGACGATCAATTTCTGCGGAGGGCGCCTACCCCTGGATTCCCTCAGATTAGCTGGGGCGTCCAATCAGGGTGGCCTGTGAGACGCGGCCCCCCTTACGCAGAGTGGCCCGCATCCTACCCGCGACGTCGCACGCCTGGTCAACCTCCTCTTGCTCCCATTCCAGTCCAGTTCATCCTTTGTGCTGATTGAGCTCGTCTCGATCAATCATTTTGCTGTTGCTTTCTGGGTCGCCATTCAAGGGGCCGCGACATTCATTCACTCATCGTTTCGTTTCAATTACCAGCCACTACGGCATATCGTTATCGTCCTGCCTTTCCTTAACAACACTTCAACGCACAGCTGCCGCCGACGGATGTACCGTTCCCGACAGGCTGATACACGCACGACTGGAGCCCCGAGCCCTTTACTACAATTGTCTGCAAACAACATAGGCGCCGCTCGTTGGACACTTGTGTCGCTGCTTGCCGACGCGTTTTCGTCGAATCCAAGGGCCGACTTGACTCAACATTCAGTATCACTTGACCGTCTGGTGACTTGGGGCATTCTCGACACCAGCAATTGACACTCTTTCGCCACCGCGGAATCGAACGATTGACAGTCCGCCTGAATCGACCAAGTCGCGCCGTTCAAAGGGCGAAGCGCAGCACAGTCTACTCGCAGGCGAGAAAGACTGGTGCTCACGGCAGGTCCGACCGCTACGCTCACTTATAATCGCACGTCAACGCCGATACATCTTGGACACATCTCGGCATATCTCTCTCTTTTCCATCAATCGTTGCAATGGGTCTCTTTAAGCACAGCAAGAAGGAGACGTCGGGGGAGCTCACGGATCAGAAGTGGGAGTACATCAGTTTGAGCGACTTCAAAGCGCGAGGATGCGGACCAGGCTTTGCCTACTTCTGGTTGTTGATGATGCTTGTCTCCTCCATTGTCGTCTATGGGCTTGACAGCTTCATCGCCGTCAATTTGCTCATCTTTGACCAATGGTCAGGGTCAATCAAGCCGGGTATCGACCTTTCTATCTCGAAATGGATCTTTACGGCTTGTATCCTCCTCTCATTCGTCAACCTAGGCTATGAGGCATGGCGCGCGATGCGCGTCATGAAGCGTGGCAATGTGGCCGAATGCTACCTCGACCCGTTGGCCGTGCGTTGGGAATCGATCCGCTTTGGCGAGGGCCAGGGCTTCAAACGGTTTCTGGTCTTTGCGGAGCTCACAAAATCCAAGCAGGGTGCTGAGTACACGGCCTTGTTCACATATTTCAGTCTCAAAGGTTGGTCATCCTCCATGTCTCCAGCAGTCTGTCATGTCAGCCAGCGCTAATAACAAATGTCCAGCTTGGATCCGCGTGCTGCTGCTCTCTGGTCCCCGCCAGGTTGTCAATGCCTTCACCTTCAAAGCTGTCTACGAGAGTAAATTGGCTGTCAGTCCGGGCAATGCCGGCGAATCCTTCATCGGTTTCTTCGAGAAGATCGGCGCCCTGTACAAAGAGGACTACCAGCAGGCCCTCGTATTGACGGCCATGGGCTGGACATTCATTCTTTGGGCCATCTCGGTCATCTTCTTCATTGCGGCTGTGCTGTGCTATGTCTTCTTCCTGTGGCACTGGATTCCCCGCTCAGATGGTGGTCTCTCTGGCTACTGTGCGCGCAAGGTCAACAAGAAGCTCAAGCAGATTGTGACCAAGAAGGTCAACAAGGCGCTGGCAAAGGGACAGCACCGACAGATACAGGCTGAGCTCAAGGCCGCTAAGGACGGCGGACAGGTGGCGCCTCTCGAACGCATGGGCACGCTCCCGACGCTGCCCAACATCGTTGCAGCTGGACCCTTGCCGTCCAAGGAGGACTCGCTGCCACAGATGCCCATGCTCAACCGCAACGAGACGATGACGACTTTGCCAGCGTACTCTTCACGGCCCGCCAGTCCAGGAGGCATCGAGCTGAACAGCATGGCCCAGCAACGAAGACTCATGCCATCGCGCTCAGCAACAATGGCTTCCACAGCCACTGATCACAGCTACACATCTAAAGCGTCTCTGCTTGGTTCCGCTGCCGACATGGGACAAGGGCGACCGCCGTCTCCCACGCCAACCGTACCTTCGCTGCCTGCGGTCACTCCTCCGGGCAACATCTTTCCCCCTTCCCACCCGGGCACCCCGGCGTCGGCGAGGACGTTTGGCGCGTATGCTGGCATGGGCCATGCTGCCTCCAACTCGACCTCGTCAGCGCGTACACCAATGGCTGAAAGCCCTGCACCCACGTACGGCCGCGATGAGCATGTGCGGGCCAGCCCGGGGCCAAACCTGTACAACGCATACAACCCGAACCGAGGTGGTCCAGCGCCACCCCAAGCACAGCAGAGGCCTGGTCCAGGCCCAAGGTTCGATGCGTACGGCGCAGATGGTCGTGCGAGTCCCGCGCCCTCCGTCAGCACATACCATGGAGGCCCGCCTGCTGCGCAACGACAACAGCCCATGCCCATGAGGAGCGCCACGGGACCGGTGCCCCCACGAGGGCCCTTCCAGCCTCCGCAGAGAAACATGACCGCTCCAATGGACACGTCAGCAGACTACTTCAACCGACCGGGACCACAGCAGGCCATGAGGCCCATGACTCCTCAGGGTTATGGTCGCTCTGCCACGCCGCAAAGCCAACGCGGCCCGTCGAATGGATACGATGTAGAGTCCCAGCAGAATCGCGGGTATGGATACTAACGCATCACGACAAGCGATGGAAGCAGGGTTTGACATTCTGGAGCTTTGTGACTTGCTCACTATTTTGGAGTCACCTCAAGGGGGTTAGAGGCGTTCCGGCTGGGTATATGATCACGACCGATCCTTGAGTTATCTTCTTTTCAGCAACCGGGGGGGCTCTTTGTGAAGGAGCAAATTACACATCTTGACTGTATATACCCGATGTTATCGAATGATATTTCATTAAGTCCACCCAATCGTCAATTGACGGTCATAATGAACTTGACTGCCCTGGCATCCGACTGAGGTCACCTGATTAACAAGCTCTTGTCAATATGCACGCCGTGATTCTACTGCCCAATTCCACCAGCCAAACGCTGCATGTCTCACCCAAATGCTGCAAGCTGACACGGCGGAGCCGCGGAGGGGCCAGACTTCTCTGACGCAAGCATGTATGGTGCGCATACGTGGTACGAACGCCCATGAGTCCAGGGTCTGGTACGAAATGGCACGATCCAACGCAAGCAGCCTCTACAATTGCAGTACGTAGTAGATTTCATGAAAGCTGCGCGAGGCATTTTGCATCCCAGTCTAGTCTTCTTGGAAGCATATTTGCTGCATGTCGCCCCCCGAGGACCGGACTACGAAGATCGCGTCATTGCGGGAGAAACGTGCTGGCAGAATGAGACGTGCTGTGCGCGATCGGCAAAGGCACCCTGGGGAGACCGGACTTTTCCTCCATTGACTGCTTGTAATGATTGATCAAAAAACGACAAGTATAAAAGGTGAAAATAGGGTATTAGCTTGTCTCAGCATTGTGTCAGTAACAATAAAACACACTGCTCAGCAGTGAGGGGCCTGGCTTGTGCAGCGATCGACTTGTCTTTACCCGTGGGCAGCTAACCCTCCAGTGCCTCCATGTCCGCTGTACTGCAATTGCACAGCCACTGAAGAACTGTCCTGGCACCGGGTCGGGCATGATCCTAGTCAGATCCCTGAGGTAGAGAAGCCAGTCTGGCCCAGCGCCAAAGTCAATTTTGTTGCCTCTTCCGAGGCCTTCTACGAGTCTCCTCTTTCCAAACTGTTTGCCTCATCCTTTCAACCGGGCAATTGACTGTATTTTGAGCTACAAGTTCGCTCTGCACTACGACGACCACCGCTGACAGCGCGCGCGGACAACCGTTTCCGACGACGTCGACTCGAGAGCCCCGACTCGACTCGACTGGTTAATTATTACCCCTCCATCGCCTACCGGTCTGTCCCTCCTCCACCAACATCCTGCTGCCGCTGTCAGTACCGCACGCACATACGCACGCAACCAACGTGAGAGGTCCCTCGAGCCGGCCGAATCTCCGAACCGCCGCCGCCGCCGCTGCCATCAGTCATCCACGTCAGGAACCGACCTCGTGACGACGAGGTCTTTACTGCATCTCTACCCGTCCCTAGTCCTACGCATTCCTCTTCTCAATTAATAGCGACTGCGACGACGACAGCAGCCACGATGGCTGCCGACTACGAATATGTCAAGCGAATGACCCCCGAGGGGTACACATTTCCCACGCACCGGCTCAAGCGCACATGCGAGGCCGGTCGGACGCCCCTCGTGCTCGTCGCATGCGGTTCTTGTACGACACCCATCACCACCCTTATTGGAGAACGCCTGTTCTGACGGATGTTTCTAGTTTCGCCTATCACGTACCTCCATTTGCGCATGTTTCCCATGGCTCGCGATCACGCCCGCAATGAAGGTTTGTTCACACATCCCACCCACCTACCCTGTATCTTCGGCTCGACTGACAAGAGTACGGTTCGCAGGCTTCGATGTGATCGGCGGATATCTCTCAGTCGTGTCTGACGCTTACAAAAAGAAGGGCCTCGCACCCGCGCACCACCGCATCCGCATGTGCGAGCTGGGCACAGAGCACGGTTCGAAATGGCTCATGGTTGACCCGTGGGAGGGCGAGTCGCCCACCTACATCCCGACCGCGCACGTCCTTGATCACTTTGACTACGAGATCAACGAAGTGATGGGCGGCGTGGAGTGCGAGGATGGCACGCGCAAAAAGGCCAAGATTGTGCTCCTCGCGGGGGCAGACCTGATCCAGACTCTCAGCACTCCCGACCTCTGGGCCCCCAAGGACATTGACCACATCCTGGGCACCTACGGCGTGTTCGTGCTGGAGCGCACCGGCACAGAGCTGGACTCGGCGTTGGCGAGCCTGCGCGCCTACGAGAAGAACATCCATGTCATTCGCCAGGTGGTGACGAATGACATTAGCAGCACCAAAGTACGACTACTGCTGAAGCGAGACATGAGCATAGACTATTTGTGAGTATCTGCTTGTCTGCGGTCCTCGCCATGTCACCAGCTAACACTGCGTCCCAGGATCCCCGACGAGATCGTGAGCTACATCTACGAGCACAATCTATACCGGGACCTTGAGCAATCAAATGACGGCGACAAGGGCAAATCAAGACAAGAGGCGGTCGCCAGCTCAAGCAAGGGCTGAGTCGCCCCATCCAGACGTACATGAAGACTTACAACACACTGGCGTCAATTGCTGCGCGAAACAAAGAAAAAACACGCGCCATAAACTCGTGCGCGCGCTCACACGCACAGGAGCAGCGCTCACTTTGCTCCCCAGTCGGCTACAACCTAAAAGGCTTTTTCTTGGATCCTCACATCAGTTTATCACCTGCACAGCTGGCAGGCACTGTTGATTTTCGGTGTCTTGGAGCTATCTGGCGTTTTTGCATTGCATTTCTGGGGCCGACGGCCATTCGAGATGGGCGACGGGTATCATCAGCCATGGACGAGTACGTACGTACATGTGATAATGGACTGCTAGAGAGCGCATACAGAGCGGTTGCGAGGCGCACTTGGCCTCTGCCACGTCCGGGCCAGGACAGGTCTGGCGTGATGACTGTCAGCAGAAGGGGGAGACGACACATGCTGGCAGGAGAGCATCTATACCATTCAGAGCGTTGGGTAATGGGTAGCGTTGCTTGGAAGACAAAACGAGCATTGACTCGTGCGAGTAGAGCTTGCAGAAAGAAGATTTCCCGAGCGTATATAGTGATCAACGACAATGACTTTATGAGAACCTGCCCGCAGTGGGCGTTCACCCCTTCTTCCTACAATTTAGCCGCATTTCTGGACTAAGTAGTAAATGCAAGGCGGGTGATCTCGCAAGATTCTAGACTTGGCAGTGGCATGCGGTCAACCATGTACGTAGCACGTGCTGCTCCTGGCCACGTGCTTGGATTAACATTAAGTTAAGAAAACAATATCGATTGAGTAATAAATAAGATTAATTGTTTCCCTCCAATCTGCCTCTGCTACGCGTTGTCGAATGCATCATATTCATCCTGTCTGACCCACGTGTTTGCGTGCCCTGAGTGCAGGGTAATCTGGTAAACAAAAATGCTAGCAGTGACAAACAGCACTCTGAGTGAGCCTCACGGCGTCCTCCGACAAAGCGCTCATCACCTATCTAGCCAAGACACACCCAGAGACGCAGAAGGCCCTGCGCGCACGTGAAGCATGGATGACTGGCCCCTTGTTCATCTGCCTTCTGCGGGAATCTGGCCAATGGGCGGGGCGAATTGGGCGCGTCTTGCGACCTTCCACCAACGGCTAGTCGCCGAGCGCCCAGAGATCCCGATAGCATCGACGTCGAGCCAACTGCGTCTCGCTGCTCCATCAACGTGGTCAACATGTATCGACAAGGGCAGGCAGCCAGGACGCCCTAGCGAGGACCCTTTGAGCTGCATGGCGCTGTCTGGTCGCGCCCGTTCTCGTCGTTGTGAGGGGGAAAAAAAGCAGAATGATTTTCGCATAGTCGATAAGTAGGACGTGGGAGCCCGCCTCCTGTTGACCGACCCCTTCCTTGAGCTCCAAGGTCACACCCTGGTCCCCTCATCGCAATGTCTGTCTCCAAGGTCGTCGCGACCCTCGCTGCGGCGGTCAGCGCCGTGTCTGCCGTCTCCATTGCCGAGATAAACGGCAAGACCTTCCTCTCGCCTCTCCAAGGCCAGTCCGTCACGGACGTCGAGGGCCTCGTCACGGCCATCAACCAGAATGGCATCTTCTTGCGGTCCACGGACCCTGACGACGACCCGGCCACCTCAGAGGGCCTCTTCGTCTATGGTAGCACTGTGCGGCCTCTGGTTGCCGTTGGCGACATTATCACTCTGGATGGCAAGGTCTCAGAGTACAGGTATGTGGCCAGCTGGAAGCCAAGCTACCTACCTGATGAACGGCCGCTGACAAGCGCAGGAGCAACAACCTGTACCCCTACCTGACCCAGCTCCAGTCCCCCACCAACGTCAAGGTGCAGTCGTCCGACAATGAGGTCAAGCCCTGGGTCATTGGTGTCGATACCCCTTCGCCGCCCACCGAGAAGTACTCCTCGCTGGACGAGGGCGATGTCTTTGGCGTCCCCAACGACGTCGCCCGCCTCTCGACTGCCAACCCAGAGCTCGACATTGAGACGTACGGGCTGGACTTTTGGGAGAGTCTTGTCGGTCAGCTCTTGACCATCAAGGACGCCTACCAGATCGGTCGCCCTAACCAGTATGGCGATGTCTGGGTCCGTGGTGACTGGAACGTCACCGGCCTCAACGACCATGGTGGTCTGACTGTCCTCGATGGTCCTGATGCCAACCCAGAGGCCATCATCATCGGCAGCCCCACAGACGGCTCCAGCAACCCGGACGACACCAAGATGGGCGACTTCCTTGGCGACATCACCGGTCTCGTCTACCAGGCCTTCGGCTTCTACCGCATCCTCCCTCTGACCGCTGTCGCCACAGTCAACGAGTCCAGCAGCGAGTACGATGCCGTCTCCTTTGAGTCGGACAAGACCTGCCGCGGGTTGACCTTTGCCAACTACAATGCTCGCAACCTGGCTCCCGACTCGAAGCTCATGCCCGCCACCGCTGCACAGATTGTGGACAAGATGCTCACGCCCGACGTCATCTTCCTACAGGAGGTGCTCGACAACTCCGGCGAGACGGACGACGGTGTTGTCAGCGGAAACCTCACCCTCTCCACGCTCTCTGCCGAGATTGAGAAGCAGTCTGGCGTCGTCTACGACTTCCTCGAGATCTCGCCCAAGGACAAGCAGGACGGCGGTGTGCCCGGCGGCAACATCCGCGTCGCCTACCTCTACCGCCCGGAGTCTGTCGAGCCCATGGACCTGAATCCCGGCGGCGTCGACGACGCCAACGAGGTCCTCGCGGGCCCCACGCTCAAGTACAACCCGGGTCTCATCGACCCGACCAACGCGGCCTGGAGCGACAGCCGCAAGCCCCTGGCCGCCCAGTGGAAGGCCGTCAAGGGCAACGGCCGGCCCTTTTTCACCGTCAACGTCCACTTTGGTTCCAAGGGAGGCTCTTCCACGCTCCACGGCGACCCCCGCCCGCCCATCAACAACGGCGTCGAGAAGCGCAACGAGCAGGCCACCATCACCGCCGAGTTCATCGCCGACATCCTCGCCGAGAACCCCGCGGCGGCCGTCATCATTGCTGGCGACTTTAACGAGTTTGTCCAGGTGAAGCCCATCCAGACCTTCCAGGAGATCTCGGGCATGCTCGACCTCGAGGACGTTGTCGACATGGAGCCCGTCGAGAGGTACACCTACCTCTTTGACGCCAACAGCCAGGCGCTCGACCACATGTTCATCAGCCCCTCGGTCGGCCGCAAGGCGCAGTACGAGCACCTGCATCTCAACACGTGGCAGAACTACGACGACCAGGTCTCGGACCACGACCCCAGTGTCGCCAAGCTGAATGTCTGCGGTTGCGGCCCAGCTTGAGTGAAAGAGGGTGATGTGATCTTGGTACATGTATGATGACTGGAATGCATACGTAAATAGATGGGCGTCCAGCGCGGACCTACTGAATAGAATTGTCCCGCTTTCTTGGACCTGACAGTTTGTGCCGATGACTTCAAAAGTATTTCCAATCAGAGGGGTATCACATATTCTGCTCATTGTTCGTCCTCCTCCTCCCCCTCCTCCTCCTGGTCGCCATCTTCGTCGCTACCGCTACTGTCGGCGCCAGGGTCTGGCATGACAATGGTATTCAAAAACTCAACAAAGGGGGCGAGGCCTCTGATCACGTCCCCAATCTGTTCCTGCGCATTGTCTGCCAAGAGCATGGACTCGTCAATCTTCTTGCCCACTGTGAAGCTCTTCAGCCGGAGGAGCTTGATGTCGCGATGTGTGATCTCGTAACCCTACGCAACGTTAGTCGATCCCTTTCGTTGCGGTGAAGAACTCTTTCACCTGTGGCCTCTTCTTGAGGGCATACTCCTTGTTCTTCTCAAAGAACGCATCTACCAGGGCATCTTCCTTGCCCTTGCCTGCCTTGACCTTGGGGAAGAAAACGTTCTTAAAGGTCGGATTCTCCAGCACGCGCCGCCACTGAGCCGGTCTCGCATCGATGCTTCGCCTGAGTCGTGCGAGACTGTCCTTCTCCGGACACCACAGACCGCCCCCGATGAAGCTATGCTTCGGCTCGAGATGGATGTAGTAGCACGCGTACGGCCCCTTGCGGCCCGTGCGCGACCATGCCGCGGAGAAGTGTGGCTTGTAGGGCGTCGGGTCCTTGCTGAAGCGGATGTCGCGGTGGATGCGGAAGCTGACGTCCTTGACGGGCAGCTCTGGGATCGTCTCGTCAATTTCAATGACGGTCATGGTGGTGGCCTCGACAAAGGTGTTCCAGTCTTTCAGTGCGCGCCGATATTCGCCGTCGTGTGCTGTGTGCGTCGTCCCTGTCAGCACTCTGTCGTGGCAAGTAATGGAGGAGGAGGATGGATCACAAAGACATTACATTTTAACCAAGCTCGCTTGTTGTTCGCTTTGAGATCCGAGAGAAAGTGGCATGTGTTCTTGTGGACCCTTTGATCATCGTATGCGACACCTCCCTCGTCGCGGAGCTGCTCGAGTGGGATGATTGTCACTTTCATGGGCGCATCCTCGTCGACCTCATTATCGTCATCTTCATCTTCCTGCTCCGCGTCACCGCCGTCTGTCTCTTTGTATTCTTCCTCAGAGGCCTCTCCATCCTCTGCCGAATTGTCGTTCTCGTCTTGCTGGTACTCCTCGGACGTCACGGTCTCCTGCTTGACGACCTTTGGGGGGTCTTTTTTCGATGGTCGTCCACGCTTCCTCGGCCGTTCAAGTTCCGCCTCATCTTTCTCCGTATCTGTGTGATCTTCGAAGTAATTGCTTTTCTTGGGCGTGCTCGATAGGCGTCCCGAGCGACGGCGTGAGCTAGTTGCTGGCTCAGGAGCCGATCTTTTGGCCGCTGCCATGTCTGACGAAGCAAGGTCTTTCCAGTCGACTGTCGGCCGGTAGTATGGCGTCTTCTCAAAGGAACTGGTGTTATATAATCAAGTCAATGGCTCAAAGTACTAAGACAGCATTCAATGGTTCAAGGGCAAAAATGTGTCATTGATGTCATCACCAAGAACCCTGCCTGTCGCGCTCCAGCGCATCGTGCCTTGACGCGCTGTCACGTGCATTCATTTACCGCGTCAATATGGGGTACCATCCGACCAAGTCCATTGCTGAGCATCGCCCCGACAACCCACACAAGCTACCTAGATCTCAACTTCTTTATTCAATAGCTCGTCTTCCGTTCGTCCTCGCTGTTTCTTTTTCTGTTCCTTCCGGAGACACGCTCACATCTCTGCATGTGTGGTCTCTGTCTCCCCAGCAGCAGTTGCTTCTTCCTCCTCTAAAGCTTCCAAAGCAGAGAACCTCTCCTCCGTTTTTGACAGCTCTTCAAGGTAGTCAATGTCCCTCAATCTGTGCTGTGCCCATTTCTCAGCCAATCCACCATTCTCCCGCTCTGCAGGGTCCTTGGTCATTGCAGCCAGCCATACGCATAGCTTCGCCGCCGCACGCAATCTGTCGAAATCCCTGTGATGCTCATAGTTGAGCACATTCGATTCTTCGCCGAGGAAGACAATGCTTCCGATCCTGCTGAGTAGCTTGTTAAAGTTCATGCCCTGAATCGAGGGCTGCGAGAAACTCTTGCGCAGCTTTGCTTGATACTCTGCCCACGTATCTCCTGGCATCCTCGCGTTGAGCTTGGTGATGGACGTGAAGGCTGCCTCAAGGCGGCTCAACGCTGAGCCGTTTCGCTGGGGGTCGAAACTGGCGCAGGGGGCAGCCATTCCCGCGCCCAGGTCGTCCAGATGGCCAATGAGCGTCTACTTGTACTCGTCCTACGAGTCCTTTGAGATGTTCTGGATCTGTTGCTTCAGCGTGAGGAAGTCCTCCAGCACTTTTGGGTCGAGCTGCGGCTCTTTCTCCTCGACTGAATCCACCCCATGCGCAGCTGCGCCGTGCACTGTCTCGTCATCTTCGCTCTCGATGCTCTCGAGATTCCTGAGCAGCGGCGCGGACCAGCGTTCTGGTGGCTCCGTGGATGGTGCTTTGGACCGCCCCTTGGGCGTTGGGGATGCAGTGAAGTCTTGTGCTTGACCACGGTCCACGACCCTGGCATGTCTTGCAGAGGCAGGCGGCGTGAGCATGAGCTGAGGATCTACAGTATCGGGAAATAGTTCGTTGGCCAGTCTTGCGAGAGCAGCAGTTGGCGGATCGATGTCTTTGTCGTTCACGTGCTGGGGCTCGACATTCATGTCAACTTGCGTCGTCTTCCCTGAAGAAGATATCATTCCCACTTTGCGCCCCTGCTTGATCTCATCGCCGCTGTCGTTGTCATCCTCGTCCGCTAACGCCAGGTCTGGATCTACTTGTGGTCGCTGGCGATGCTTCTTGGCCTTCTTGGAGGATCGGGATCTGGCATAGTCATCCTCGTCGTCGAGTTCTCTTTTGGACCCGCGAGTCAACTTGTTCTGGTGTTGCTCCGATGCCACGAGGAAGCGTCTCAGCTTGTCCACGAAAACATGCTCTTTGATACATCTCTGTAGGTCAAAGCGCTCGCTCACAGAGAGCCTTAGACTAGCCGGCGGTCTCCTTATCTGGGTCTGCGCCTGCACGCCGGTGAAGAGGGTGAATTGATGACCAGCCCAAGCCTTGGCAATACCCTTCTCCGCGCACAAATCCAGGAGATGGACAATTTGTTCTCTTGCGTGTTGATAGCTGAGCTTGTGTTTTTTTGTGACCCTTGGGATACAGCCCGCGTGCTTCTGCCATAAATGCCCCAATCTCCGCCAGGAACTTCTCAGCCTCATCGCCAGCTGTGGTCGTCTTGGGGGGGGCCTCATGACGATTGCTGAACGGGACTGGTCGGGATTCAAGTGCGGACGGAGCTGTGGGTGTGGTTATCTCTGGAGCAGTATGAGCCCAACAGCAAGGTAAACGGGGATAGAGAGGCGGGCGATGAGCGAGAGGTCGATAAGTATGCTGCGAAAGAGTGGAAAGGCCTTGACCACAGCTTGGCCGCTTGGGTCTGGAGCAATGTAGGTCGCAAGGAGAGAGAGAGAGAGAGAGAGAGAGAGAGAGAGAGAGAGAGGGCGGACGACGAGGGAGCGAATGTGTGGTAGGGAACACAGAACAGAGGCGGAAACTAAGGTGAGAAGTCAGTGAGATTGGTCTACCTACTTAGAGAGAAAGAGAGAAAATGAGGATCTCAAAGGCGAGTGCCTCCATCTTGTTTGCCCCTGTTGTTTTCCCTAACGCAGCAGCACGCGGGTCCACAGACACCGCCCAATATCACATTTCTATAACAAGAAATCGAAGAAGAATTTTTAACGAAGTACTTCGCTGAGGTAATCGTTAAGCACTTTTAATGCTATCATAAACTCCGAATACATGACAGGGCGCAAACCCAACTTCCTCGTCCAAAGTCCCTCGAGACGCCCATTCACAATGTCACCGCATGTACTCCGTACGTACTACGCGTAACACAACCCCTTTCAACACTCTCATTACGAAAATCGCAAACCTTCTCTATTCCGTTGTTATGTACTCCTTTTACAACTCGTCGTGGAACTCGCCATCCTCCGCGCTCTCACCACCCTCGCCACCGGCACCGCCGTAAATCTTGGAGGTGATGGGGTATGCGACGTTGGACAGCTTCTCCTTCTGCTCCTCAAAGTCCTCGGTGGTGGCCTCGGCACTATTCTCCTCGAGCCACTCGACAGTCTCCTTGACGGCATCGAGGATCTATCACTCGTTAGTCACTGTGTCTCAACAACCGTCAAATGGTACACTTACAGTCTCCTTGTCCTCGTCATCAATCTTGCTGCCAAGACCGTCATCGTCGTTGACCTGGTTCTTGAGGTTGAAGGCGTAGTTCTCAAGGCCGTTACGGGCCTCAATGCGCTCACGAGTGGCCTTGTCCTCCTCAGCGTACTTCTCAGCCTCAGCAACCATGCGCTCAATCTCCTCGGGGGTGAGACGGCCCTTGTCGTTGTTGATGGTGATGCTCTCGCTCTTGCCGGTGCCCTTGTCGTGGGCAGAGACCTTGAGAATACCGTTGGCGTCGAGATTGAAAGACACCTCAATCTGAGGAACACCACGGGGGGCAGGGGGGATGCCGGTAAGCTCGAACTTGCCGAGGATGTTGTTGTCCTTGGTCATGCCACGCTCACCCTCGTACACCTGGATCAGAACCACGGGCTGGTTGTCGGCAGCGGTGGAGAAGATCTGGCTCTTCTGGGTAGGGATAGCAGTGTTGCGAGAAATCAGCTTGGTCATGACACCACCAGTGGTCTCAATACCGAGGGTAAGAGGGTTGACATCCATGAGGACGAGCTCCTCGGTACCCTCCTCGCCAGAAAGAACACCGGCCTGGACGGCGGCACCGAAAGCCACGGCCTCGTCGGGGTTGATGCCCTTGGAAGCCTTCTTTCCGTTGAAGTACTCCTCAATGAGGGACTGCACCTTGGGAATACGGGTGGAACCACCGACAAGAACGATATCGTCAATCTCGCTCTTCTTGACGTTGCCCTGCTTGAGGACATCCTCGACAGGCTTCAGGGTCTTCTTGAAGAGGTCCATGTTGAGCTCCTCGAACTTGGCGCGAGTGAGAGTCTCGGAGAAGTCGTTGCCCTCGAAGAAAGCCTCGATCTCGATGCGGGTGCTCATCTGCGAAGACAGAGTACGCTTGGCCTTTTCGGCCTCACGCTTGAGCTTACCCATGGCCTTGAGGTCCTTGGTGATGTCGACTCTGTTCTTTTTGTTGTAAGACTTGGCGAAGAAGTTGATGACACGCTGGTCGAAATCCTCACCACCCAAGTGGGTGTCACCAGAAGTGGCCAGAACCTCGAAGATACCCTGGTCAATGGAGAGCAGAGACACATCGAAAGTACCACCGCCGAGATCGTACACAATGATCTGACGCTCGGCGTCGGTCTTGTCCAGACCGTAGGCGATAGCGGCAGCGGTGGGCTCGTTGACGATACGGAGGACGTTGAGACCGGCGATGATACCGGCGTCCTTGGTGGCTTGGCGCTGGTTGTCCTGCAAATTCGTTAGCAAGTCTCTATGCCTGTGCAAGTGGCTCAATACGTACGTTGAAGTAGGCAGGCACCGTCACGACGGCGTGGGTAACCTTCTTGCCCAAGTACGACTCCGCGACCTCCTTCATCTTGCCAAGAATCATAGCTGAGACTTCCTCGGGGGTGAACTGCTTCTGGGCGCCGTTCACCTCGACCTGAACAATGGGCTTGCCATCCTTGTTGACGACCTTGTAGGGGAAGTGCTTCATATCAGACTGCACATCCTTGTCCGAGAACTTGCGACCGATGAGACGCCTGTGCCATGTTAGAGTGCTGACTCTTCTCCTCTGCGCAGGTGTCCTTACTTGACATCGTAGATGGTGTTGTAGGGGTTGGCGGCGGCCTGGTTCTTGGCCGAGTCACCAACGAGACGCTCTTCCTCGGTGAAAGCGACGTATGAAGGAGTAATTCGGTTGCCCTGGTCGTTGACAAGAATCTCGACTTTGCCTTTTTGCATCACACCGACACAGCTGTAGGTGGTACCCAAATCCTGTAGAAGGAATGGTCAGCGATCTTGGACAAGCTGCAAGCACTTGGAATCGTCCACTTACGATACCGATAACGGTGCCCAGGTTCTCTGCCTCATCGGCGGCAGCCGCAGGCTGCACCATGGCGAGAGGGGAGAAGAGGAGGGCGATCCAACAAAGGAGGCCCAGGCCTAAGGCCAGCGTACTCCTTGACGAGCGCGCCATTGTGGGAGAAATGTGGGATGTGTATCAAGCACGTAGAAAGGAAGGCTCGATCAGGAAGTATGAAGAAGAAGAAAGCAAACGTGGTGCTGATGGAAGCGAGGTTCTACCTGGTCCTCAAGCTTCGTTCTGACTGATTGGGGGGAAGATGGGAAGACGAAAGCTTGGTGGGAGAAGAAGGTGTGTCTTATGTACAAGTCCGACAGCGCTGCTCATGTCGAAAGGCTGAGCTGTCCTCAAACGACGTCCCGCACAAAAAGGCCACATTTCATCACTGGCCTTGCCGCCACCTGCCCCCCTGGCGCTGCCCCACGTGACAGGGGTGATAGTGACAAGGGTCATGTACTGTCTTTCGCACTGTGCAGCCTCAGGGTCGCGGGTGTCTCTGTGTGCAGTTTTTGCGTGCTAAGTACTGCAGCGGTGAGAGCAACACAGTGTAAATACCGGCGCTTTGCTACTGCCGCGACCTGACTTCCCCGACCTCGTCACACTTTTCTTCTGGCTACGGTGGTCAATTGACACGTTGTAGTAAGTAATAGCTCAAACATTCTGATCCAATGCCATTGTGTGCGTTACACGTATAGCACATGGACATTGTTGGCCTGGCAGACCTCAGCGAGTGTCCGTCCGGCATTCGAGAACATTCCCGGCAATCCAAAGTGCAAACCACTGCAACAAAGAGAGTGGGGTTCAAAACCGCGGCGTCACCACAATTGGGGTTCCTTTCCTTCACCGCGCGCACGCGATGCCCATCTTTCGCCAGAAAGCTCTCAAGATCATAGCATCTGCCATACGTGCATCCCGCAAGGTGTTGCCAAAGTGTCTTTGTGACTATAAATCGGCTTATGACTCTATCAATCCAGCAGCAATCGTCTCTCCCCCACTTCGAATGACGACCCGCTGGCCAGCTTCGAGAGGTACCTTGGTTTCAAGCTTAATTTTAACACGCGCGACACCACCTGGCTGCACGATCTTTGGCTTCTTTTTAATCACCTCGCCCGTCGCTTTATCCAGTGTCGCAATGATGCTCTGTATCTGACCAGGCGCGTGCAGCCGACCACGATGCAGGTCGATTGGCGATGGCAGCAAGTGATCAAATGCCATTGCCTTCATCATGAAGGAGTCACCTGTAGCGATGGCATCCTGTGGGTGACATAGAATATCCCCGACCTTCATATGAACCGGGTCAATGTCAGTCAGCGACAGATTGACGTTGTAGCCTGCAACAGCCCAATCTCTTGTCTCGCCATCGACCGAGATGGACTTGATGTGCGCAGTTTCTCCACTTGGCTGAATCACAAGGACATCGCCGACTTGCATCGTGCCGGTATCTATGCGTCCACCGATGGCCTGTGAGCCCTGTTGTGACCGGAAGATTTCTGATATCGCCATTCTCAAGGGCTTTTGCAGAGCACGAGCTGCTGAGGGCCCAGACGCCTCCAAAGCTTCAATCAGCGTGGTGCCCTTGTACCACGCCGCTGCCGGGTTTTCGATGGGCTTGACAGTATTATCGCCATTCAACCCCGATATGGGTATGAAGCTGACGTGCTTTTCCTGAAACCCTAGGCCTGTGAGGAAGCCGGTGACCTCGTGGTGGATTTCATTGAATCGTTCCTGAGACCAGTCCACCATGTCAAGCTTGTTGATCGCCACCACAAGTCGTTGGACACCCAGACTGCGTAGCAGAAGGACGTGTTCTCTTGTCTGACCTTTCAACCCCTTCTCGTAAGCACCGGTATTGGCATCGATGACCAGAACAGCGAAATCGGCCTGACTTGCACCGGCAATCATGTTGGGCACAAAATCCTGATGGCCTGGTGCGTCGAGAATGGTGAACTTTGTAACGTCCGTCTCAAAGTGGTTGGTCGCAATGTCGATTGTCACTCCTCGTTCGCGTTCGTCACTTCTCTGGTCCATGACCCAAGCCAGAGCAAAAGACTGTTTCCCAATCTTCTCGCCCTGTCGACGGTATTTATCAATCGTCCGTTGCTCGACAAACTTGAGTTCTGTCAACAGCCGACCCATTAGAGTACTTTTTCCCGCGTCAACATGCCCTACACATGTCAGTTCATTGGTCTGTGAGATGCCTTCTGAATACTTACCCACGACAACAAAACTAACGCTACGCTTGCTAGCGCTATTCTCAAACTCCTTCACCACGTTGAGCCCTTTGGTCTTTGGGGGAGGAGCATCGTTGATCTTCAAGGCAGACAAGTCAGAAGCTGCCTGCTCTGTGCCGCTAGACTTCTGAGCCCCCTCATTTTTCTTAGCTGAGGCTTTTGCTTGTGATGTGGCCTTCTTGCCCGCTAGACCAGGTCAATATTAGCAAACTATTTTGCCTTTGCAAAATTCGAACCTTGCGACTGTGCAGCGAACACAACGTCGTCGGGACTGGGTGTAGAGAAGTTGTCCGCAGAGTACTGGGAGGACAGAGTGTATGGCATGGGAAACAGGTTTCTCGTAGGGTCTCTGGGGGCCGATGGGGTAGGACCAAGCAAAGTGCGCGCGAAGGCTGAAGGTGCGGACGTAGGCTCGGGTAGCTCCACAACCGATTCTTCTCCAGCAACCGATGGTAAGGTTTGAGGAGGCTCAGAGCCGGCTTCCTCGTTTTCGATCTCGGCCTGCTCAGGTACCCCGACTTGCACGTCGGCGGCTTTTGACAGCTTTTGTCTCTTGGCGAGCGGATTGACTGGCGCCTCATCCTCTTTGCGGGCTGCGGACAGGGATAATTTTCCCAGATCTTTCTCAGCTTGAGCAGTGTTGTCGGCGGCACCTTTCTCGTCTTGCTTCTTCTTCCTAGCTGCGGCAAGCTTTTGCAACTTGCTCATCCCTGCCTCGCCACCGCCCAAGAGACCCCCTTTCGGCTGCCATGGTCTCATGAACACCGCATGCCGATCTCGTGGCGTGTTCAACCAAGGCATGTCGTCAAACGCGCCCAGAGAGGCGCGTTTTGATACTGCTGGAGCTCTCATAGCTGGCAGCGCACTTGCAGCAAGCGGACTCGCGTAGCCCCCCGCTTCGGCACCATGTGATGCCCAGGGAGACTCTCGTGAAGCAGGAAAGAACATAGTACATGACGTACCTTCCGGAACCTTCTTGGGTGGAGGAGGCTTAGAGGCTGGCTGGGTAGTTCGTGGGTTAACGAACTCCTTTCTCAAATATGCCACAGACTTCTCTACGTCGTAGAAGTAGTGCCATAGCGCATCTTGAATCACCGCCAACGTGACCTTGTTTGAGTCTTTCCCCAGGGCTTTGCGAACATCGGCCGTACCCTTCGTCATTGCAGCCTGGTCCTCGGCACTCATCTCGCCTTCCTCGCCATAGCCTTCGCCCTCATAGTCATCGTCATAGCCATCGTCTTCAAACTCGTCGACGTACTGAATGCTAGCCATCTCGGCCAGGTGTGGCTAATGGGTGCACTGAAGCTTGTCGGCCGTTGAGGTTCCGGGGCGTGGGTGGGCGAATAGCTATACGTGGCTTGAAGAAAGTCGGGATACAGAAAAAGAAGAGGTCTATACGCTCAAAATATTGTTGTATAACCGGAAAGGAGTGTAAGAAGACCTTGAGGCGGAAATAAAGTGAAATCTTGCAAAGTCAACATCTAGCTCCAGCTCAGAGTCACCATTAACGGAGCTTGTCTGGAGTCGTGACGCCGATGAGGGGCACAAGCTGGGCAGGCACAGCCTGATGGTGGGGCAAACTTCTTATCTTTTGTCTTATCGGAGCTACTCCGCCGGACTATTCATTTCCCGCCGACCGCTACGAGCATCTGCAGCGGCCCCTGATGGATGGCGGGCGGCGCTGCAGAGACACCGCTGCCGCTGTATTCAAAAAATTCGGGTTTGATGCAGAGACCCCCATTCGAAGCTTCCAGCATCCTCACAACGCCCTGAGGAGACCTGAGAACCTATCGTCTCTGTCTTATTTCGTTGCATTCATTCCTAGTGTTCGTGAAGAACACGGTCCAAAGTCAAGATGGCCATGAGTAAGCTCTAGAACCCTCATGGCGGGGAAGGTGAAATTGAAGCTAACGTGGGCCAGATCTCGACATGTCGAATGGTACAGCACTGCGCAGGACGGCCGTCACAGAATAATGCTGACCTCATCTAGCGGCGGTGATGAAGGATGAGCAGGGACGTCCCTTCATTGTCGTCAGAGAGTAAGAATACACACCGACACGGAACCTCTCGAGACCAGGCTACTGACTACATTTCAGTCAGGGGAAGAAGAAGCGCCAGTTCGGAAACGAGGCCGTCAAGTCACACATTCTATCTGCACGCACAGTAGCAAACATTGTGAAGACTTCCCTCGGACCCCGCGGTCTCGACAAGATCCTCATCTCCCCCGACGGGGATATCACGATCACGAACGATGGTGCCACAATCTTGCAGCAAATGGAAATCAGCAACCACGTAGCCAAGCTGCTGGTCGAGCTCTCCAAGTCCCAGGATGACGAGATCGGTGATGGCACAACAGGCGTAGTAGTCCTCGCCGGCGCTATGCTCGAACAGGCTGCCGACTTGATCGACAAAGGCATCCACCCCATCCGCATTGCCGACGGCTACGATCAGGCCTGCGACATCGCATGCGAAGAGCTCGACAAGATCTCGGACGTAATCGATTTCACCAAGGAGGACACGGCCAACCTCGTCAAGGTTGCCCGCACAAGTTTGGGAAGCAAGATTGTGTCAAAAGCCCACGATCAATTCGCCAACATTGCCGTCGATGCTGTGTTGAGTGTAGCTGATCTTGAGCGCAAAGACGTTGACTTTGAGCTGATCAAGGTTGACGGCAAGGTCGGCGGTGCGCTGGAGGACACTCTCCTGGTCAAGGGTGTGATTGTCGACAAGGACTTTTCGCATCCCCAGATGCCCAACGAGGTCAAGGACGCCAAGATTGCCATCTTGACCTGCGCATTTGAGCCGCCCAAGCCCAAGACCAAGCACCACCTTGATATTACCAGCGTCGAGGAGTTCAAGAAGCTCCAGAACTACGAGCGGGAGAAGTTCATTGAGATGATCGACCAGATCAAGGCAACCGGCGCCAACTTGGCCATCTGCCAGTGGGGATTCGATGACGAGGCCAACCACTTGCTTCTACAGAACAAGCTCCCCGCCGTGCGGTGGGTTGGCGGCCCCGAAATCGAGCTTATTGCGATTGCGACCAACGGCAGGATCGTGCCCCGTTTCGAGGACCTCTCCGCCGAAAAGCTTGGCCGCGCCGGTACCGTCAGGGAGATGACCTTTGGTACCACGCGAGAGAAGATGCTGGTCATCGAGGAGTGCGCCAACACACGAGCCGTCACCGTGTTCGTGCGTGGCAGCAACAAGATGGTGAGTATTAGAGTGGTGGAAGCGAGGGTAATGGAAGCTGACAATGCTAGATCATCGACGAGGCCAAGCGCTCTCTCCACGACGCCCTTTGCGTGGTACGCAACCTTGTACGCGACAACCGTGTGGTGTACGGCGGTGGTGCTGCCGAGATTGCTTGCTCGTTGGCGGTAGAGGACGCAGCGACCAAGACTCCTGGCCTGGAGCAATACGCGATGCGCGCCTTCTCCGAAGCGCTCGACCAGGTCCCCATGGCTTTGGCGGAGAACAGCGGCCTGAACCCCATCTCCACACTGGCGGAGGTCAAGAGTCAGCAGGTGAAGGCTGGACCTGATGGCCGTGGAAAGCTGGGCGTGGACTGCATGGGCCGCGGAAACAACGACATGAAGGATGCTTTCGTGATCGACCCGCTGATTGGCAAGAAGCAGCAGTTGCAGTTGGCGACGCAGTTGTGTCGCATGGTGCTGAAGGTGAATAATGTCATTGTGTCGGGGGCGGACGAAAACGACTTCTAGACGATGTAGACGCAAGTGAAATGAAACCGAGATCGACAAATCTCATGATGAACATCAGCTCGTCGCCTTTCTTCTTTGGACCAAGGACGGTGGTTGATGCACGCAAATAGCTCTCTCGAAGCTCTATGTGCGGTGTGTAAGATTGGTATCATTCCCACTTCGGGCCCAAGCTCGACCGACACTCGACATGCATCATCAGTTCATCACAACACCCCCCTCGAACAAGGTCAATCTATGCGATGCACCGATACAAAAGGAAAGAAAATAGACTCTTCGATCGTACGCCATCCGGGAGAGCGTCATCTACCTCAAACCAACATGACCGACGAGGCACTGCCCGACCAAGAGATCGCCATCCCCGACCGCGCCGGTACGCGTCAGCTCATCAAGTGCCGACCTATTCCACGCAAAGGGCATAGAAAGTCGAGGGCTGGCTGCTTCACCTGCAAGCGACGAAAGGTCAAGTGCAACGAGGCCATTCCTGAATGCGGTCAGTGCAGGCGCCTAGAGCTGGACTGCCAATATGAAAGCACTCCGAGATCACAACCGCGCGAAGCAGATTGGACTTTAGGCCGGCCGCTTAGTGCAACACCGTCAACTTTCCAAATGCAGGACCTCAGGTTCTTCCAGCATTTTCTGCTCACGGCATACCCCACGCTGCCCCCTCAGGGGGATGAGACGTGGCAAGGAGTTGGGCAGATGTCACATCAGGTATGTCGTTCACATGCCACGCCGGCTGAAGAATGGAGGTTGATTTATACAAGTATGACTTCCTAGTCCATGCGATGCTTGGGCTTGGTGCCTCTCATCTGGGGATGCTAGATGAGCAAGGCTACAGGGAGAGTGCTCTCATGCATCGCATCAAGGCGATCAAGCTGATGAACAAGTTCTTGTCACGCCGAGATCCGCCTACTGTCCCCAACAGAGATGCCGCACTAGGAACTATTCTCTGCCTGACATATCAGTCCGCCTATATCGCTGACGGCATGACGGACTTCTTAATTATGATCAGAGGCTGTAGAGTAGCCCCCTCTCACAAATGTCACGGAGTCTCAGCATTGACAATACGTAGGCTACATTCTCGGGCCTGACATGGGTGGGGATTGGTCCACGTCGCTGTTCAACGGCTTTGTAAGGAAGACATATGTCAACACGGTTACAGAACTCATGCCACCGCGGCAGCAGCCAGAGCCGCTAGATGAGGCGGTGTTGAAGGGCTTCCTTGCCAGTGCTCGACGCGTCGCCACTCTTTGCCAAAGCCTTGCTGAGATGGAAGTACTGGCTCTCGTCCAGGAGATTGCAATGCCGGCCGCGACTGACTTGGCTCACTGTGCGTTCCGCGCCCTGTTGTTGAGATGTGTGCTTATAATAATCTAGGCTACCTCTTACATTCTTACCTCTACGAGAAACTCGCACAGCTCACCACCGACGAGTTCAATTCATTCATCGATCCTCAGAACCACGTGTCTCGACTAGTCATCATGCACATGCTCACGGTGGTGTTTGTCATCAGCCGCAAGGAAGTCGGAGCAGCCAGTGCGGATCACAGGAGTACGGCAACAGATGGAAAGGGGGTCTACGCGTGCCGCAAGAGCATGGCTGTTCAGTGGGTACAAAAGATGATCTCGGAGCTTGCGGACGAGTATCGCCCGTATTCATTGTGGCTAGAAAGCTTTGTGAATGGGTTGTCCTTCTCTTTCACTAAGCGGGATGAGATTTGGAAACCCTTTCTGCTGCACAATGGCACAACGATCGTGGCTAAGTTTGAGGGGCTTGGCCTCGGGTAGGATATAGGCGTGCAGCCCAAGGTTGATCAAGATAGCCACTAAACTGGCTGGGGCCATGCCAGGGATGCTTCAGGGACTCTCGTTGACTCAGAGCCCTGCGATGGCAACTATCTGGGAGGCAAGGAGGCAAAATGGATCTTGGAGCATCGCTGATCGAAAGTCTCCTGAGGTAGGTAGGTGTCCTCATCTTCCAAGGCATGTATAGGTCATCCCACGTAGATCTTATCATAATCGACATGGGTCAGGTTTCCAATGTAGTGATAGCCGGTAGAAGAGTCTGGTCCTCAAAGCTAATATATGTAGCATAATGACGTCGACTTGGCTCGCGAACGGAACCCACGAGCAACTCGTACGCTAAAAAGCATGCCTCGAAGTTCCACAGCTGAGCAATTGGCGTGTGTGAAGACACCTCGCGCTTAGACCTCGTGGCGCTTCAACAATGAGATGTGGTGTGGAACAATTTGGGGGTTCAGGGACGAGAGCAGATGACATGATGCGTCGAGAGTGAAATGGCAAGTGATAGCACGGCGAGGTTTCGAAGAACTTCAGAGCCTCGCGAAACATATTTAAGTATCGGAAGCAAATGTGATGGTAATTAGAGCTAACATTAAAATCCATGCCGGAGGTTGGATCGTCTAGGGTAATGAGATAGCAATGGCATTTGAGATGAGGCGATGCACACTACCGCGCCACACAATTGGCAGCCCAAGCCACAAAAACCGATTCAACTTGACATTCATCAAGCTCACCATCCGAATCCTGCTCTGTTCTATTACACCGATATGACCATGTCCTCGCGCCGAAGCAGCGTCAACTGCTCACTATGCTATAGTGCATCATGTGTTGCTTGCTGCCAACGACTTGACGATGGCCAACGATATTCACGATGGACTCCTTCAGCACCTGACAGGTGAGACGTGGGATGATGACTTGCTTCCCGCCTCACCCTCATACCGAAAAGGCCACCAGCGGCACGGGTGCGACCCAGACGCGATGCAGCTCAATTGCCGCCGCGATATCCCAATCTGCATCCGAAAAATCAATCAATGAATGGATTGATTTGATTATTGGCCGACTTCCCCTTCGTCGAGGACGCCACCACCACCACAACCACAGCAGCGCGGCGGTAATCCTCTGGGCGTGGCGGCGCCTTCACCGCCCGGCGGCCTGCATATCAACAGAGGTCATCTGCCAGACAAAGTGCTGAGTTGGCAAGCGGGCCAGCACGCAGCGGCCACCGCACCCCTCAGAAGCAATGGAACCTAGCCCACGGGACGCCAACGACGGCCCGCCTATGGCTGCCTCCTCTGTCCCTCCGTGCGTACGAGGAAACATGGGCGATAATATTGACCAATACCGTGCATTGTTTATTTTCAGCCTTGGTGGATCGAGACCACAGCTGCTGCATCACGTCGGGGGACCGACAACTGCAGCATTACTGGGTGCCACCTTGATATTCAATTAAGCTGTGCTTGCCTCACCCGCAGCGTGCAGCGGGAGGTCGCACTCATCTTGATGGACCTCTGATGTTCACGCCCCTCCATCAAGGGTTCCAAGCGCCAGATTGGGGCCCAAGAATACTCCTTACCCCCAAGATGCGGTGGTGATGCCACTCTGAACCAAGGCGGCTGAGGATGTTCTGCTGCGACCACTCGCGGGATGGCATTGTGATCACGCACCAGCCAGCTCACAAGGGATTATGGGCATCAAAGAGTCAGCGGGCTATCATGATGGCCTTACTCGAGAGCCTGACGATGAGCGAGATGCCAACGCATGATGCTCCTGCGGCTTTGAAGCGAGGAGAACGGGATGTGAGTCACTGAGGATGCTACGAACAAGTCGGTGGAAGGGGATGCATCGCATTTTGGGCCTCCTGCAGCTCTAAAACGGTGCCCTGTAACATATATACTATTGACTGTCCGTAAGTAAGTCCACTTGTAGGTGATTGCCATGAGAGGCTGGTGGAAGAGGAGGAGCCATGGTATGGCCCGTCGAGCATTTTTATGCAGTCCGGAAGATACGGCGTCAGCGGATAATAAGAATGATTTTCGCGGTGCCAGATGTCATAGTAAATGACCCCTGATGCGTGTTAAATATAAAATATATAGTACATAAATGTAATTATATGTAGTAGTTGAGAACAGGTCAAGACATCTGGATGATTGAGCAAGACCCATTATGACGATGAATCACGGGACTTGGTATGTGCTAACAGCAACTGCGCTGCTTGGAGTCAGAATCTGTTAGAGCAAATAGGTCCCTCTACTTTGCGGAGACCCACACGGAGCATTTGTCACATCACATCATCAACAACCACCATCGCCACGAGGTAATGAAAAATGAAATGTCGATATATACCGTTGGTCGCGCCTCTTCTTTGTATTTCTCTGTGCTAGTTACTAAGCACACCTTTTGTCACCACTGATTATGCGACACGACCTCCTGGTGACAACAACCGAACCACCCCACACAACTTTCAACATGGAGACGTCCACAGCTTCTACACAGCAAGCCAATGCAGCACATGGACCGCAGTCATCTCGTCGAAGGCCCAGGCCCAGAGATGGGAAGTCGAATGCCGCACCTGCGTTGCGCAACCAGGCCATTGTCCAAGCCCCCACTGCCCGGGTGGTCACCAAACCTGAAGCTTCATCACAAACCAAGGATCCACGCGAGTACCGCATCGAGCAAATACGGCGGCGGTTCAAACCTATAGAAACCACCCTGCCAGATGGAACAACGTCACTCTTGTTCAAACTCAAGCCATCGGACCCTGATTTCCCCTTTGAAATGTCAGATCTCGAATGTGATCTGCGGGTGCCGAAAGCGTATCCCAACCAGAAGCCATCTCTACTGGTGAAGAACAAGAACATCCCCAAAGGCTCAAGCCTGAATGTCGAAAAGGGCTGGGACAACCTGGTGGAGAAGAGAAGGGGCAAGGGCGCAACACTTCTCAGCCTTGTCAATGCGCTTGACAGGTCCATGGAGAGCTTTCTATCACAGAAGCAAGTCGAGACGATCAAGCTGGTATCTTTCCAAGGGAACAATGATGCAGCACCGCAGGCAGAGACATCGAGGCCCGTGTCGCCAAAAAAGCCTGCACCCCGAGCGCAGCCTTCATCGGCGACTACGCTTCCAGAGCGACCAGCTGCTGCCACCGCGACGAGACCAGCGCTTCCACCGCTCGAGCCTGAGCCCTGGTTCAAGCCACAGCAGATTGAGGAAGCCAAGGCACGGCGGTCCAAAGAGATTCGACAAGTGGACAGTCGCATGGCAGGTGTCCCTGGCTACTCGAGGTCCAAGGACGGTATTGTATTCACCATGCCACTGCAGATTGAAGACAGAGAACGACTGCCGCTGTCTCTCAAGTCAGTACAGTCTGCTTTGTTCATTGTCCCCCTTCTGTATCCCCTGCAGAACCTCAGGATTCATTTCAATGAGGTTGAGGAGGAGGTGGCCGAGCCTATTGAGGAGTTGTTTGCCCACATTGCCGCGGAGAAGAAGGATACAAACCTCATGGGTTACCTAAACTACCTGTGTGGCAGGCTTCACCAACTTCCAGACAAAGTGGCAATGGCCAAGGTCGAAGCAGTCAGACGGCAAGTACTGGCTCCTCAAGTGTCGGCGCCCAAGAAGTCCGCAGAAGAAAAGGTATTGGACAAGAAGGACGCTGAGCTGTACGGTGTGCAATCAGAGAAGCCTCACGTGCAGTTCATCGCAAGACCACCAGAGTGGGACTCCCCATCTCGTCAGGGAGATGAGCTCCTCTCATCTGAATCCGAGGATACAGATGACGGCGGCGTGGACGTCGAGTACTCCGAAGAAGAGGCCGCGGCTCCCATGGTGGAGGAGACGCCGGAGCGAGGCACCATGCTCAGTTTCCCCAACATCGCGCTTTACGGTATCGAGCTCCTGCAGTTGACCACATTGAGCCTACAGGTCAAATGCGAGCGTTGCAAGGAGATGAATGATTTCAATCGCCTGAAGCCCAACGAGGAGAGAAAGTCCAGCTGTCGCAAATGCACAACACCCCATACTGCCACCTTCCGACCGACGTTGATTCACGAGCACTCAACGAGAGCTGGGTTCATCGACTTGTCCGGCTGCAAAGCGGCTGACATGCTGCCTAGCCCCTTTATCCCGACATGCCAGAACTGCTCGTCCGCGAACCACGAACTTGTCTCCGTCCGCGGCGAGTCCATCACCAACGTCTGCCGCGTGTGCCACGCCAAGTTCACCTTCAAGATCCCCGAGGTGCGCCTCCTGCTTATCACGCCCGGCTCCCTGCCACCACCAGACATGCCCAAGCGCAAGCAGGAGCGTCTCGGCCTGCGCATCGGCGAACAGCTTCCGGATCGCGGCTCCTGCGCGCACTACAAAAAGTCGTACCGCTGGTTCCGCTTCTCGTGCTGCAACAAGGTGTATGCCTGCGACAAGTGCCACGACGCAAAGGAGGACCACATCAACGAGTGGGCGAACCGGATGCTCTGCGGCTGTTGCAGCCGCGAGCAGAACTACAACCCGGAGGCGTGCAACTACTGCGGGCGCAGCGTCATTGGGAAGAAGGGCAGAGGCTTCTGGGAGGGCGGCAAAGGCACGCGTGATCAAAGACTGATGAGTCGCAAGGACCCCAGAAAGTACAAGAGGATAGGTACAGGCGCGGCGATTAAGAAGGATTGATGGATACGACGCCTGGTCAACTTCAACGGCCTGCTAAATCCAAAGAGTTTCCTTCCCCCTTGCCTGCTATCCCCAGATATGTGCCAAGGTGTCTGTTCGACAAACCGACCCGCGCCCCCTGCATGACAGCAACCCTTTGTGCATCGCAGTGCCGATCGGGAGGGGCTTGAGCAGTAAGCACAATGGCAATTATTCAAGAAGGGATCGTCGTCAGAAGGACAGGGCATCTTTAGCCGGTCAGCATCCTCTTTCGCCCATCGTGGCGAACTTGTGGTGCTCAGAGGTCCAAGTGCTTGAGTCCAGTCTTCCATGTTGATATCAAGTGACTTTTTGACAAGTTGGACAAACAGCCACATACTCAAGTCCTCTTGATACTGATGTCTGGCAATGTTGCCAGCCAAACCAACAACATCAGTCATGCACAACCCGCGCGCATTCACGCTCCGCGGCGTAGCATACCGCTTTCGTAAGATGATCGTTCAAATGCAGAAGCACACGCAATATCAAGACTGTCAATGCGACGCTACGAATACAAATATGTAATACATGCCACTTATCAAGGATACTACATTGGGGGGAAAAGGGGGGGTGGCGTGTAGGGAAACCCCACGTTTAAGCATTGACTTGCCACCCACATCGCCCCTACGGAAGGTATGCTTGTGTTTGATGGTGGGTTGTTTTGGATGAGGTCGTGTGATGGAAATGGCCAGCGCATCAAGCATCCAGGCTGGCTGGCTGGCTGGTCCGTCGAGTCCATCCATCTATGCGGAAGACGTAGCCAGACTCGATTTAGCACCTGGCTCGTGGTCGGCCAAGTCACATTGCAATATGTACAGACCTTTATAATTTACCCCATCGTAGTCAATGTGATCCAAGTAACATATATCCATGCCTCTGGCAAAGGCCACCTACATAGACAGACAACACCTAATAACCACTAATCAGTCCTTGTTAATGAGTAGCGGTCAACAGACCCTTGGCTTGGCAATTATCTGCCGCCGGATAAAGCACTGGGAAGCGGCAGCAGCAGCAGCAGAATCCCGCCCCCCGGATAAAACAGCCCTTGTCCTGTCGATCCGAGACGGACGGAAAGGGACACTCACGCATCCGCGACGGCGTCGATCCCGAATCGGTCGGCTGACACACACGCCTTCCTCACCAGATGTGACACGGTGACGACTTTGTCAGACGTAACGAGAGCCGCGGATCTGGGACCTGACATCTGACTGACAGACAAATCGACAGATGGGCTGGCGCGGATGGTGAGAGGCGGGAGGGAGGGAGGGAGGGAGGGGGGGCGCGCGAGCAAAGAGGGGAAGAGGGTGATACGTGATGGCCGACTGACTGACTTACTGACACGTGCTTGACCGGGGTGTAGCTCACCGGCTGCACGATGAATTGGGGAGGAAATGGCTGCCTAATTGATTTATAGTAATTACGGGAGAATAACACCACGAGGTATTAATTACCCCGTGCGTACGGACAATCAAGCTTTTGGTGCAAAGACGGGTCAATAATGAACGGTTTGCGCGACCCCGGACTCGCGCGTGCCGCGAGCACGGGGATCATATCATGGCAATTGATCATTGATGGATAATTGCGCCGTGCTGCTCGCTTCCTTTATTGTCGCTTGCGAATCGTCACCTCCCGCTACGGGACAGTTCCCCGTGGCCGACAGATCACATTGGCCCCATCCATGTATGTACGTTCCCTTTGGGAAGATCGGTTTGACAAACAGACGAGGATGGCTTCTTTTGCCTAATTGAATTGCTCGGATCGATGTGGTGCTGGCTCCGGCTCCCTAGTACGTACCTATCATAGACAGTCAATTCAAATCGATCAATTCAAATTACTTTGACGGGCTCTGGCCATGCGATCTGGGGTGCAGGGCTTGGCTGCACATGGCATCCTCTCGCCCTACCGCGTACATAATAAGTTACACGCTGAAGAAGAAGAGTGCTTGTCTGTCCGAGGCACCTCGGTAGCTGTCGCGACTAGGTTGGTTGAGCTCCGAGATCCTGTCTCTCGGCCATTCACGGAGACTATCCGGTTGAGAACGATCAGCAGGACGCGAAAGAGTAAGCGCCAGTGGACAAGGAACCCGGGGTACCTTGCGAGGGCGTTCCCAGCTGATGCTCGTGGCCTCAGCCTTGCGAATACAACCTCGGCCCTTTGCGCATGGTAATTAGAGGGTCCTCGGTTCCACCCCCAGCTTTCATGTTGGCTAAGACGGGACATCAGGCGACATGATACCGTAGCATCCGCTGCTCCGAGAACCATGACCTCGTTCATTGCCGTTGGACGTCTGTGGAGGTAAAAATCGACGGATATCCATACACCCTACAAGCGACCCTTTACCACGTAAACCACGCTCGCCCTTTGGGGTATGACGGTCCAGGATGTCGTGAAACCTGTACTGCGCCATCACCAGCACAGAGATCCCCAACTAACAGCAGGCAAAGGGGGGTTCGTACACCGCTGGGATCTTACTCAGCAATGCACCGTCGCTTCTTGGCCCTCGTGGCATTGTCCCCGAGAGCCTGTGTACTGGTCTGTGCCCCATCAAGACAAGAGGCCGTCGCGATCTCCTCATCGTGCTGCGCGGGTCACGTTGTCTACGGCGGTTGAGCGTGCAACTGAGAGGCGATGATGGCCGCACAGCAGATGGCTGCCACCGCCGATTCCTGCCTGATGATGGGTCACGCGTGGCTGGTTGTGCGCAGCCCCGACAGGATGAAGACGGTTGCGTAACGAATCGGGAGAGGATTGGCAGATTCCCGGCGAAGCACGTCGTGCGCCTGGCCGCGGAGCTCAGCGGTGCTGTCGTGTCCGTCCTGGCAAGACCGGCAGTGAGAGCAACATCAGCTTTGAAATCGCAAACACGGCTTGCATCTGGGCGGCGGCATGTGTCGGGGTGCACATTGCCAGTCGGGAGACCATCAACTGACGGCGTGTGCTTCCCGGAAACGCCTCGCTAGTTCGTGAGGTGTGTTTCGTATAGATATATACGATACAGTACTGTACAGTACTGTACAACAGCTTGATATAGGTGTCACCCGGCTCGGGCTGCTGCATCCCGAAGCCACAGGCCGTATTAGGTTCCATGTGTTCAAGTGAGGTTACCCAAGACATCATGAGCTCCCGCTCCGGAAGGCCCGTGACGATTCACATCCCGAGAAGGCAACATCGAACGGGGCGTCTGCAGGGTCGTGTTAGAGATAGGCCACGTGTACTGTTTGATTAGTTGACTTCTTCGTGTACCGATTTTGACTCGTGTATTCTCCCTACAGAACAAACAAGTATTACCAGTATTAGACCGCACGCACAGTCGCGTCCGGGGACGGGTCAGCCGCGTCTGTCGGTGAGCAGCATATGCCCTTCCCTAGGAGCGCGTTGCTTCGCACGTGGTTCCTGGAAGAGTGGTCTGGTTACATTGGATCTGCCCACACACTCTGAAGGAATCAAATCTGTAACCAGCCTGCAGGTTGGACACGGAGCCACGATCCTCCTAAACTCTCTCAGCAAGCAGAGTCGGTGACCAAGCGCTTGCTGGATACGGAAATCCGTCAACTCCAGTCGATCACATCGCGCGAGCCATGTGGCGCGTCCCGCTGGCGCGCGTCGATCTGCGATGCCACGAATGGTGAGCATGCATCTTGAAACCGGCCAGTCAAATGGCTGTCGCTGTCAGGGCTTGTAGGCAGCATGGATGGCGTGCGAGGAGCGATTGTTGCGCGTGAGCCAGCTGTCCAGGAGGATGCTGGGTCATGCTCGTGCTGATTTGATGTTGGACGGTTGAATGATTTGGATTTGTTGAAGTTTGCGCCGTCAGTGGGCAGGCAACAGCGGCCCGCCTCGGGAGCGGCCGCCTCCGCGCTCATCCTCTCATCACAACTCCGCTTCAATCCAGCATTCATGTTCCTTCTTCCTTCACGCATCAGTTGAAAGTCCGGAGACTGTATGGGCGGTCTTCTCATCCGTCAGGTGGGATGGGACTGTTTCGCGCACTCCAGCTGTGGCCAGGTCAAAGCTTCTTCCAGCGGCCTCATCGCCCGTGCGCAGCACGCGCACGTGGACGAAGTCAACGGTCGACATGGGCCTCGGACGCGACCAGGATATCGTGAACCTCACCCCAGCACCTGAGCATCCTTTGATAACGGATTCAAATCCGCGAGATTTGATCTGCATGATCGCCAGCGCGTGGTGTCGGCGCTGTCCGCCTGCATGCTGGCACTGAGCAATCGATTCCTTCTGGAAGCCACCTTGTCCGAGGAGATAGGTGCATCAAGGGTCATCCCACGACTCTCTTTCAGGTCGCCATTGTTATCGGGAACTTTTGCACGGGTCATCTGCCATGTGACGATGTGACGAAGAGCTATCACTCCGCGAAGGACGAGAATCGTGTCCGGTTGGAAGTCAAATTACCTTGTTGCAGCACCACACGTGCACGTTGAGACACGTTCCTGGAATCAGTGGATCTGACGGCCCTCTCCTATCATCAGTGGCTTCTTTGACACATAAGGCTGCTTGGATACAATCAGCCACCCCCTCCACATCTCCGGACTCGAGGTTGGGGGTCGCCGTGGGGGTTTGGCACCCATCATGTTCATGTTCAAGGGCATGGCTATGTTGAGAAGGTGCGCTGAAGTTCCAGGGTGGGGGAAGGGCGTTGAGCTGAGATGGCACTGTCAAGATCCCATGAGAGCCTCCAGTCTCTGTGTCCGAAGAAAGGTGTGGCATGCGAAGACGATGATTGATGACAGGGTCGTCAAGCGGGTGTACAACAGACCCCCAACTGTCAATTCGGGATTGCATTCATCGATCAAATAGATCATTACGCATAACCGTGAGCGGAAAATTGACTAGACTCGCATACGTGAGGAAGGGTCGATGAAGCTTGACGGTTGACCCATACCCCTTCTTCAGGCTGATAGAGATGGCGTCGCCATCAAGGCCACTCGTTGACGCAGGGAGGGAGGCATGTCAATGAATTCCACAATCGTGTCACTTCAGCTGTGCTGTCGCTGCAGGTTCGGTGGTATTCAAATTCATCCATAAGCATGACATCAGCTTCCGGTGGGATCATGTCCTCATGATTGCATTTTCCAGCTGAGAAGCGCAGACGGATACACATACTTCTTACCCAACTTGTCGGTCGTCCTATGTACCTCACGCTGACAGGAGACGTAGGGAGACTCCGTAGTTGCCATCCATCCATACGAGGGAGATGCAACACAAAAGATTTTCCTCAATGGTGGGGATGTGTTTGTAGAAGTGTACAAACTGGGGAGAGTATGTTCTAATTCGTTATGGCTGTTCTCAATCGCTGTGACATGCAGGTTGATGCAGATCCGCTGTCATGTTCGATCTGGCAACTGGTCGCATCGAGATTGATTGACGAATTTTCACATCATGACTCTGGTCGGGTGTCAAGGCCATCGCCAGCGTGGAAAATGACTTTTTGATAATCATTACGAGGGTATTCGGTCTAGACGTGTGTATTGTCTCGGTGAACTGAGTCGATTCTGCTATATCACCGTGGTGAACTAACATAGACTGTTGTTGCATGGTTCTGGACCTGTCTTATGCTCACATCGACGATGCCGCGGCCTAACTGTGGCACAGCCACATCCAAGCTGACGTTCACGTGCGCAGATATCATGATTACCCAAGCCAATATCAATCCATTCACACGGTTAAGCATGTTGTCTGGACCGCCCTCGGCGTGCCATGTGGTCACTGTCATAGACGGGGTCATAGCTACAGGGTGAGCAGTGTCGCGCAGCCATTGCTGCGCAACACTGCCCGTCGATAGCCGCGGGCGAACATCGTGCTTACTCTGTACTCCGTACCCCAGGCTCTAATCTCGGTCACGTTACGATCTCCCGGCTCTCTAGGCGGCTCGCGCATCGACCATGTCGAATTCGCCTCACATTTTGATCACAAGACGATTTTCGTTGCCATTTTCCCATTTCCCCGCGTTTCGCGCGCACGAGGCGGACAGACTGGGTCCTCAAAAGTCTACATTCGTCTCTTGCGCGCCACTCGGCGAGTTGCCAGTACGCTTATTATTACAACCACCTTGCGGTCCCAGTGAGGGAGGAAATGGCCCCGCACTGAAGAAAAACCGGACATCGTCACTTGCCTCACACCCAGCAGCTTGGACCCGCCAGTGGGACCCGAAGCAGAGAATGCGAATAGATTAAATCAGAATCCAAAGGCTCTCCTACGCGCGTGATTTTTTTTCGTCCCGCGAACGGGGGGATAATTGTGGCTGGCTTAGTCTAGCTTCTAATGTAGTCTCTCGTCGCGTGGGAAACACCGGGAATGGCGTTCTGGCCAGAGACACTACCATGGTTATTTCAATGGTGATTTTCTTTTATCCCCATTTCCAATGGCGCCGCGTCAGATTCCACCGTCCCCAGCCAGGAACGTGGTGCCCAATAAGCTACGGTGATGAGTCGTGGGGACCGATTCCGGGAATGCCGCTGCCAGAAAACCCCATCTACGCACCGTACCAGACTTCTAAGATTCCACAGAAGGACCGACCGATGGCATAGGTAAAATCAAAGAAGTGAAGATAGATTAAACAAGCGAAAATGGACACCTCTCTCGAGATGGAGTCACAAAACGAGGCAAGCATTCAGCTCGGTTGGTAGACCGATCCCCTCTTCTCCAATTCTGTCAATCTGTCAGTAGCCTGGGCGTGCGTCCCGTGACCTCGGTGGCTTGGAATTTTGGCTTTCTTCCACGAGGTCAAGGGTTCTGAACTTTACCCTTCTTGGCAGGCCGAGTCGAGGCGCGACAAAATGCCCCGGCACGGAGTAGCCCTGCCAATCATAGCCGAGATATGGATGAGTGTGAGGAATCGTCTTCACATGTTCCGGGCACTTCGCCGTGTCTCCGCGCCGAGAAGACACCAGCGATAAATTCCCATGGCAATAACAAAGAATTGCCATTCTGTTTAATCGGGTAATCGAGAGTCGCTTGTATTTTGTCCCTACAGAGAGGAGACAATCGGAGGTACTGACCAACTCGTGAGCCCCTCCAGTCCCGACTCCTCTTTTTGGAAATCAACAAGGGTCCTCCAAGGCTGTACCCAAGTCTTGGCTTGGTCCCGACTGTCTGGTCAGCTGCCAGGGACAGCCTGTCACTGTGGCATTCGACAAGGCGCCATGCACTACGCTGCTACACCCACCCTCCAGGCTATTGTCCTGGAGAAAGGGCATGAGAATGCGCCAGTGAAATATTGGGGGCAAGCCTTCCTGCATTATTTTATTCAGAGCATATGTATTCCTCAGGGAACAAGACAACAGAGAGCCGCACCAACTTCGGAGACAACTTCTGGAACCCTTCTTTCTTTCTTACTGCAAGGTCCAGCTAGCCTCCAAACCGGTCTCCAACTCCCATTTGGACTGCGGGTGGAGAGCCAGCTCCAGCGTCGCTTGTCGGGTCGGTTGGTCAATCAACGAATGATTCTCCGCATCACTCGCCAGGAACATTACGTTCCGAGAATTCCTCATAGGCTTACTGCCCAACTGGAGACGGGCAACAGGCGGTCCCTGCATGAGGGCGTGGCCGATGTGTGGGTATTTCAGCACTGCTCCAGGGCCGCGCGTAAAGCGCGTTATGAACGGAAGAATTATCGGCGGCGCCAGCGGGTTCGACCTGCCTGGAAGAGTGATTATCCAGGCATTAACGAGGGGTTTCTGTTGCTGATCACGGTGGCTGTGGTCGCTAAATTTACACGCGGCGAGCGCTTGCTATTGCCCGCTTTGGGTAAGGAACCGCCGACCGGACCGTCAGGAAAACGGACCCCCCCCAAATAGTGGGCATTGTCTGCACTACGGCCTTTCAAGCCCGATGTTCCCCGATCCAACGAAACGGGACCCAGCTAATATTATAGAATCCAGAACGGTCCGCCGAGAAGTTCAAGACCTCGTGACAAGTACGGTGCATTGGTGCATGAGCGAGACTGTCAGAGGCTGTGTACAGTTAATATGCGCAGTATCCTGCGCCTCGGGGCCGTTTCCGCGATTGAAATCATTGGATGGGGTTGTCAGGCCCAGCCATTGTGGATGGCCTATTGCGGATTCAGGGTCCTGTCAGTCTGGAAAGTCACGCGGAGCCCAGCTGTGGAGAGGATGAGGGGCTGGCGTAACTGTAACAATTCTGGATTCAGTGCTGATCTTGCGCACAAAGGGTCTGCACAGGGCTTCGGGCCACCGTCGCAGCGGGTTGTGAGAGCTGGGCACCTGACTACGTGTACGAAGTACCGTTAGCCACACAAACGACTGGACCGGCGAATCTCGGGACGACTGGGACTCGTAGCCTTCTTCACCAAGACCTCTTCGTATTCACCGATGAGGCGGAAACTTGGTAACACCGAAGCCTGGCTTGCGGCAGCCTCGTCTTACACGTAGACTTGCCTGCCGGGTGCTCTGGGCGGCGGCACAGATCAGATCTGTCCCTCCCTGCCAAGACTGTCGATCATGGTACCTGAGCGATGCTAGCTGTGGCGCAACTGTCTTTCTGAGTCAATGTCCTCGTGGACGCTGTGTATCTGGCCGACCCGGGGACCAAGGCACGGCAAGGTATTAGGCAGGCGACCACCTATTATTTACTCAACTGCATCTGAGAAGAGCGCATGCCAGCCACACGCTCAAGTCGCTGCACTACGCAGGCAATCAGTGAGATTTGGCACATGCTGTGCAATGATACCATGAAACGTACAGCCGCAACTGATCCATCGATTTCATACGTAGCTCCTGATATTAATTACACGGGAAAAGAAGTTGAGCAAGCTTTGCAAGTTGGGGGGAATTGGTCGCCACATCGAATTACAGGACGGCCCGTCACGCATGTGGCTGGATACCGGAAATCAGAGCTGACCTGCACCGGCGGCCTGGCATTGATTGGTGCAGACTGATCCCCTCCGCATACGTATACATATCATGTTCTCTCATGGACGATTGTTTTCTCAAACACACCAATGTTTAGTGACTGGTCCGACGATTGTCGGCTGTGCCTTGGCGACTGTCTCGCGATCGGCTGGGTCAGACAGTGTCTGATGGAATCGGCCAGATTTATAAAGGCATGTCTTGCATGCCAGGCACCAGGGCCATGCGATGGACGATGAAGACTCGCCGCTTGCATGCCGTCCATATACTTTGCGTTGAACAGCCGCGCGAGTGTACCATCTCATAGGCCAACATGTTGCTTGATCCGCCCTTGGCCAGGAGTCTGCTGCAACCTGCGCTTCATTTGCTTTCGATGATGCCGAGAGTGACCAACTGTCTCAATGGAAGTTGGGAGCCTCCCGTCGTAAGACAGTCCAGGGGAGTGAGCTAGGACAAAGACAGCGCCGTGGCATTGGGCGTGTGCTCAATTTGTAGAATCGAACGGCTCCAGAGATGCGAAACGAAGTCGTCGTGTGACGCGTCGCGAGGCTTGCTATACCGCGTCAAGGGCTGACTACGCAAACGTTGGCTGGCTCATAGCAGGCGGACGTCTCGTGAATTGACGCCTGTAGCACCCAATGGGGGAGTGATGTAGACACAATGCAATGAATGCATGAATCTGTATTACTACAGGCAGTGAGCATGAATGATTGTGACAAATACACCCGTGGTCCAGTCGAATGCTGGTACTACTTACTATAAAATAAGGCGTCTGGTGCGAGCATGGAGATATGCCTTGACCAACATTGAAAGCCACAGCTAGGGTTGTGGCGCCATTCCCCAGGCCAAATGTGATCTCACAAGTCATAACTTACCCCTTCTCAAGGTCAAAAGTAAGGCAGGCTGAGACATTGGACCGATCAAGAACAATCATTTGTGTGTCCCGACAGCTCTAAATTCCACACGACCAGTCAGGTCTGACTAAAAGCAATGAAAAAACAGTTTTTGAGGCGTGTTCTCTCACGACTCAACTAGCAAAAGCAACATTAAACTTGAAGCAAACGAAAAGAGGCCAAACAAGCAAGGACCGATCCCTCGCACCGTCCCGAACCGTCCATGCAAGTGCAGTTCAGGTACCCATAACCATTAACCATTAATGCTTGGTTTCAGTACCAATTTGCCCTGATCACATTCTGCCAGATGTTACTTATACCGGTTGCTTTTTCTAATACTCTGCCGTGCCGCTGGAATCACCCTGACGAATGAACCTCTCCCCGCGTGCTTGGAAGAGGCCTAGCTTGCGAATGTCGTCCCGTGCAACCTACAAATCATTGAAGTGACCCGCGCGCACCAATGGGGTGCAATACCCCCTGGCCCCGGGGAACACGGAGAACGTAGCAGGCGTTTTTGTCTTGACGGCCAGGCGCCCCCCCCCCCACTGCGCCCTGAGGCGCTGATCATGGCGACAGCCGGCGGACTGATTGGCGAGCCAAGCCTCCAACTCATCGTGGGGGAGTCCACCCGACTCAGGGCAGCGTCTCAACCCTGCTGCGTTCGAATCAGTGCCACGCAAGATGCTAGTCAACTAATTACTGGTGCAAGCGTACGATTTCGGTGTCGCCGCGTGACCTGACCCTAATTACATGCACAAGAGAGAGCGCGGTGGCTTCAGGAGGTGTCGTTGGTGAAACGGCTCCTCTCGTTTATCAGCTTGGTTGCGGAATATCGCTTGAGTTGGCTAATCATTGGACGAAAGGTATCATGGGACATTATTGCTTTCCGACCAACGCCACGCCTCATGGAGCCACGTTCTCATCGTGAGGTCGTCGATTCAGGCCATTGCTGCTCCGATGCGACTAGGATTGGAAAAACAACACTAAACTCATTCGAAACACACGTAGGTGTAATAATTAGCCTTCGTTCGTAGTGATTCCTACAAAGGCCGGCAGTCAGTGCAGCACCATACGTACGTACAAAAGATGTCATGTTGGCAGTCAACAGGATCACAGTTCTGGCAGCACAGACGCATGCGCAACGACGTAACCAGTTGCTGGTCGCCCAATGCTGCAGTGTGGCCAATTAACGACACAAAACAATGTAGCACTCAATACGGATAGCATGAACGCATGTGAAGCAATTCAAATTGTGATGCGATGATATCATGCTATGATGCTGCGCTGATCAACTCATTAAACTCAGCCCTTCCAGGACGCCATGTGCATGTGGCCACCCTTCGCCGTTACGTCCGCCCACGTTGCTATTACCCCAACATGAAATACTCCTGTACGCTTGAAGTTTTGCCAGTCGACCGCACTTCTCTGGATGCGGGCGACAGACCGTAATACATCCGGCCTTTGGGCAACCGCAATCACGGGTATGGCTTCACGATGAAACCTCCGACACGCCCCCCTTGCAAAGGCCCGTCAAAGTCCCAAATTGAATTTTGACGCCTTGTTGACACCGCGCTCACCGCACCGGACAGCTTCCGCGGGCCCGACATTTGGGTTGACGGGGCGCTGAGTGCCGCATCGTGACGAGGGTCGCCGGCACGTCGAAATTGGCAGTGGAGTTTCTAGGCCAGACGCTGTAACGCCACTCCATACCACAGGTGTATCGGGCCTCAGAATCCCGTCGGAACGGACATGGCCGGAGCCAGCCTAGATAAGTCTCATTTCTTGACCCGCGAGGTTGGGCATCATTGCAATCAACAAGTCCGAGCGAGCTGAGGCTTGACAGGACGGGCCGAACCTGACAGGCCCCGGTTACTGATTAGTCTCGGATCGAGCCAGCGCGTTTCAATCACAACAGAGGCACGGACTCTTTGCGATACGTCGTAGGATTGAGTCTCCTGATGTCAGCATCCCAGCAAAGAGGGCCCTTGAGCACTGCTGCCTAGATCCTCCTGGCTCTGGTGGCCGAAGGAAGTCGTCAAATGTTACTCAGGAGGAATGTGCTAAATAGTCATGTGTATATGCAGCGATGTGTTGGCATCCCGCCATTTTGCGCATCGACGGCCAGGTGACCATCAGGACTGGACACTGAGCACCAACCGACCTGGGGGACGTGAACCACTGGGAGAGAGTGACGACAGAGGCCTGGAGCCCTGCAGCAAGGCGTACTGCAGCGTCACCACGAGGACATGGTCGTGGACGTGTTTGTGTGTTCAATCGGTCCCCTACATGCAATCACGTCGAGACCAGAGATCTGAGTCGTGTGTCGCAGGTCACACTACGCTGGCATCAGCACGCAGTAGGGCCAAACTCACTGCAGGCGCCCTCGCGTCAACGCCGGTAGGGCTCTATACATATGTGCCTAATAGCATGTCATCAAAAAAAGGGGGCCACATGCCCTCCGGCTTCATGAGACTTGCGTGAATCAGGGTCTGCGTCAAGGCGAGTACGTGCGTATAATGATAAGTCCTGCCTCGCGGAGAAGCCCCGTGATCGCAGCCGCATAAGAAACCCGCCGCTGAACACAGTCGTCGGCATTTCCAGGTGCCTTGCCGGCTGTGAGCCTGTGACAGCCAACAACAACACACTGCCAAACCAACGACTCACAAGTCCCAAGCGCGCGATGGCGGCGGATGCCCGTACCCCGGACTTTCGTTGGCTGTGGGTTAAGTTGGCGCGATGGTCATAGGTCCCAAATGGCTCTCCCCTCATTGAATGGTGGCAAAACTGCCCATTCAGCAAAGCCGCTCGCTTCGGGGCAGTGATCCCCCGAGACGCTGAAGAAATCGCTTATACTGTCGAGTGAAAAGGGACTGACTATTCAGGTGAGCAAATCCAGGCTCTTGAGACATCATGTCCTCACTCGCGCCGTGTTCACATTGGCGCTCTGGACACTGGGAACAACCAAGGAGCCGAGGTGTCTGTCTGTCTGTCTTCTCACCTCTCGGCACGAGGAATTCTCGTCGGGTTGAGGAGGCATCGGAAGACAGTCCGACAATTGGGTGACGGAAAACGGTATTTGGTGAATTACTGGCCCGTTTGAGGCTGGCTGACCTAAAGCGGTCGATGAATTGGGCGACCAAGACACATTGTGGTCCCGGGTCCGTGGTCCGGCTCCCAGGTCAATCGGAACTGATAATTGTCCCAGGCAGTCACATGAGTCGGGAGGTTCGAGGTCAACCCGGGGAGAAGAGGTGCGCGACGACGCTGCGATTTTGGGATTAGCGCAGAAGCTATGGGCTAATCTGAAGTAGGTATATTGTGGATAACTGAAAAATCCGCTTACCTTGTCGGGAAAGTGCAAGCCAGCTGTGATCACAAGGCCACTGTGAGCGCCAGCGTACCGGGCCTGCTTCCCTGGTGCCCCGGAGGCGGTACTTGCGGCGTTGATGGCGCAGCAAGCCAGGTACTCCCACTGTCAGGTGGACACTCCAAGTCTCCAAGGCGCTGGACGAGGACTGGAAATTCAGCCACCCCCTCGGTCTTGCCAGGTGTATCCGCACGAGTAAGTGCAAGGATCCCTGCTAACCGCCGCGATGACTCCGACAGGTATTTTGGAGAGAAAGAGCCACCCCACAGCACGCCCCCCCCCAAACCACGCCCCCCCACTGACTCTGGTCCACACCTACGCACACACCATGCCCGCCCTCGCTCTTTCCATGGGTTGGGCACTCCCTCTGAATCTGCCAGCAGTCGTCTGACGAGATACATGTACTCTGAGCTCACCGCGACTCTTCACCCCTTCCCGTTTCTCTTCACTCCTCCTCGTCCAAGTCCATATTAGATTCCATTTCCCCAGACTCTTGGTTTAGTCTCCCTCTTGGACTTGATCTCAACAAACTGCACTTGCATTGCAGCATATGCACAACTTCGACCCGACTTGAAGTACGTACTCGACTCCACGCCACGATTGATACGATATCATTGCCCTCACCCTCACCTCACCTCGCCTACCGACGACGACCGGCACATCCTCTGGTCATCAGTTGATACGTGCCAGCATTGTGCACCCTTCTCTTCCCGGCAGCATCACCTCTGCGCTTTCTGGCGTCGCCTTGACTTGTATCTTCCCTGCAAGTCAACCTCTTCCACCAACATCTTCACGAAAGAAAACCGACCACCATCAACCAAAACGGCTTCTGACCTGCTCGACCAAATTCCGAGCAATCCCAGCCAGGCGGGAATGCCATACCAATTAGACACACACGTGCTGACAGTCGACGCAAACGTGCTCCACAAGGTTGATACCGCAAACCCAGCAAACCTTTATAGCATGTGGACTGTCTTCTCTCGCTGCGCTGAATCTTTACCCCAGGGGCGGAGACTCGAGAACCTTAGCTGGCGTCTTTGGCAAAAGGAACAGCTTTTGGAGAAGGAGCAAGAAGAAGCTCTGGCCGCCGCAAACGCAAACACTAGCACAGCCACTCCCACCTCTTCAATACCTCAGGCGATCCCCCAGGACGCTCGCCTGAACGACCTCCCCCAACTTTCGGGCAGTGTCGAATCTATTGCCGACGACGAAGCCGTCGAGTTCACATCGGTGTCGGCACCAATCGATCTCGCCCGTCCCGTCATCAAGCGCGAGGACTCGTCCACCAGCCACCGCAGTAGGCGCGATCGCCGCACAAGCTCCGACGATTTCGAAAAGATGATCATCTCCATCGTCAAGGACAAGACCCCTCTGTCGGCACCATCGCAGCATTCGTGCGAGATCAAGTCGGCGCTGCCGGCTACGCAGATGATGATGCAGCGATCGGGGTCGACCACTACCGAGTCCCAATCGCCGTCCAAGAGTTCGGATCTCCACTCTGAAGAGTCCCACCCCTCACCCGACATGCAGCCACGCACCGTCGTTCGCGGTTTCTCCCCTTCCCAACAATTCATCCCTCAATCGCCCCGAGCATCTTCCATCCATCAGCACAAGCTCAATTCCGCTGCCGACGCGCCCACCTCATCACCGGCAGCCAACATGCTGACTGGTGCTGGCAAGCCCAAGGCCGCTTTCGCACTTGGTGGAGCGTCGTATTCCTCCAGCGAAGCGGGGCAGAGCGTCGAGTCCCGGCAACCCGCGCCGGCCACCGTTGCCTTCAAGAAGACCGCCGCTTTCAAGCTGGGCGGATCATCCGAGGATGATGACTCTGGCTCGCTCAAGAGCGCTCTGGCCAGGCAGAAGCGCAACCCGAGCCTCGCGTCGCACAAGAAGCAGGCGTCCTTCAGCAACCACGTTACGACTCTGGGGCCCGCCTACAACGACCAGTACGACAATGCCATCGCCGACAGCGACGACTCTGAGGGCGAGTACGACGAAGAGGACTCGGAAGCCGACTGGGAGGATTCTGTCGAGGATAGTGGCAAGTCCAGCGTCGATGACATCTCCTTCCAGCGCGTCGACTCCAAGATCCACCTTCCCTCGACTCGTTCCCTCCTTGCATTGAAGCTAGCCGAGCAGGACACCCGTGCAGCCAAGATTGGCGGCTACGGTTCGCAGTCCACCTCGGCCCTGCACCAAGGGCGGCGCGAGTCGAGTCTGTCAAGGTCGCCTAACGACTCTGACGACGCTCCCTTGACCATGCGCAGTGGGCGCCAGCAGCTGCAGCCCATCAAGGAGGCCCCTCGCTCGGGCATTGCCATGGGCTTGGCCCAGGGCGTTGACAACCCGACGACGATCAAGCGCAACATGTTGTCGCGCGAGCTGCCCGACCACCTTCGCCGCGACATTGTTCACGCTCGCAGGCAGCTCAACTCGACCGCCGAGGCTGCCCAGAATTTCCGCGAGAACATCAACAACACGTCGCTCAAACGCCACCACACCTCGCACGACCTCCCCAATCTCAAGGCCTATCCCGATGTAGCTTCAGCCAGCAATCTGAAGTTTACTGACGATTTCGCCCCACGGGAGCTCGGCTACAACGAGCGTGGTTGGTGAACCTAGATACACCCCGAGGTGCAAGCCTCTAGAACGGGTCGATGGTCCAGCCATCTGGCCTTTTACGAACTTTTCCTTTTTTCTCTACAAGCACGGCGTTGGTCAGGACTCTTTGGTGCCCAGCGAAAGCATTACAAGGGAACAGTTGGAGACAAGCGCATCTCCTTAATTACATTTGGCACTCACGATGTCAAGTAACACGAGCATGGACCGGCGTTTTCAATTTTCACGATACCACTTTGTTCTTTTCGAGTATCTTTTTCTTCTCCGGGGGGGCGACCCCGATGTGTGACTGGAATGAAGCTTGGTTTCTGTGTGTGTGTTTGGAGGGGCAAGCAAGAAGCCAAAAGCGGGGATGTTAGGAATGACTTTTCTCTCTTACAAACACGGGCAACCGCGGACGGGCAAAAGGAAGTACGGCAAGGAAAACACAATGGCACACAAGGATGAGGCCATTCGCAGATTCCATTCTGCACGAAAACACATAGAAAAGAGGCATCTGCCTCAGTAAACAGTCACCAAAATACAAGAAAATACTTCTCAAGAACTTACTCGCAAAGTGATCGATCGAACCCCCCTGTGCATGCTTATTACGAGTGATGACTCTGCCTGCACCTACAGGGCTTCATGGTCTTACTCATAGTCTGCATGGGCGAGAGAGGCTTGCGTGCGAACGCTTGCGCTCCAACAACCCTCTACGGACAGTTCCCGAGCCCGGAAGACAGACTTGATTGACGTTAGGGTATCGGCTAGTTTGGCGGCGGCTCTCTGCCAGCGATGAATGATGGATAGCCCGGGTGCAGCCCCGCTCGCTCCGAGACTCGGACGGACTGACTGCAGTCTGCATCCATCTGTGACCTGTCTGTCTGCCTTGGAGCCAAGACAACCATAACAGAAAGCTTTCTTTCCTCCACGTATCCGCCCAGGGCGAAAGGGCCGACATGGCGAGCTGGAGTCTCCAGTCATTGTCATTTTCATACACCCTGCTATCGGGGTGGTGATGCCCATTTCCACAAAGTGGCCGAGCACAGCGCAACTAGAACGTCGGCAGTCTGGTCGGTAGGTAAGGCTGTGGCGGCTATGGAGTATTTTCTCAGCGCTGAGGCCTTTATCAATAAAGTGTTCTCCGGAGCGAGGGGTCCGACGGGCAAAGCGGCGGCTGGAGCCGGCGCGGCGGTGAGCAGTGTGAAATAATTCTGCTGCTGTGAATTCTAGACCATGAACACATATGGACTGCAATGGTCGACGTCGCTGATGCATGATGCATGCTGTGCGCGATGTTTTTGCTGCGTCCTGACACCGGCTGCCACCAGGACGTACGTGGGGGCGTGCTCACTGCTGGATGATGTGTAGAGGAAAAGCCGCCGTGGTGTGAAGATGCGCAAATGAGGGTCCTCTGACTTGTCGCTTGCATTTGTTGTTGTTGAGGTTGATAGACATACCTACTGCACCCTGATTGCAGATGCGCGTGGGTCTGATGCCGGGAGACCCTTCTGCCGTACCATGAAGCTCTTGCAAAGGCATCATAACTACCCACACAATATCTCCATTTAGTATGTACATCATCATGGGGAGGATTTCATGCGGTAGATCATCTGCCGCCAAGGATCTGAGAGATGACGTTGTCAATCACTGCTCTTGTGAGAGACACCTGTCATCACATTGAGACGTCTTTTTTTTGCAATCACTATCTGCGAAGAACCCCATGTGTTGCGATTCTCTCAACGCTCGAGCCGGTAGATCATGCCGTTGCCCTCACCGCTTGCTTGCTTGCTTTGCGCATAACGGTCTGACATGGCTGGAAAAATTCACACAAGGTTCACCCTAGAATCGCCTCTGGCGGTCAGCATGCATGTGCGCCTGCATGCACGCGTGTGACGTCCGTACATCCTGTAGTTAGGCTGTCAGTACTCAGCTGAAGGGGACTGGAGGGGGACTGCTGCAGATTCGCATTTCAAAGGCCGATCGGTCGCATATCGAGTCCCAGCCAGGCAGAGACACGTTGCGTTTAGGCGGTAGAACATAGATGGTGTGCCGACGGGTACGATATGCTTCCCTAGGTTTCTCTCGAGGTGGTTGGGAGGGCATGGAGCGTGATAGGCGAGAAAGACTTGAGGGTTGGATGCTGCCCTCTTTGCCATACTCCACACAGAGCTTGACTCGTGTGTGTTTTGGGTTGCTCAATGTGGCGGCAGTTTGGGCAGGCTTGGGGTCTCTCAGATGTTTATTTTCAAGGCGTGGCCGTGATGGATGGCGGTTTCACATAGTGAGGTGAGATGGAGGGAGGTCAGATTCGCGTGTAAGCAGAGATCTCCATGCTACTGCCCAGGACCTGTATATCGGCCTGCCGATACGTGTACCTTGCGAGCCATGGAATGGCAACGGCATTGTGATATGTCTGCCAACTGCCGATTTGCGAAGCCGGCTCTTGTGTTTCTTTGACAGCCGTCACAACCAAGGCTATGATTAAATGAGTAGATAAATTCAATCAATGCCATTCAGGGCCAACAGGCGCCCCCAAGAAAAGAGAGTTTGGGCTTAATCCTCAGGTCACAATAGACGCCCCATTTATGTCATTCCAGGATGCGTCGCCAATGCGGGGTGTAGTTTGTCGCGAACGTCTCCCGCCTGGGCTGTTCCCATCGATGTGGATGTGGACTGGCTGTGATGTGGGAGAGGACTGGAGGAGGAAAACCTGGGGGAAACCGGAACCGGGGCGGGCTAGTAACAATCCACCCGTTACGTCAATGGCAGCAGCCCAAAAGGCAGCCAACATATCCGCCCGCCCGCCCGTCATCATCATCGTGGGGACGAAATAGTGGAATATTCCACTGGTTGGATCGGCTCTTCTCAAATGACAGCTTGAGATTCAGAGACTGAAGAGCCTCATGCAGAAAGAAGCACATGTCCGCTGGCGGGAGGATCTGGGGGCCCAGTAGGAGTCACGCGCATCCGGTGTCTAGCGCTCCGCTGGCGGAAGTAGATGCGCCCGGTACGTCACCGCGCGGGATCACACTCCTAGAGATGGAGATTCCGCCGTGTAAACCGCCGGCTGATATAGGCGGGAGGGGCCTGCTGGTTCGAAAAAGAAGCATGCTGGCGATAAATACATCAATCTTGTCGTGCCGAGTGTGCACTGGTGTGTTTGCCGTTGAGCCTTGGCTCTTCCCTTGGCAGGTGGTTCTTTGCAGATCTCGCGATGTCCTTACTACATACATGTACGCACGTATAATTGCCATGCGTTACGCATACCAAGCCTGGGACCTGGACAAGGGCCAGAGTCAGACACCCAGGAGAGGACAGACACATCCATCAAAGACAAAGGACGTCACCTTGTTTGGGCGATTTCGTGGAGCTCGACGCGGAGAACTTTCCGGGGTAAGTTTGGCTTGCAAGCTAATTAGCAAGCCAGCAGACCAGGCCGCTGGGACGCTGGCTGACACGGGGAAGCAAAAAGAGCCGGCAATTGCGTTTGGCGTAAAACATTGCCTCGGCGTAATAAACCATTGTTTTGGCGTAAAACAAGCCCGGCGTCTGGTGCATTGCCATTGACAACACGAGGGGAGACGCAAGCCACACCGAGCTTCGTGCCGCTCCTCTTGAAATTGAAGCCTGTGCGGGCGTCACAACGGACAGGGACATGGCAGAAAACTCGCTCGTCGCAGCAGACGCATTACCCGACTCGGATAAGTCAAACATACTCGCGCTTGTACGTAAGATTAGGCCATCAATGGGTTGCGAACTTCTGGTAGAGTCGACTGGAAAGCCGGGGGGCATCATGCCAGGAAGGGGGTGTGGTAGTCACCCTTCCAAGTCGAGTGAATGTTGCGTTGCATCGGGTTGGGAGCGCGCATGGTGGTGAACGTTGCAAATGTCGCGACCAAGATCTCGGGATGCTGGGTTGATGTGTTCCCTGCACCAGGACAAAGACCAACTGCAGGGGCCCTTGAACGTAATTATTGTTCATGTTTTCAACATCGCTGCCTAATGACTGAACATGGCCGATTCATACATCATGTGACATTGCCAATTGAAGGAGAAGCACCGAGCACTCGTGATAGCCAATCTTGATGTTCGTACGTACTAGCCTCGGGAGACAACAGCGAGGGAAGCACGAACAGTCAGCAGAGAGCAGCAAAGCTTCCAGAAGGATTCCAACACACGTGGGTGTTCTTGCGAAGTGGGGCCGCCAGACGAGGAAGGGGCTTCCTGCACTCCCCCCCCCCTTCCTTCTACCCGATCGGCAAATCCCTGCGGTTGCAGCGACCAGTGAGTTTTGCAAACCCTGCGCGAGCAATTCTGCTGCCTGCTGGTCGTTTGTTCACCCGGACACACGGATCTAATCCCACTTGATTACGCCGAGCGGGGGGATACTGTGGGAAGCAAAATGGGACAAGGGCGCGCGGATGCAGCCACCTCGTGGGCCGAAAGAAGGCTTTTGCGCCGGGCCTCTTTGTTCGAGCGCTTCAGCAGTGCCTTGTTGAGGGAGGGATGGTCGCTGGCTGGCTGACGGGTGATTGCTTCCCCCTTCGACGGTGCAGAGCAGCAGACTGGAGCTGTCAAAGGAAAAGGGCATGTGACGAATCCATTCCGCGGGAAGGAGGAGGGGTGTCACCAAGTAGTGCCGGATGCAGCAGCGTGATTACCCGATAGCTTCTGCCACCCCCCTAGGCGAAGTCTAATTCGCTGCCTCTGAGAATACCGCACCAATTGCAAGCGTTTTCCGCTTAATTGATTCATTTTCCATTTACCCGGCGAATCGGAGCCCATCTCTTGTAGCAGCTGTCCTCGCTCGGTCGACATACCGAGACGACAGCACGCCAACCACTGATGACCTGACGCGTTTGGAGATCGATGCGCGTGTCGAGGCATCGCGATGTGGACGCAATGGTCGCGCCTGGATACGCACCATGTGTGTATGGCAACAACAATAACGCGACTTCACATGGGTTTGTCAAAGCATACGTAGTAGTCGTGTGATTTTCGTGTGAATCTAGATGCACCGCGACGATCTAGATGTACCAGATGGTGTACGACGCGCATGTGCATGTTGAGATCAACAAAGAGGCTCGCCGCGTGTGCTGATGACCCTTGCGCAGCACTGAACGTGCACGTGAATGTGAATGCGAATGTGAATATTATTAATATCCCTTCCCTTGGATCGCACCGTCCATGAATCAGCGCCTGCCAGCACATGCAACTGGCATCATCCATTGTTTTAACTACCTACTCTTAAATTAGTCTCCAGCAAATGGATGCATGTGAGATTCATAAATAGAGCTGTCTAGCTACGTGCTACCTTAATTATTGATCGCAGCCAGAAGACAGAATTTACAGTTTGCGCTGGGCTTGCAACAACCCCTCACCCATCCATGTGATTCCGCCACAGCATCACGAGTCAAGGCGAGGACGGCATACTACTTACCCAGGGAAGGTATGCGACCGCGACATGTCGGGCCGGTGGATGGGCCAGCAGACAGAACGCAGTCGCCGAAGTGAGGTTTGTTGAGAGGTGTTTCGGCCGTGGCTGATTGCCTGAGTCAAGTTCTGGGGTACATGTCAGACCCCAGTGGAGAGATTGGCGCAGATTGGAGATCGCTCGACGTCATGGGCTCCAGTTTGAAGATGATCAACATGTCGTTTCGACGACGACGTCTTGGCATGACATCCCCCAAGATGTGTCCTAGAAGGAAGATGATCCATCTGTTCCATAATCACTGGGCATGCGCAAAGTGTGGCGAAGACTGAAGAGTATTTAGCAAAGACTCGCCGTGGGGAACAGCGTGGCAGGTATAGATAGATAAAATGTGATTAATAAATTTCAATTTATCGAGCTAATACTGAGGCCTTCATGTACTCAAAGCCCAGCAAGTGCTCTCCGTATCATGCGTAGTATACGGTCAACGTGAACAGTTGTTGTTTGCGCACTTACTTGCGACTGAATTATCCAGCATTCTGTTGTGCTAGTCTGCCAACAGTAAGGGTAGCCCAACGCACTGTGACTTGCGTGGATGTTGCTACTGCGTGGCAGATGGATGCATTACAATCTGATAAACAAGATAACCCCATGTCATGGTAGGTGAGCCGGCTCATACTTGGACATCCACCTGACAATACCGTATATCCTTCAATGACTTGGACACTTCCAGTGCTGGTAGACTCTCGAAAATAGGTTAGTAGTTTGTATCTTTCGTGATACGTACACTCATTTGTTTTACAAGACGTGAAGGTATGTACATGAACCTGAGCAATGGAACCGGCCCTCTGGCTGCCACACAGCCTTGCTGAATATAAACTTACCAAGGCCACCATTCGCCTGTGATTTGGATGGAGCTATCGCGCGCTACATTTTCTCCAGGAAGACGAATTGCTCATGAAAGGAGAAAGGGTCCTTCACAGATGGCAAAGCGCAGCTGATGTATCCAGCTGTTGTAGGAGGCTCTGTAGCTTTTTCAACTCCCATAACAGCATTGAAAATTCACTTATGCAGTGATATATGTCGAGTAAGACTTTGGACCTCGGTATCTAGCGCTGTAGCTCCTAAAAGGGGCTTGCATAGGACATGGAGTGAGTGCACGCTGGGCCGTGGAAGATGCTCTGCATGCCACTGTCTAGCATTCGTCCATATGGGTTTTGGTTGCCTGGAAGGTCTTCCGAAGAATTCAAAATGAAAACGGCGGCACAAGACGAATTCCTATTCGGACAAGGTTCACTCCCCCTGACCTTCGTCTCTGGGCGACGTCCCATGCGTTGTGGCCCAATATAATACAAAGCCGACTCACTTTCATCCAGGTAGGTGCAATTGAAGATCCCAATCAAGATTAGATGGCGTAGAGAAAGAGACTCGTCTTCCACAAGACCTCGAGTCTTGCATGTTATATAATCACCTGCTATGGGATATGGACACGGGTGACCTGGACCTGCGGGAGGACGAACCAGGACAACGCAAACCGGGATGACCACTTAGACCGCGAGCTGAGATCAAACTGTTTGATGGAATCAGCATTGAATTATGACCTTCTGAGGTTTAGCTTCATAGACACTCTTTGTCAGCCTTGCCTGGTCAAACTTTTGAGTTGCGCTTAGGGCACGCAAGGTCACGAGTGATTCCGCTTCTGGCTTTGAACAAAGCATGGCTATCAAGGCTTATCCAAAGATGGATTGGCGTCTCACTGAGCTAGTAGATTCACCTGGGTCTCCTAAGGTATCGTTCTCGAGTGCTGGCTCCCCTTCATGTCCTGCGGCCGACCCTTCCGCATCCGCCGTATGAACCTCATGGGAAGAAGCAGAATGCAAAAGCCCAACAGCACGAGACGTCGAGATATCGTCGCTCAGAAAATAAGCTCACGACTGGGCAGACTACGGATCTCCGCACCCGTATCGGAGCAGCCGCCTGTCCCAGTTCATTTTGATCGGCCCACGCAGCCCCCAGCAGCACAACTGATCACGAAGCTACCGGTTGAGTTGATCAAACACATTATCAGCCACTTGGACGATGTGAGCAAGGCCCTGCTCTCCCAAGTATCCAAATTATTTGAAGTCTTGCTCTCGTTCACATACCCCGTCGAAAAATGGCCAAAAGCAGATAGGTCTCGGTTCCTCGCATGTCTCACTCACGACAAAGCCGACAGGTGGGTGTGCGAAGATTGTATGAGATCCCATGCCGTCAACTTCCTCGACCTGCGTCACCAGCCTGAACTCTGCAATTGCCCGTGGCTGCGCAGGCGCAGTTTTAGCATCGGTGCTTTCGATCTTCAGCGTTTGTGGCCGCCTCTCGTAGATGGACGGCATGTCCAGCTGGCGTTGAAGTATGTGAGACTACGGCCAGCCCTCTCAACGCAACAAGAGCATCATCTATCGCGGCTCCTGTCCTCATTTATGGGCTGCATGCGTGCAAGCTCCCCCGGACGGCCGACACACTCCTACAAATATCAGCTGTTTCCCAGAATTGTCCACTCGAGATTCATGCTCAAGGTGGTCTATGAGTTTCCCCCCTGCACTTCCCGATGCCTCACATCCTCTGAACGCCTGGAAATGGCTGAGGATGAGGCTTTTGTGTTGAACATTTGCCCTCATCAAAGCCTCATGCGTTCCGTGCAACAACGTTACATCTGCGCGCGGCAACACGAAGTAGGGCCCCCTCCAACAAGGAGCCACAGGATGTGGCACCGGGGGTGGGAACGAGACGTTCGGTATTTTGTTCACCATTCAAGTGACAGCTGCTGAAGGTGTGCATGGTGGCTGTCCCTTCTGCGCGGCCGACTTTGTCGTCAGCAGCACGCAGACGGCGATGACCGTCCAGGCCTGGTACGATTGTGGTGGCGAAGGCCGAGTTGGTACGCGCGTGCGACCAGTCAAACGCAGCTGCTTGGGGGCGCCAGACATCGACGAGCATTTAAAGGATCAACTGTTGACGCACCGCGATGTGCGCCAGATGTATGAGACGGGGAAGCCTGGTTTGTTCCACCAACGACTCTTTGCTCTTGCGTAAGGAAATGGTCGAGCCACGATATTGCCGTGCCAAACATCTCGACAATGGAATAATAATGCGTTCCTGGCCAGGAACGGTGGGGGTATATTCATATTTAATAGTCAACCGACGGAACTGAATCTTTATTAGCTAGCTAGCCAGGATGAAGGTTGATAATATGAACCGAACATTGTAAAATAGTAAATGGTCTGACTAAAATGGCGAATCTGGCAAATTCCAAAGCATGTCAGTGTAATCTGTTTAAGTGCAATGGCGTTGACGGGACTCACAGCCTCATACCGCGTGGCTCCCACTGACATTTATCTTCTCGACGTCAGTAATAAGAGTACAAGAGACGAGAGAGATCTTGAGGAATGCGGGATGTGAGCCAACCAACCGGGTGGCAGGGTTCGTATATTCGCCTCCGTTTTAGGCAAGTCTTTCGCTTTGCGCCAAACGAGCACGACTTGTACGCTGAGGCACAAAGGTGGTGCGGCACTGGTCCCTGGGGGGGGGGCAATCCAGAGCGGTGGTCACTGATGAGTGCGCAGTTTCTTCTTTTCGAAACCGAGGAGCCGAATCGCATGTGAATTCCGGACCGAGGAATGTTACCTCTATCCGTGGTCCGTAGAGTGGGAGTTGACGGACGCGGACTTCGGCGTCAGATCGAAACCCGCGGTTCAGTATCTCCTAAAATTCAGGGTCGCGATGGAAGATCAGTCAGCAGAGCAACTCCAGTCTCCGACACCCAAAGCATCCCCAGGATTATGACCTTGGCTACCCGCAGAACCCGAGTGACAGCGCCTTAATCTCATCAATGTTAGACAAACCACGCTGGCTCCTGTTTACCGCAGGCACATACGTACATCTGCGTCCTCAGTAGTAGCCTGCACTGCGGTTCTCAGTTGTCCATCGCATCAAATTCTAGCGTGTTGGTGGTGGCTGTGAGGCAGCTGACCCTTCATCAGGTTGGCCAAGTAACTTGGGTAGTCTGGGGTCTTCCCCGCATCCATAGTCGATTGCCAAGGACGGCTGAGAAGGCCATGCCTTATCATTTCTTCAAATTCAAGACTGCGGGCTGTGAGCCGTGGGTCGTGAATCGGGTCTTCAAGGTGTTTGTCGAGATCATCTCGTCTCACGTCGACCGGTACATGCAATCTGCCTCTTGAGCGGTGCTGTCCATAACTCCATAACTTCGAGAGATACTGCACGGACGGGAAGGCTCTCCACCAAGCGTCTTGGTGAGGGTGAACTTGCAGGTCTCGACTTCCTGGGCAGCAGCCCTACTTAGGCATCGTGCATTTCTTGGCTTTGTTGAGCAAGACAAGCTTTTCGTCAGGTCGAGTGACGGCCTATGGGAGGAGGGGAAGGAGGGCTTGGTTCTGCGTGGAAATATAAGGATCCACGGCCATTGAAGCCGTGCCGTTGGAGGATCCCTGCAATGTCAAGACGGCTGAGCGCAGAACACCTCATCTCATTGGTCCCAGTGGGTGAACGTCGCTTCCCAGCAGACGTTGGCTCTTGAAGACAACTTTTCTTCTCTGGTCGACGAAAATGTGAATTGGCAACGGCTGGAAACGCTTGTCGAAAAACCTCCGATGATCGACGATGTGGATGCTCCAGGCAGAGGTGACGCAATTCCATGTCCACTGCTCACGTCGTTGTGGCTCAGGCAGGTTGGGGGGGGGGGAGGTTGAGCGTCACTTGGCCCCCTGGCGCTCATGCTAAGCCACTGGAGCTGCAGGCCGGGCAGCTGAAGTGGAAAACCCCAGACAAATACCAAGCTTTACAGCCAATGGGAAGCTTGCTTAGCCCTGTGCTACCACCAACTGGCCCCGCCCCTCACCTGTCGATATGTCGCTGGGCGCCACAGCTGGCCTGAGGAAGCCCTGGCCACCTCAGATCTGTCTGTCCAGTCGCCCAGCCTCCAGCCTGGTCGGACTCCTCCTCCTTCGTCACTATAGACAATTCCGCGGGCCCTCATTCCGTTTCCAACCTCCAGCCCCTGCTCTCGTAGTCGCCATCTCATACGACAGAGCTCGGCAATTACACCACAAGCTCGCCTCTTCTTCATAACCCAGTCGTCCTTGAGCGATCGACCTCGCGACCGACTATCGTCATGGATCACACCTCGGGTATTATGCCCTTGAACCAGGTGCACAGCCCGCCGTTCACCGTGGAAGCCAGTGGCTTCGAAAAGGTCCCTGGCGAGACGATCCCCCGTCGTCACCCTCGATTCAAAGATGCGTTGCGCGACTCGCCTGCCGAGGGCGTCCATACCGTCTACGACATTGTCACGCGCAGCGCGCGCATCTACCCCAACCACACGGCCGTCGGCTACCGTAACCTCGTGAAGCTGCACAAGGAGACCAAAAAGGTCCAGAAGAATGTGGACGGCGAAGTCCGCGAGGTCGACAAGGAGTGGCAGTTCTTTGAGCTGACTCCTTTCACCTTCTACACCTATACTCAATACCTGGAGCGCATCCACCAGGTTGGCGCTGGCCTGCGCAAGATTGGCCTCACCCCCGAGCACAAGCTCCATCTCTTCGGAACCACCAGGTAAGCTCTGCGCGGCTGTCTCGATGCCAACAATGCTAACTCAGTATCAGTGTCAGCTGGATCACCATGTCGCACGCCTGCGCCTCGCAGTCCATCTCCATCGTTACGGCCTACGATACTCTCGGCGAAGAAGGCGTTGCGCACTCTTTAGTGCAGACCAAGGCCAGCACCATGTACACGGACCCGCACTTGCTCAAGACCGCTACTGGCGCTATCCGCAAGGCTGATGTCAAAACGGTCATTGTGAATGCCGAAAGTGTCTTTGCCAACGGTGGCGAAGTTGATGCGTTCAAGAAGGAGAACCCAGACCTCGCCGTTTACACATTCGAGGAGCTACGCAAGCTCGGTGAGGAGAACCCAGTCGATCCTGTCCCTGCCAAGGGCGAGGACCTGTACTGCATCATGTACACCTCTGGATCGACCGGTCTCCCCAAAGGTGCCTGCATCAAGCACGAGTCCTTGGTGGCTGGTGGTGAGTACACCCGATTAACCACGTATACGGCACCCAGCTAATCCTTTTTTTTCAGTAACCGGCCTCTGGACCAACGTCGAGGAATGTGTCAGCGACAAGGAGGTGATTCTAGCCTACCTTCCCTTGGCTCACATCTTCGAAATGGCCCTCGAGAATTTGGTCTTGTCGATCGGTGGTACCCTGGGATACGGCAACTCCCGAACTCTTTCCGATACCTCAGTCAAGAACTGTGCTGGTGACATGCGCGAACTGAGGCCGACCGTCATGGTCGGTGTGCCCCAGGTCTGGGAAACCATCAAGAAGGGCGTCATGTCCAAGCTCGACACATCAAGCCCTCTGCTGCGCAACCTTTTCTGGGGAGCCCTCAGTTACAAGAGCTTCATGTCCAAAAACAAGCTACCATTCGCAAGCGCCCTCGACAACATCGTCTTCAAGAAGGTCCGTGACCTGACTGGTGGCCGTCTACGCTTCACCATGAACGGCGCTAGCGGTATCTCCGACGAGACCAAGCATTTCCTATCGCTTGTCCTGGCCCCGATGCTGGCTGGATACGGGTTGACCGAGACGTGCGCCAACGGTGCTCTGGGGTGCCCTCTCGAATATTCTTCCACGGCTATTGGCCCGGTTCCCGCCTCTATCGAAGTCAAGCTTGTTGCGATCCCCGACATGGGCTACGAGACGGATAAGAAGGGCCAGGCGGCTCAGGGTGAGATCTACATCCGCGGAAAGCCCGTGATGACCGAGTACTATGACAACCCCGAAGAGACCGCCAAGGCTCTTACCCCCGATGGTTGGTTCAAGAGCGGTGATATCGGCGAGTTTGACAAGGACGGTCACCTCAAGGTCATCGACCGCGTCAAGAACCTGGTCAAGATGCAGGGCGGAGAATACATCGCTCTGGAGAAGCTGGAGGCTGTCTACCGTGGCACCCACTGTGTCACCAACGTTATGATCCATGCGGACCCCGAGCACTCGCGCCCCATTGCCGTCATCATGCCCAACGAGAAGGTCCTTGCTGAAGAGGCCAAGAAGCTGGGCGTCGACGAGCACAACATGTACCACGACAAGAAGGTGAACTCCATGGTGCTCAAGGACCTCCAGAACGCCGGTCGCCGTGGCGGTCTGACCGGCATGGAAATTGTCGCCGGTGTCGTGATCACAGACGAGGAATGGACTCCTCCTAGTGTAAGCCCCTACCGCCTCGAGCCACTATGAAAGCATGACAAGCTGACAAATTACAGGGTCTGGTCACCGCCACGCAGAAGCTCAATCGCAGGGCTATCCGCGATACCTTTGGCAAGCAGATTGACGAGCGCCTCAAGGCGCTGTGAGTAATGCAAGCGCCGTTATGAAGCGTGGGCATGTAGCGTAAGAGTAGAGTACTGAGCGTTCCCGACATTGTTCGTCATAACCAATTCTTCGTACTGTTCGACCGATTCTTGTTCTCAACAGAGGTCCTTAATATAAAGCTGGCGTTGCTCAGAGATATCTATTTGCCGTTTTGCTGCAGTTTGGAACTGCCGTGTTGTCTCATTTTGTGTTGTTCAGTGATAAATGAATGCCGCGATACATGCGAGTGAGGAGGTGTGGATTGGAGCCACACAATGGGCTGCGTAGGGGGGATTGCTACTCTAGAAATGTAGCTCTGGATCATGCTCATTGTAGTCTTGCTATAGGTCATTGTGTCGTATTCCAAACGAGACATGACAGAAAACGCCCTCGCCATGCAAACGCCATGATAAATTTAGTGTGGTATCTGGTTGTGTAGAAAGACACGCCCATTCAATCATGTAAAATCCTCAAGACGTACTGTCCAAATCCGCAACGAAGCGCTCACGCCTGATCGACACTTCAAGATCCGCTCTTCATCCTAAACAATGCCACGTACGGAGTACGAGAGCCATCTCTAAAAACCTTATTCGCATGGTGGCCCTGCAAGTTGGCCTTGGTGATCCTAGCATCGTCGCAATACAGCCACGCAGACCCGTGGGTGCGCGGGTCGCGCACATATGCCGTGTAGTGGCCCGAGTTGGTCGTATCACCGTAGTGCTCCACGACGGCTACGCATTCGTACTTGAAGGGTCCAATGAACGCCTTGTCGTCAGTTCGCATCTTGTCAGGGACTGCATTCGGCCGGGGGTGGAAAGGTGCCATGTCCAGCGTGTCAAGATCCCATGTTACCTCGGCCATGATCTTGCTCTGGCGAGAAATACCATATCTCTGAATCGTGACGAGCAGCAACGCCGGCATGCGGGGGAAGGCCCGCTGGATCGTCGCTGTCCTGTCTCCCGCCCGGCATGCGTCGCAGTGGAAACCCGTCAATTCCTCTGGAGCAGTGTAACGGCGGATCAACTTCTGTAGCGTGAGCTCGCGGTCTTGCGCGTCACGCTCACTGAGGTACAGGACGAGCTGCTTGATGACCCCCCATCTGTAAGTCGTGGTCTTGCACGTTTGACAGCATACCGACTGGACTTCCATAAGCCCACAATGTTGATCACTGATGGACCGCGAGGAGTCGCAGTATTTCGACCAGTACTCCAGCGCACCGTCGAGGACTGACTTGTTGCGCATATCGAGGGGTTTGTCCAAGTCAAAGGCAAGTATGTGTCTTTGCCTGTTGGTTTCTCTGTCTAGTTCATCCAAGACGAAGCTCATGAATTCATGGGCGTCGTGCTGGTGTGAGTCACCGAGCACTTCTTTGCTCTTGTCGTGCGTCGTAATAGATCGCGTGTAGTTCTAGGTGATTACGGTCAGCGAGAGCTCTCTGGTTGGACTAATGGGGATGCTCACCATCAAAGTTGAAGCCTTCATCACTTCGAAGTTACCTGTCTCCATCCAATGAAACAAAGTTGACAGAATCTGTGTCATCAGTTGAGCCTGATCCGACTGCTCTCCCTTCTTCCGTGGTACTTTGTATGTTTGTGCCCAATCAGTATACAGCAGTTCTCTGCCAATGCTCGAGACAATCAGCGACTGGAGGACACTGTTCGCGTAACACCAGTTGTGCGGGTTGTTCAGGCCGGTATATACCCTTTCCTTCTTCGTGGTCATCTGATCGAACGGTTTAGTTGACCGTGCTGACGCTACTTGGGCGCCCGCATCTCTGTTGGAAACGCCATCGTGCGGGTCTGAGCTTATGGCGTTACCGCTGTGGTTTGGCCGTGACACAGCTGGCTTCGGTTGCGTGAGAGGAGCGGGTAGGCCCTCGACAGCATGCCTGCCTGGCTGGTACTCGAGAGGCTTTACAGGCCTCGGCGGTCCTGCCGGCTGGCGTGGTAACTCGGGAACGGCAGCGGACGACATGTCCTCTGGTTCCCTGCTCACGTCTGGGAACCTGCGCAAGAAATCTTCTGTAGTCCTGTAGTGCTCGGTTGAAGCAGCCTTCTCCAATTCTTCGGTTCTCAGCTTTTCTTGCCATGCCCTTACGTCGTCTGGAGCCATGGGTCGCGCTCTGTACTTTGACTTTGTGCGGTTGATGCGCAGGCTAGCAGCATTTGTGCTAGAATCACTCGTCGAATCCAGCCCTCGCGGGCCCAGAAGATCGGCCCAGGCTTCGAGGCCACCCTTCAAGAGCAAGGGAGTTTGCTTGAGTTCACGGGCATAGCTGAGATGAACCAATGCCCGGTGCAAAGACATGATAGCAATCTCGTCTGCTGTTCGCGCCACCACTGGATATCCTTTCGATGTATCATCATAGAAGACGACAAGGTCAAACTCATCCCTTCTCTCAAACAAGGTTTGGTCTTGCCCTGGCGATAGGACCAGGCTCTCGGCAATGTCGTCCGCATTCAAGTCCGGCCTCGTCAAGATGTCCGGCTCGATGCAGATGATGGACCTGGACATAATGTGGCTGTCATCGAACTGTTCCCGGGAGCGAATGTCAATGATGAGAATGTTTTTGCTCTTCATGGCCTTGAAAAGCTCCTCGGCGTCTATCGTACGCTTCGCTAGGTCCACAGAGTGCCGAGGGGACGAAGCTGCAGAAGATTCCTTGAATACGCCATTGGTCGGCGCCGCAGGCTCTGAAGTGATCGAGTTTGAGTATACGGGTGTAAAGTAGTCTTTGCTGGGTGGCAGGGATGATGCACTTGGACTGCAGGATACCGATGTACTGGAGCCCGTCCGACTGAACCCTCGGGGCGTGCTGCTCGGCATGCGGACCGACTCTTCTGACATATTGCCGCGTACAGGACTGTAAATAGCATTGGGCATCTGAGGAAGAGAGGGGACCGAGCTGTCGATGCCAATGTTGGGCCTTTTCAGTTGTCCTGGCGGCATCTCTCGTGGGCCGACGGGCTTGAGAGGGTGTGCGAACGCGTGCGTCTTGATTCGTGGATCCTGCCCTGGTGAAGCTGCCGGGCCTTGTAATTTCGCAAACCGAGCGGCTAATAAATCGCTGCTCGCTGAAGATGCACGCGCATGATTGCTCTTTAAAGCATTGCCATGTAGGGCCTGAGGCTTTGGGCGCACCTCTGGTTTTCTTGCCGGCACCGGAGCAACACCATCCAGCTGTTGATTCGAAGGTTTGACAGAACCGTTGCTGTGAGAGGAAGAGGCTGAGCTAGGCCGGGGCACAGATCGCTGAACTCCCGTGATACGGTTGTTCTCGATGATTTTCTTCTTGATGCCATCGTACTGAGGCCACAGGCTTTTGATTTGCTGCAAAAGGGCTATATGCTTTTTGTGCAGCTGGCTGCTCTGGTTGTGTTGAATTTCGGGGTAATCACGGTGCCCCTCGATCGTTTGGACCGCAATGATGTACGAGCGCAAGTATCCTTGGAGTGCCTGCACATCCTTGTTGAACTCGCGCATCAACTCAGCAGTCTTCAGGGAGGACTCGCATTGTTCCAAAAGCTTCTTGATGCTCTGGCTCCCGTCAATGTCGCGAGGCGCTGCGGTTACATCATCAATGTGAGGTAGTGGCTGCGCAGTACCGCGCGCGGGACTTGCATTGGGCAAGCCGTTGGGTGCCGGCGAGGACGCGTGGTTAATGGCAGCCATGTGCCCTTCGTAGCAAAGGCGCCACGGTAGATGAAAGGTCGAGAGAGTGTCGATTTTGTATACGACTGGTATGTGCGCGATCTGCGACAGGTTCTATAGCGCGCAACTTCAACTCCACATGCAGGGCAGAAAGCAGAGAGCGACCGTAGTAAATGTCAGGGTAGCACAGAACTTGAGCTCGTCCACTGTGCATGAGAGTCGAAATCGAGATCGGTTTGCCGACGTTGACAGCGTGTTTTCGATGTAGGCTCAGGTCATCGCCCAGACTATGGATGGTCGTCGTTGCTGGTAAGGAATCATATTTCACAACGACAGACGAAGGAGAGACGTCTGGTCAGCCGTCCGCGAGCCAGAGCTGCTTTGCGTCGAGTGGTCGGTCGTGTGTCGTAGAAAGGTGGCGGAGACCAAGTCGTAGGTACGGATAGGCGACGCTGATGGCCACCCAGTTGTGGAGGCGTCGACGACTGGACTGTCGTCACGTCGGGCCTAGCTGTGGCGTCCATGTGTTGTGTACAGTCGAGACCCCTGGAGGAACCTGACCTCTCTCCCAATCCCGCGCGGCAATTAAGTACCAATTAGCTTGCTACGCGTCCCAGAATCTCATCCCGTGGCCCAACCCCGCTAAGGCTAAAGTGAGGTACTGGTTGGCATGCTATTCTCGTTGCCTGGCCCTCAATCTGATGAGCGCGTCCGTAGACATGGGAATTTCTACAAGACTGATACTGAAAGTCACCCGCTGCCATTGTCTCTATGAACGACCCGCTGTAGAATTCTGAGCATCGAAGCGTGTCCTTATGTTCATCTGTCGGCCAACCATTGCTCAGCCACAACTGTAGACCAACTGCAAGGCGACATGGGGAAGGCTGTGGCTGGGCCCCACCAAGGCGACCCCAGCTCCAACCACGTCACTCCAGTCATCGTTCCCCAAGCCTTCTGGGAGCTTCAGCCTAATCCATTCTACCATCATTCGCACTTTCGACCTCAAGGCCCGCGGCATCGCTATCGTCGAGCAACACAAGTGCTCTCTGTGACCGCGAACGCTTGTTTTTCTTTGATCTCCATATTGCACCACTGGGTTAGGTTACGCACGTCGACTTGCCCACAATGATGAGCTGGTGGTCCGGCAACAACACTGCCCTGGATGCGCAGATTGAGAAGGCGACCAGCAGTAGCCTGTAAGGACGCCCCATTTCTGTACGCGTTACATCTACTGACGGGATACAGGGAGGACATCGCACTCAACCTCGAAATATCCGACATCATCAGGTCTAAGACGGTCGGCCCAAAAGAAGCTATGCGATCGCTTAAGAGACGCATCGGCAACCCGAACCCCAATACTCAGCTCAGTGCCTTGAACGTGAGTCCTGAAAGACGCACAGTCAGTGTACATACGAAACTGACAAGGGCTAGTTGACAGATACTTGTGTCAAGAATGGTGGCTCACACTTCCTGGCCGAGATAGCGTCGCGCGAGTTCATGGACAATTTGACCTCACTCATGCAAGCGTCCGGCGCTGCAGGAGTTAACCACGACGTCAGGCAAAGGATGCTCGAACTCATACAGTCATGGGCGGCTGCCACCGAAGGGCGCCATGACTTGTCCTACATCTCCGATGTCTACAGGAACCTGCAGAAAGAAGGGTATCAGTTTCCCCCTCGGCAAACCGTCGCCAGTAGCATGATTGATAGCAGTGCGGTCAGTATAAGATCGGGTGAAAGTAATGATCAAGCTAATGCGTGGGTAGCCTCCCGAGTGGGCAGACTCCGATGTCTGTATGCGATGCCGAACACCCTTCTCGTTCACGAATCGGAAACACCACTGTCGAAATTGTGGAAACTGCTTCGATCAGCAATGCTCGAGTAAACTTGTCGCGTTACCTCATCTTGGCATTCAAACGCCCGTGCGCGTCGACGACGGCTGCTATGCGAAGCTTACTGGGAAAGGCCACAAGGAGCTTGATCGATTGCCAACCTATCCCCATAAGCAAAGAAGCACGTCCGTGATGCAACCACGCAACGCGCGTGTTGACGATGGATTTGACGAAGACTTGAAAAAGGCTCTTGCAATGAGTTTGGAAGAGGCGAGCGGTCAGCCGTCTGGGACGGTTGCTGCGCCGGTCACAGACAGCTTCAAGCCAAAGGGGGACGCCAGCGCCACGAAGCAGATGGAGGAGGAGGATGAGGATCTCAAGGCTGCCATTGCCGCGTCTCTTGCCGATATGGAAGAGCAGAAGCAACAACATCAGGCGACCTTGAAAGAGCAGACTTCAAATCCTCCCGTATCTTCCACGACGACCAATTTTACGCTCCCCAAGAACGACTACGAGCTGTCGCCCGTTGAGGCCGAGAACATCAACCTTTTCTCAACCCTGGTCGACCGTCTACAAACACAGCCACCAGGCACGATCTTGCGGGAACCACAGATCCAAGAGTTGTACGATAGTATCGGGAGTTTGAGGCCAAAGCTAGCGCGAACGTACGGAGAAACGATGAGCAAGCATGGTAAGTCTATTAGATGGTGAGACTTGGTGATCAGACCCGCTGACCTCGGCTGTTAGATACACTGCTTGATCTGCACGCTAAGCTCTCGACTGTCGTTCGATATTACGACAAGATGCTTGAGGATCGCCTCTCAAAGGCGTATAGTCAGCAGAACCTCGGCGGATACCAGATGCCCGGCCCTCGACAGCCATCAGGCCCCTATCCCTCGTTGCCTTCGCAGCATTATCCGCAACACGGGGGTGCCGAGAACTTCTACAACCCACACCATCAACCTTCGTACCCCCCATCGCAACCCTCCCAGCCGTGGCAGCAAGCTTCTGCAGTGCCGACGCCACAGCCGCATAGTGCCTCGTACGGTCCCGTCCCCGGTGCCACTCCAGGCCAATACCCTGCTCAACCGCATCTTCAGCGGACACCAAGCTGGCAGCAGCCGGCAGGACCCAAGGGTCAAGATGCCCACCAGCAACCACTCCACCAGCCAGGACAGCACGAGTACCAAAGCATGCAGGCACCCCAACCAGGAAGCGCTGGCACGCCGTCTCAAGATCCCCATGCCTCTTACTACTTTGGCAACCAACAGCGGGGCCAACCGCCTGCGGAACCATCAGCTCCGGGCCCAGCACCTGACGCCAGTCAATCGCCGTACCCGAACTTGCAGCAGAGTCAATACCATCCAGGTTCAGTCTCAGCGCAGCCACATCCTCAACCTGGTCAAACCCCAGCTCAGCCAGGGGCTGTTCAATCTCCTGCTGCCTTGCCTGCACAACCCAGCCAGCCACCTTACTGGCAGCAGGCAACTCCAAACCAACAGCCAGTACCTCCACCGGCTGCGAACCCAGCCTATACTGGCTACGCACCGAATTCCTTCCCGAGTGTACCGCAAGCAGAACCTACGAAACCGAATGCGCCCGAGGAAGCTTTGATTGAGCTTTAGTTGGATGATTCAAGCGTGGCGGCAGTGGCTTCTGCTCATGGCATTCTTGGGTGTCTTGGCGACGGCGTTACGGCGGACTGCTGGAGTTTCTTGATGGCAGAGGTCATTGTCATCTTAACGTGTTGTTGATAGTGGCGGAAGAGCACGCATCTCACCAGAGCTGGGCTTCTTTCCTCTCCCCCAGCGATCACGGGGGTCGGGATGCACTTGACGTTCCATAGGTCGAGCCAATGAATCTTCCGCCAAAATATGTCTTGGTTCTTCAAAGTGACGACGCTCACATTGGTAAAGAGGTGCATTCTAGCGCCTCGATATGAGTACGAGAAGCCATTGTGTTGATATGATCCCATCGAAGTCTAGCTGGTCTTTTGAATAGTCGTGTATGAGCCCTACTACGTACCGCGAACCAAGACACCCGAGCGGAGGAGATTTAAGGTTGCTAACAGAAACTCTTTTCACGGAAGACCGACGACCAATGATCATCGGCAGAAAGGCCACGGCCGTCTGCAAGTTACGGACTTCACAGCTCCGCCTCCGGCACCGGGGACGGAAGAGCGCGAGACCCACACTACGACGTATCGATCAGTCACGATCATCACGCATGGAGAGGCCCCGTGAGTCGGGTGCCTGTCATCCGCCGCATTAACTCTTCGTCATTTCTTTACCTAAGCAGGAGAACAGAGACCCTTCTCAGTTTGTATCACAGCCGCAGTCCATCGCCGCACGAATCCCGACTCCCTCGCTCACAAGAAGATGGCGCCGACAATCCACCTCGTTCGCCATGCGCAAGGCTACCACAACCTTTCAGTCGAGAACGAGGTCATCCGTGACCCTGACCTGACAGAGCTTGGTCTCCAGCAATGCAAGGAGCTCAGGGAGGCTTTCATCCACCACGACAAGCTCACTCGCCTCGTTGCCTCGCCACTGCGCCGCACCGTCTACACAGCTATCCACGCTTTCGGCGAGGACAAACTGTACCCCATCACGGCGCTGGACCTGCTCCAAGAAGTGTCCACTTCGCCTTGCGACACAGGCTCTGCCAAGGAGAAATTGGACGAGGAGTTTGGCAACAAGCTCGAGGTCAGGGGCGTGGACCCAGCCTGGACAGACAAGACAGCGGACAGCAAATTTGAACCCACCTTGGAGAAGTTGACAGCAAGAGCTCTGGAGGTGAGACGGGTGCTGAGAGATCTGGCCGGCGACGGTGACGACCACATTGTGGCGACTTCTCACGGCGGTTTCCTGCACTTCTTGACGGACGACTGGTTTGGCATCCCGTCAGGTCATGGTAAGTCTCATCCTAAACATGTCCCAAAGTGCTCAGAAACTCACGAGACAATAGCTACTGGCTGGAATAACTGTGAATACCGCTCTTATCAGTTCGTTGACCCAACGGGCAAGGACGAGGACGCCGCTCTGCAGGAAACCCCTGAAAGCTGGAGGCGTCGCCAGGGGCTCCGGGTTGCGCCCACACGGACGGAGCAGAAGGAGATGAGGGCGGCGGTACAGAAATCAGTGGCACCCTATTTGCACATCAGCGCTTAGGACCATCGCGGCTCGGCCCTGGGTGATAGCGCGGGACAATAGAGACATAGACAATAGAGACCATGTCTGGAGAATGCGCGACGTCTGCACATGTGACGGCTGCCTGGAACTCAGAACAAAGCTGGAAGGAACGAAGAAGTTGACATGGACTGGGATAGCGACGTTTCTCAGGTGGCGGCCTAGAGCGCAATCGCTCTTTCCCTTTTGGCCGACATTGGGCGTGAACGAGCCGCATGGGAAGGTACGACGAGCAGGCCCTCAAGCCTCGCGGCCAGGTTCCAGAGACTTGCACTCTGCATTCTATTTTATTCTTGGTCGTCGATGCGCCAGAAAAAGCCTTCATCTACGTCGAGACGTAAGCTCAGATCAGCCCTTGCCGAGGACTACTTCAATTCCTGCTATATCCAAGATGGGTCCAAAAGTCATAGAGAACACGACGCTGCACGACTATTATGCCGTCCTTCCATCGCCCGCTCATGGTCACCAAGAGTGCGGCATGACACAGCTGCCACAGATGAATGAATTTGGCCTGGACTCGATCAGAGAGGGTGATGAGGACTCCTTCTGGGATTTGACTGGCCCCCCTTCGAGTGGTACCCTCGACCTTTGTGGCGACATCCCAGACGACGACCTGGACGCTATGCTACAAGCTGGAAGACCTGTCTCTACCAGCCAGAGCAATGGCCGGGGTGATGAACAAGAGGTACCTTTTCAGGACAACTTCGAACCCGTCACACCGAGCCAGACACAAAAAAGACCGGATGGCGGCAGCACTCAGCTGCTTGATCTGGAGGTGACAGACGCCGAGCTAGTGGACATGGACGAAATGATCAACCTGGACGCCTTCTCCATGACCCCTGGATTAACACATATGTCCTCTGAAACGCAAGTTGGCGACCAGGAACCGGCTGTATTGTCGCCATCGCAGTCAAGCGACTCAACGATACCCCAATTCGACTGGACACTCGAGCCTTCTAGGACCTGCTTTCGGTTGGCCGATCTGAAGATCCTGCGAGAGTCCAAGCAGTTTGAATCTTCACCTTCCACGGTGTTCGAACTATTCGCCAGGGTCGTTCATTCAGCGCGGGAGAACTTTGGACATCGACAATACTTTCAGTTCCAAGATCTCTTGAGGGCTGAGCCGCCGTACGCGACAGGCGTGCTTGCCGGGTGGGATGCGGGCGGACCTGTTGACATTATGGCGCAGGATTTCAGGGAGATTCCGCCAGCTGGACGCAAATGTTACTGCCGGTGCAGGCTGACCAGGGAAGAGAGATCGCCGTTTGGCTGGGCGCTGGCCATTGTCGATATTCAAGAGGCAACCTGGGCCAAGATTCGACCGGTCATGGCCGCATTGGGCAAGGCACATTTGCTCGAGCGTGCTGCTCTGGGATGACTAGTTGGGAAGAATGCGTCGATCTGAAGGCTGCATTGGCAGAGTGTGATGGTGAACATGAACTGACTGAATGCGGGTGTCTTGTTCCTTCTCACCAAAAAGTACGCAGCATTATCACAACACTGGCTCGTTCTTCTTCTTTTGTGATTAGACCTCCTCAAGCTCGACTTGTTCTCCGCCATGTAATATTTTTAAAAGCCTCGCGCTTCCCCATGGGCACTTCTGCGTTGTGTCTGTCTCCAGCTTCACTCCAGAGATAACACACGTGGACGGCATCAACAGATGACGTCGCTCGTCTGTCCCATGTCGGGATCTCCACCCCGAGATGCTTAAGCTCCCCCGAATCGCTCAGACAATCTGACAAATGACATGGGAAACCATCAACCCTCTACTCCAAAAACCCCTCGCCAAAACTTTATCCATTCTGGAAAATTACTGTGATCGTGCCGCACCACGGGCTGCAGAAACCCCATTTATGCTCATTTCCACCAATTATAGAGCGTCCTGCGCGTCCGCGCTGGAGCCCCTCGCGCGAGCGAGACTCCGAATCGTCGAGAAATTGTCACAGACTCGTGAACATTTTGGAGTCCCCACTGACGTCGCCGTATCGCGATGCGCTCGGTTTGTCCGTGAGGGCCGTCGGGTTCCTGAGGTCGGGCTCCGATTATTATTGTTAGCTTCACGATGGCGTCCTGTCTTCGCGTGCTCTCTGGCCGAGGTTCAACTTCTTCATCCAGCTCGTCCCGGTTCGCCCAAGACAACCTCTGCTCTCGCGACTGAGAAGCGAACGCCCACCACTCTGTTGTTTATCTCATATTCACCATTCTGACGATAAGAGCCTGCGTAGCGCATCCGTCTCAGAGACAGTCTGCCGATCTACCTAGTCAGCCCACAGTCATAGAAGCAGACGTCAAAACTGCTCAATGGGTGACAATCGATTCCTCCCCCGGGATGTGGCCACAACCGGGGCCGAAAGGAGAGAAGGCTGGTTCGTGGGCAGTATAGACCAGGGAACCACATCCACGCGGTTCTTGATCTTCAATGGCGCTGGCGAGCCGGTAGCGAGCCACCAGATGGGGTTTGACAACAAGCACGCACACTCAGGGTGAGCACGTCCAGGCAACACAATCTAAACGTCGGAAGTTGGACATGAGCCTAACCAAACAATACCAGATGGCACGAACACGACGCGCTCGAACTGCTCCAGACCGTGGAAACATGCATCGAGAAGGCCGTAGAGCAGTTTGTGGCAGATGGCCACGACGTGTCGAGGATACGCTCCGTCGGCATCACTAACCAGCGCGAGACTCTGGTTCTCTGGGACAAGAACACGGGCGAGCCTCTACACAATGCCGTCGTGTGGCCCGATACCCGCACGGCGTCCATGGTCCGCGAATTGAAGACATGGCCAGGCGCGGACAAGGTCCAGGAACTCTGCGGCCTGCCTCTGTCCACGTACCCCTCCAGCGTCAAGCTCGTCTGGCTCCTCCGACACGACAAGGCGGTTAAGCAGGCGTACGACGAGGGCCGCCTGGTCTTTGGCACGGTGGACTCTTGGCTGATCTTCCGTCTGAACGGTGGTAACGATTGCGCGGACGGGCCTATTCACGTCACGGATGCGACAAATGCGAGCAGGACCATGTTCATGAACCTCCGCACACTGCAATACGACGACACCCTCCTCTCCTTTTTCAAGCTCGACCGTGCCAAGATCATCCTGCCCAAAATCGTCCCCTCGTCCCACGCCACAGAGTTCGGCGCGCTCGCGCGCGGTCCGCTCAAGGGCGTGTCCATCGCAGGCTGCTTGGGCGACCAGTCCTCCGCCCTCGTGGGCCAATGCGGCTTCAAGCCCGGTCAGGCCAAGAACACATACGGCACGGGCTGCTTCCTCCTGTACAATGTCGGTACGGAGCCCGTCATCTCCAAAAACGGCCTGCTCGCCACCGTGGCGTATGACTTTGGCAAGGGCCAGAAGCCCGTCTACGCCCTCGAGGGCAGCATAGCCGTCGGTGGCTCGGGCATCACCTTTCTGCAGAACAACCTGGGCATCGTGTCGAGTCCAAAGGAGGTGGACTCTGTCGCGCGCACCGTCCCGGACAACGGTGGCGTGTACTTTGTCACGGCGTTCAGTGGTCTCTTTGCGCCGTACTGGATTGACGATGCCAAGGGCACAATGTGTATGTCTCCTCGTCCCTTTTAACTCACCCCCCATTCGTGCTCGTAACTGACCTATTTGTGTGCCTAGTTGGCATCACAGCCCACTCGCAAAAGGGCCACTTTGCCCGCGCCACCCTCGAGGCCACCTGCCACCAAACCGCCGCCATCCTCGACGCCATGGCCACCGACTCGGGCCACGCTCTCGAGTCGCTCGCCGTCGACGGCGGTCTCTCCAACTCCGACCTCTGCATGCAGACGCAGGCTGATATAAGCGGAATCCCTGTCGACAGGCCGTTTATGCGCGAAACGACGGCGCTGGGCGCTGCCGTGGCGGCTGGGCTTGCGACGGGCGTGTGGGAGAGCTTGGATGATCTGCGCGAGGTGAACCGAGAGGGACGGACCGTGTTCGAGCCGCAGATTGGCAAGGACGAGAGGAGACGGCTGAGGGCCAAGTGGGAGCAAGCCGTGGAGATGTGTAGAGGATGGATCCGTGAGGATCTAGATGGTCCCTCTTCATAGACATGAATGCGAATCATTGAACAAGCGGACAAGTGGGCTGCGTAGGGGAATCATCGTTGCATTCATGATGAATTGCTCATCATTCACAAAGGCTATCCTAAGTGGCTACCGCCACTTGATAGCCGAAACACCTTGCGCAGGCCCAGAAGAGCCCTAGCGGACACAAAATCTCCTTTGCCTTTCTCAACCGGATCCAAACCACCTCGAGACGCCAGGGAATAGTCACTTGCAATAAAGACAGCAACCGTCGAGCGGTTGACAAATGCAGGTCGCACATATCGAGCCGAACATGCCATGCTCCATCCTCTCGTTCGCCTCCCATCCCTATTATAGCTGGTGAATAAAACAGAGTCGAATCTTCCGAATATGATGGTGTGAGTGGCGAGGATGTCTCTTTTTTTTTCTTTCTGGTTCGTAGATTGAGCGTCGATTGCTTTCAGGTGTCGTTTTTTGTGATTCTCATTAATTAAAGGTATACCGTCGTCCACCACTCCTTGTTCTTCGCCGCACGGGCTGGGCCGTTTTCCGGCTCAGAGTCCAAGTGGAAAAAAGGGAAATGGCCGTGAGCTTCTGCGCCTGCACGCTCACATGATAATGGCCGGGACGTCCACGTTGGCCTTGATGGACTTGTGCGGCAAGACACTGCCACCGTTGACGTAGATCTCGTCGCCAATGGTCACGTCGTCGCCCAGCACGGTGACATTCTCCAGGCGCGCCCAGCGGCCGACCGTGCTGTTCCAACCAACAATAGTCGATTTGACCCACGCGTGGTCTTTGACCTTGGATCCGCGCAGGAGAACGGAGCGCTGCAGACGGACACCGTCGCCAATAACCACATCGGGCCCAATGGTGACATTGGGGCCAATGCGGCAGTTCTTGCCAATCTTCGCTGAGGGGTGGATCAAGACGTTGCCGCCGTGCACGTAGGACTCTGTGGGAGGGGTGAGGTCCTTGCTGCCCTTCTTTGTCAACGAGGAGAGGTACAAGCAAGTACCGCTCAGGAAGTCCTTGGGTTGACCGACGTCCATCCAGAAGCCATCCAGGTCAAAGGAGTGCAGTTGGTGGTCGTTGGCCATGGCGGGGAACGTCTCCTTCTCGATCGACGTCGGGCGCAGCTCGATGCGCTCGAGCACAGATGTGTTGAAGAGGTATAGGCCGGCATTGATACGGTTGCCGACAAACTCGACGGGCTTCTCGACAAAGCGGTCGATGCGCGAGGGGTGATTGGGCTTGTGGACAACGACACCGTATTTCGAGGGCTCCTCGACCTTTGTGACGACAATGGTGCCCTCGTTGCCGTGGCTGCGGTGGAACTCGAGAAGCTCTTTGAAGGGGTAGTCGCAGATGACGTCCGAGTTGAGGACAAAGAAGGGGGTGTCGTCCTTCTTGAGGATCTTCTCGGCGAGCTTGAGGGGACCGGCGGTGTCGAGGGGTTCGCTTTCGACAGAGAACTCGATGTTGATGTTGTACTTTTCCTCGTACTGCCTCGTGTCAGATCAAAGCCAGCACCCCAGACCCTTGGGTGCGCATGTAGGAGAACATACCTCGGCGAGGAACTTTTCCATAATCTCGGGACGGTAGTTCACAGCCAGCACAATGTCGGTGACACCAGCTGAGACGAGAGCCTCAATCTGGTGCACGATCATGGGCTTGTTGGCAAACTCGACCAGCGGTTTCGGCAGTGTGAGGGTCTGTTCGCGCGCGCGAGCTGTCAGCCTGGAGCTCCAAAGAGGGACGATCGAGCATGCTGTCGCGGGCGCAGCGTGCACGCAAGGCCACGTACCAAGGGGCGGAGGCGCGTCCCGAAGCCGCCAACGAGGATAAGTCCTGCAAGCCAATTGTTAGCATCTCAGCGCTGTGAAACGAGAGCTGCACGGCGCAGGCAGGCGCGACGTACCCTTCATGATTGCGGTGTTGTGGTCTTGTTCTGGTTCTTGATCTGGAGCTGGAGCTGGGTGGTGGTCCAGTACGTGGCCACAAGAAAGGGGGCTCCAGGAAGGTAGATCTAGATGCGGGGCCGGTCGTCAAGGTGGTGAGTGTTGGTGAGTGTTGGTGCAGTCGCAAGCGTTGTTGAGGATTGAAAAGGCTAAAGAGAATGAGGTCGTTCGCTCAACGCTACGGAAACAAGCAAGACACTCGTGCTCAAAAGGTTATGATGGATAGTACAAAGTGAAGGTTAGGTGAACTGAGGAACGTGACATTCCTTGCTCTTTGGATTATTGGCGACACTGCCTGCTGTAGCACGAAAATACGGGGCATGCTGCCCGTCAAGGGTCCGCAACTGAACCGACCGACAGCCTCCAGCTGTTTGGCCGCTGGCGCGCCCAGTCCTGACCTATCAGGAGATGGGTACCTTCAGCCTAGAGTCGTTAAATTGGCTTGAATTCCGTCTAGGGTCCAGTCGCAGCTTCCCCAATCCACTGCCAGTCGACGACACGAGGCCTCGTGACGGGGAGGGGGGCCGCGACATGCCGGCCAATAGCACGCTCGAATTCGACCTGTGTGGCTCAAGAAAAGGCAAAAGACGCTGATTCCTCTGGTAATGGATTCCAATTCGATCCTCGAGCATGCACCCCCTTTTCTTGCCCACGTACAAGCAATCAATTACACCAGAATCGCGCCCCTTGTGTCCTCATGACTTCCTATGATACCCACTAGCCATCATCAAGCCAGCAAGCAGGTACTACGGATATCGAATACGACTAGACAGCAGCAGAACGCATCTGAGACAGTGTCACCAGCAAGCTGCAGCCAGCGCGGATGCCTTTCCGGTTCCTGACCCCTAGGCAATATCATCCAAGTTTTTGACCATTTGATTAACCCTTCCTCTCTGACTGACATGGGACCACGCGAGGCTGACATCTAGGTCAATTTAGGCTTTCTGTAAATGAAACATGTGATTTCGGCGAGCGCCGGACGCGCGGCTGGAAGCGGTACAAACCTAAAGTACGGAGTACGGAGTAATAAACCATTATATGAACTACGCGGTTATATGAGGGAAGGCATACCTTTCTAACGCTGTTGTGCCGTCGTAATTAGCAGCAACACCATGAAGCATCGTCACCATGGCGGTCGAGGTCGGGTAGACACTCAACCTGTTAGCAATGGCCACAGTTCTGTGACTCGACGTCTTGCATGCATCCATCACCCCACATTCAACGGACGCGGCTAGTGCCGCATCCTGGTTCCTTGGTGTCTCATAGTATCATATCAGTATCTATCAAGGACTTGACCATACCGTATCAAACTCTCAGCAGTCAGTCACAAGGGGAATCGAGACCCAGACGATCAACACAAGATGGGTTTCAAATTGGCCATGTATAAAATCGGACAGTCATATGCGTAATCATTATCATGAAACTTCTTTCTTTCGCGCTAATAATGACCCTATCGAATCCTGTGAGAAACAAGAAGCGATGCTGCTGTCTTCCTGTCCTGGAGAGTGTTTCACAGCTTGCAGGAGGTTAACCAGCCAAGTCATTCAAAACAAATGTTGCCATGAGATGTCGCTAGAATGAAGATGTTTTTGCTGTTGCAAGGTGCGTAACTGTCGGTCGCCCGTCATTCTTTGCGTGATCTTGCAGGTTTTCAAGAAATGCTCATGCCGAATCCAAAATCGAAATGCTTGCCCTGGTGTGGAACGCCAGCTGTTGGGCCATCAACGCCGGAGGTTGCACTGAGTCGTGATTCGCCCCGGTTTCGTCTTTGGCCTGATGAGATGTTCGTGCCAAGGCACTTGAGAGCAGGAATACCACGCTGCTGGTTCTGTAACACCCAGTATCCCCGGAGCAAGTCATCACCGGAAACGTGCGCAATTCAGGAATGAAAAATGCCGGCCGTGAAAATAGAAATGGAAATGTGTGGTTGTGCGTCGTCTAAAATGCAGCTCATGTCGTAAAGTCGTCATCAGTCGTTAAATATCGGTATCCTTCTTCTCGTCATTGTTTTTTGTTTATGGATGTGGCGTGAGTCGTTATCGCATCGGTAGCCTTGCGGCTGTTCGTTAAGTCGTTGCAAACTTTTGAGTGAATGGGGACGTCGAAGCACGGCAATCTGGTGACCGTGTCTTGTGGCAATTCCCCACCACCATTGAAAGAGCAATATCTTGATCGCTGAAAGAGCATTGGGACCGCGCGTGTTGTGTCTTCAGATGGCACTGTGACTGGGTTCGAAAGGGGTCCCGTCAACGTTCTGGCGTACACGCCCTCTCGACGAACAGACAGTCCATTGCCTCTTTAGTCGAAAGAGGCGGTCGAGCTGCTGCTTGAGTGGTTGCCTGAGCGGCGGCTGCTTCGACGGTCGCTGCTGTCGCTGGACGAAGTGTGGCGGCTCTTGTGGCGGCGGCCCATCATGTCGCCCGCTGGGAGCCCCTGAACGACGCCATTCCGCGCGAGCATTCCGCCATTCACGGAGAATTGGCGGCACACCATGAACGCGCGCATGGCAGCGTTCTCCTGCGCCAAACCATCCGATTCGTAGGCCAGATCGGTCTGGTACTCGCGTCCGTTCACGAGCACAAGACACGTGTATCCCGCCTGATCACGGTAGCACGCGTATGACGGGTCGCTCCAACCGCGGCGCCGGCAGAGGCCTACAGACGCACAGCATTAGCATCTTGCTTAGATCTCGCGTTGTAGAGCAATTGCAACACAAGGAACCACTGCATGGGCGTCCCACCAGGGGATTAGCTTTCCAACAACCGCAGTACATCCCAAGGTACAGAATGCCCGACCAAACTGCGTCGACCAGGGTGGAAAACCCCTGGAGAACGAGAGTAAGTCGACCAGATAATGCTTTTTGGGTAGCAATTGGAGCTGTGGATACTAGCATAGCAGGGCTGAGGCCGATATGCCATGTTCGCATTTCTTCCCCACACATACAAGCTGGAGGAGAGGCTTGCGTTGGACGCCCGGTTCGCAGCAGGGTGTGCTCGTGTTGCGAACAGACGGTGAACTTACTCTCAAGGTACTGCATGTAAAAGCCGCTCATGTTGCCGGTGTCAGGCAGACTCGCAGATGGCGTTTTTGTGGGTAGTCGGCAGGAACAAGAGACACAGCCTTGAAGCCTGGGTATCACGCTGATGGTGATGAGCTGGCAGAGGGTTGCAGGGCGACGTGGGGTTGCTCCAGATCGGTTAGCTGCGTCCGAGCCCAATATTGATGTAGGGCGAGAGTCAAAGCAAGAGGATATAATGAAGGATGGCCGTGGCTTAGTTGAGGAAGCTGATGTGAGAGAAGAGGGAAAATGGGCAGAGAGCTGGAAGGTGGTGAGCAGGATGGGACGTTGGGGGGCAATGGCGAGGGTTTTTGAGAAGGATGTGGATGAGCGTCTTAAGCCATACCGAAGAATGGGGTGGATGCTCTCGGCTACGAGAGGCGAAGGGGGAAAAGGGTCTGGTTCGTACGGTGTATATTGCGGAACGGCGTCAAGAGGAGCGTACCGCCGGCCAGGCAGGGGGGTGAGGGCGGCAGGGCGGAAATAAACAGATGGCAAAAAGAGGGTAAGGTACAAGTAATTAGGCAGAGAATGCAAGTACCGCCGCACCAGGTAGGCTGGGAAAGATGAGGCCCGGCCAGGCGCGAATTGGCCGCATGCGCGTAGCAGGAGGGAAATAACATTGAGGACTGCGGCTCTGAAGCCAATACAGAAAGAGGGTGACCCATATTGATGCGTTGGCCTACCTGGATACCAGTTGATCCAAAGCCCGCCGGACACTAGGCCACCTCCACCATGTTCAGAGGAGGGCCAGTTACGCATTTGCGTGCAGGCGGCGAGGACGGCCAGAGGGGCCGGTCAACAACGTCTGCGCGTCTTGGGATGGCCTCTGTTTTGCCTCTGGTGAGGAGAAGAGGCCGGAATAGTTCAAGATGCTCGTTTGGGCGTGAGGAGAGATGGCCGGCGGCGACGGGAACAATGATACAATGCGGCTGAGCAGGCGTGATAGGCCAACAAGGGTCCAGAGCTCTTGGCTTCGACATACCGCACGGGGGCAATTTGGCAACACAAACAGAACTGCAGCAACTCCTCACCGGGGTCGACATGTTTGAGAATAGAAAGGAACGTACCGAGACCAGCAGCGAGGCCGCGAATGAGGTCAGCAGCTAGCTGCACAGGAGCTGATTCGGTATCTGGAGAGGTTCTTGTCGGTGGCAACGTGACACAGACTGCTGTCACGAAGCCGTGGACCGTTGAAGAAAAGGCAACTTGTTGAACCCCTGAGAATGGACCTTCCAGTGCCGCTGTTTGTCTGCAGGACAGGCCCACGGTGTGTTGTAGTGAAGTGGTGAATAGCAATTTGAGGTGTGGTTTGTTTATCGTGGGCAGAATCAGAGGCCACTTGCTGATGCCAGTGGGTCTGGTCTGGCCACAAAAACAGCAGGCTGGAGACGGTCGACGATGAGCTGCAGACCCAAGCCCCAGGACATGCGCGCATGCACGTACAGACAACCAAGATCCACCCAGGAGGAGCCGTCGAGGGCAGACGAAAGACAGGTACGTACCTCGTGCTGCTGCGAGAAGTCAAGCGTGATAGTGAGTGGTTTGTATATCACCAGCAGAAGCACGGACAGTCGGCAAAGGAGTACAAGTACCTGTCAATCCGGCCCTCATGCAACCCGCCGAACCGGGGTCCAATGTTAATTTCGAGGATGAGACTGGCAGCCGCTCGCTCGGTCAAGTGGACAAGGGAATCACAGTCAGTCCGTCGAGATTTCGCAGAAGTGGCACGCGCGCGTAAGGCTCTGGTGATGGCGACCGTCCAATTACAGACAATCGGATGTCACAGGTGCTGAGGCTTCAGGCTCGGCGCTAGGTTGGACCCTACGATCGAGCAGTCATCCGTGTTGATGTCGTGCGTGAGAAGACGAACGGAGTCAAGGACTCAAGGTAGACAGGCTCTTGTCTCGTGGCTCCAGCCTCCAGCCTACAGGACGGTTCCAGAGCAAGAGCACTCAGCAAGCTAATTACCGAAGCGTCTCTAGCGTGGTCGTTCGATCCAGAGTCCAGTCGCGTCGTTGACTGGAAGCCATTGTCCAATCCGCAGTCGAGATTGAGAATGGTCGGTGAGGGCACAGCAGCGACGCGGAGACCCTTGTCCCCTCTCGATTCGTGCATGAACTGGACACGCCAGAACCCTGTCTGGACTGTCGATGCGCGTGGGTGCATGCGGGTGGGTGGAAGATCAGAGCAGCGTACTCCGTAGAGGGAAAAAATGAGGTACCTTACGGTGAATGCGCCAGGCTTGATTGGACGCGGTCGTGAGGGGGGAGGGCCATTGCTGCATCTTTGACCTTTTTTCATGCATTGATGTGTTGGCAAAGGCCTAGGGGTGAGAGGAGGGACCGGGGCCCGGGTTTATTAATAAAGCATAGGCGGGATTGAGTTTGGACAATAGCCACGATGAGTCAGGTTGGCATGCTGAAGTAACGTATTAGCAGTATGAGGGCCTGGACGTGCCATTGTTTGAAGAGACTTGAAGGGAAGAAACTCGTGATGAAGCAAGAATGGAAGGCGGTCCCATTCGATTCCTTGATTAATAAGTAAACAGGCAACTGCCCCAAAACCAGCATTGGCACTGCCGAGGACTGGCCTGTGCAGTCTGGAGGCAGGTGTGTTCGCACAGAAGCTGCCAATGCACGTTGATCATCTCAAACCAAATGTGGGGCAGGAAATCGACTATCCGGAAACCGACCAGACCTTCTCGAAGCCACACACAATCTGGAGGACGGTGGTTTCATGGTGACGTAGACATGTGAGACGAGTGTGCAGAGACCACATGGGAGCCAGCAGCGACCAAAGACGACGCGTCTGCTGCTGGTCTCACATCAGGGTGGCCATCGTCATCAATCTCAGCCCCGGGTCTTTGGCGAGCCAGCCATCCATCCATGATCCATCCAACCACCACCCCGCCGGCAGACGTGGCCGGAGGGGGTGCCAGATGCCCGGTGCTATGGGTGGCCGAATCTAGCTTGCTCGCCTGCGCGGGCCATTTACGTACTTTATCAAGTGGAATTGTCTAGTCCCTGATTCGAATCTCCCAAGCGCCCTCACCTAGCCTCGTGTGTGGTGTTCCGTACATACGGTAAGTTCCTTTGCCGCCGGCAAGGCTACAGTGAGCTAATTAGCTGCCTGTGCTCACCTGTGACGCGCCTGATCTTTGTGATTGTACCAAAGCGAACCCACGGCTGCGTATCGTATCAACAACAACAAGTGCAAAAGGCTAGAAGAGGTCCAGTCTCGGGAAAATGCGGGGTCACTGTCATGCAAATTGATGCAACGATTCCAATTGAGTCTTGTTGCTTGTTGTTAGCGAATATTGCCCCTCACAGATCGTTACGGTACTGGGCCCGACTCCTGGGAAGAGAGAGGTCTCGCTGGCAATGGTACGTATGTCCAGTTCTCCTGATATCTCACATCAGATAGACATACATGCGCACGCCCCAATCTCTTCAAATTAATACGCACGAGTGAACTACGCCATGCGCTGCCAGTTCATCCGCAGGCGGCCGCCTAAGATGCGGCCAGGTGTCTGTCCAAACAGATGGGCTTGGCCTCCAGTCATTGCCGGGCTCGCGAGCAGGGCCCGTTGGGGGAGATCCTGGGCGTTCTCAATGTCACATTTTGACATGAGAAAGTAAACAATCGGCGGCGGCGAACTTGAACTTAACAGCGGGCGATTCGCCTTGCAACTCACAAGCGCGCGCCCTGGGCCCTGGCCCATGCCAATGCCATCCATGGATCGACAGAATGGCGCATCCACACACAAACGCCGGTCATACGCGCGCGATACGGCCCTTGCCCCTTGGGCAGACCCTTGCGCGCGGCGGATCTTGTCTCTGGACTAGAGTTACAAGTGCCCAAAACAACATCTTGCGCGGAGATGTGAGACTGGGAACAGGTACTGCTGAGACATCTGCATCGCGAGTTCATCGCCTAATACTAGCTAGTCTACATATGCAGACTTCACCGCAAAGTTGAGTGGAAAGAGGCATTGATCCACACTCATGTGGCGCCAACGAGTATGATGTGCAGCTCGTCTAACCGCCTCATGCAGCTCACATGTACTCAGACTCATGTATGTACGTACGGCAAGGACCTTCCCTGCGGAGCGAGTGGCGAGTCTCGAAATCGACGCGCCGCGCAGATGGACTGGTTTATACTACTAGTACTGAGCTACGGTAACAGTGCGTTACCCTGTGAGTCCTTCTGGACGTACACTCATGGATGTATATTGACGACGTGGTACGCGCTGCTGCCAAGTGCCCTGGTGCGCTGCCGTATGTGCGAACCGCGGCGATAAGGCGACATGGACTGCATGTTCTGACCGTGCTTGTTCCTCTCTGCCTGATCTGCATATGGCCGCGCTTCCGCGCCGACGTTGATGCGGCATGTTATGAATGACCTCCTGCACCTCAGCAGTGCTCGCCTTCTTAGCTAGTCGTCGGCGAGACCGATCAAAGAAACATGACAACAGAGAGAAAGACCTTGCCCGCAGCATCTTGGCAGATGCTGTGCTACCATGTCCACTTGCCTTGCTCCATCCATCCCGGACGCATGTCTGATCTCCCATGGTAGCACGCGACAGCGTAGCTTCATCCTCTCGGGCCTTGTCTGCCAATGCACGGTGCATGGATTCACCTGCAGGGCTGGAAAAGCAATGTCTGCTCACCCTTCTCGGGCATCGCACGCGTCTTCAACGTTGCACAACATGGGTCAGCCCAGTGAAACGATAGCACACGCCTCCTGAGCAGCGTGCATTAGGATTCTTTAGAACCCGGCCTTGTTCGCAAAGTAGTCCCTGATGCCGTCTGCCTTGTGCTGGGGGATCACGTACACCGGATGAGTTGTGGCTAGCCGGTCGTCCTCGCTGAAAATCTGCTGTCCCTCCAGATACGGCGTCACAACCCACTCGTCGGACCCCAAGACAGTCGCGTCTAGGCGAGCCGATTTCATCGTCCACTTGTGCTGGGCCGAGCTCAGCCCAGACAGAACGTAGCACGAATGATACGCATCCGAGTTTCTATTTGGGCACGATTAGCATCCAACCGAAAACCACACAAAGTGCAAATAACGACGGCAGCAGTCGCAGGCATGTACGTACTTGCTGGGCTTGTCTCTCATGCCTCCCCGCTTCGACAGGTCCTGGCAGCAGCACAGAATGTACCTGATGAGCCCGTTTCGACTGAACAAGCTACCTGCCTCCGTCGCCGGGGTCACAGCTTCGGCCGCGAACCCCTCTTGCGGGCCGCTGATGCTGGCCTCGATCAGGGGCCAGCATCCACCGACCCAGTGGCTGTAGCACCCGTCTACCAATTTGTTGGTGCGACCAGAGAAGCCTCCTTCGGGAGCATATTGGCGTGATGACAGCCACGAAATGAGTCGCGGAAGGTCGAGATGGCTGTGTTTTTCTTACGTCAATAACTTGACCCCCAGCCCTGAGCTCCGAGTACATACCGTGGGATGCTCCTATGCGGGGAATCGATGATGCTCAAGCAACCAAGCGCACAGAAAGCGTACGCCCCGTGCGCTTCGACCGAGGGCTTGGCCGATATACCGCCTTCGTACGTTTGACCTGCACCGACACATCAGCCACTGGCAGAGGTCTGCGGGAAGAATGATGGCGACCCACACTGGCCGATCCAGTCTCCGAGACCACTGAAGAACCCTGAATGTCCTGCCGCACGAGCAGGCGATTCGGCTGGTAGATCGAGCGGGATATTCAACAGCGAGATGATGACAGACGCACAATACGCCCCTCTATACGCACACGGCCGGTCAGCATCCAGGGGTGGCTGCATGTTCCGACACGGAACAAAGAGTCTTGGGTCAACCTACCTCACATCCTCTTCACCTCCAATGGCCATTTGGAAGCCTCCATCCGGCTGCTTCAACGAGCCGAGCCAGTGCCACATGCTCTTTCTGTCCACCACATCGTAGGCCGCCTCCCCGCCGACCAGCGCCAACGACAGGATCGTTGCATACGTGGTGGCAAGATGCGACATCTGGCCCTGTCCACCCGCAAAGCCACCCGTCGCGTTCTGCATAGGGCGCACGGTCTCCACAAGCTTGTTGCGATAGAATGCCACATCTTCACCGAGAAGTGTCATGGCCGCCAGACACCAGTAGAAGAACCAAGGACGGCTCGGGTCAGCTGCCATGAACGCGCCTGGGAGGGGGCCAAGCTGCTTCCGAAGGAAATTGAGGTGGCGCTGCTTGTCCAGGAGAGGGATTCCGTGGTTATTTCGCGGACCTAGGTCCTCCTCGCCCAGAAGGAAGGGGAGGCATTCCTCAATCGTGTCCTGCTGCATGGCAGACGAGTCGGTCTCGAGCGCGTCGACCACGACAGGACGCATCCTGAATAGCTCCGGGATGTCGTACGCAGAGGTCTGCGCGGCGCCTGTTTGAGAAATTGCGGCGGCCATCTTGGGTTTGCTTTTGCTGTTGCTGTTGCTTGTCTTCTTGCTGGGATATTTGCGGATGAAGATGGCCTTTGGACGTGATCGCTTGTGATGCGCTTGCGGTTTCATAACGTGGCGCGACCCCGAGTGCGAGTCACTTATAATCAAGATGCGGGACAGCGCTCGAGCCCTCTTTGCCTTAGCATTGTCCCTGTCTTGGGCTGGCGATTTTTCAGTCTGGACGTGAGCACAGTTGACATTGTGAAGCATTGTTGCTGAGGGGCCGGCTTTATCTCGGTTAGCGGGCCTGCCACCATTCTCCACGTTTCCCTGTTATGTTCATCTGGACGAACCGTGACTTGGCCGAAGCACTTCCGACCATTGTTCACAAGCAGGTTGACATTAGCCCTTACGTGTCGCACTCGCATTTACTAGCGCCATCAAATTCAAGGTGGCTCAATGCCTGGTTTCATGTATCTTTATGGGAGATATTATCAAGCATACCACATCTGTTATTGAGCATACCCAGCGGGGCCAAAGTATGGCGTGAGCTACCTACTGCAGCCCTTGCTCAGGTAAATCTGATGCCTTGTAGCTTCGGCCAGAGCGTGATTTAGCCACCTATTTCTTATCGCGGCGTCTAAAATACTTGAATTAATAAGGATAATATGTATAAGCTATCGTAACCTACGAATACTAGTACCGAATTTAGCTACGGGGCAGGGAACCTCTACGGAGCAGCAGCTTACACCTACCCTGTACCTTAACTATCATTCTTTATACACAAGAGTTCACAAGCCGCTTCCTGATGTTAACAGTAAAACGTGCTGTCGGAGAATTCCGTCAAACTGTTAGGAAGAATTGTAATAATGAACAATAGATCAAAAGAGAAGGAAGATGATTATTCTGTATTTGAAGAACATGCTGATGCTAAGAAAAGAGGAAGAGCGCGATAACGCGAAGATGCTGCCTTTTGCAGTGAGCAGCGGCGTGAGCCGAATGTGTGGCCTGACTAAGCAAGGCAAACATGGCGAGCAATAGGTGGGCACCCGGGTGCCCAAATAAGATTCCTTATGTAAGCAACAGCCAATCTAGGGCACCCACCTATATCAACGACTTACACCATATCAACCCATT